CTAACCCAGAATAAAGTTAACCTGCACATACATCACGCTATTCACCAAAGGTACAAGATTTGACAAATATTTGACAAATTGTGAAGAAAAAATGAGTCTAAATGGTTCAAATAGTCAATTCGATGATATTGATATAGAAAGTTTTAGTTCACATGTTATTGCAAGTTTATTGGTTTTACCAACCGATTATAAACCAGACAACTTGATTTTAGAAGAAGATTCTAATTATATTGTTGGCATCGATAATGATCAATCATTGGAAGCAAATGAATTCGATTTAACATCAGAAGGAACTGACGCATTTCCAAGATTAAGGAATGTATTATACACATTAAAGCCATTGATGGTTCAACCAGTCAATGAAAGTGTGAAAAATACTATCCTCAAAACCAATAGTCCTTTGTTCATTATAAAATGGCTTGAGGCATTATACAGGAAACAAAACAACTACGACTCAATAATATCCATGCAAATAGAATCAAAAGGTTTGGAAGTGTCAAATGAATATTTAAAAATAAAAAAAGAAGAGATTAATTTACCACTGGAATTTAATAAAGGATGGGTTAATTTAATGGATACAAGATTTAAAAAAATTCAACAAATATTGCAATCAAATCAATCAGCCACTCATCAAGATTTATTCAACCATATACATCCACTAACAAGCATTTATTATGAATATTTATCAAAAATGTATAAACATCAACCCCTAGATATCATTTCTACCTTTTATCAGAGTCAAGATAAATTATCCTTTCAAGACATTTTAAATATCGAAAATCCCCAATTTAACCAAGAACATTTTAAAGAATTACTAAAAAAATCTTTAATTCTAGAAAAGCCTATTTCAATTTATGACACAATCAAAGAGTATATTACAACTATAGAATTTAGTTCCTTACTTCAATGTAAAAAAACTAATGATGATTTAAATGAGTGCGGAGAGAATTGTAATATATCATGTAAAACAAGGATAATTGTTCTAGACTTTCTATCAACAATTTGCTCACTTTTCGATTACACATTTTTTCACCCATCATGGTATATAGAAAAATTTAATATTTTTTCAAAATTATTAAGATATGGCGCATCAGTCGATATAATTAAATTAATTGTAACTAGTCTAAATATTTTAATAAAAAATGAAGAATATAACACAATTATTAGAGAAAAGGAAGTGCTAACGAATCCAAATATTTGCAACCAAATAGAGTTTTTAATTGAATATTTTGAACTTGATATCGAAAGAGTAGAAAATAAATCAAACCTTCTAGATTTAGTATCAACACATAATCTTACAAATTTATTTATTAAGCTTTTAGAACTTGGAGCCGGCAAAAATTCAAATCCATGTGTTATCAATCGATATTATCAAAATCTTTCAAATGATCAGAAATTAAAATTAAAACCATTTTTAATTAATTTATTTACAATTAATCCCAAAATTAATTGGAGAATTGCAATTAATCAACTATTTCCATTACAAAATGAACAAACCAGAAACTCAACAAAGATACTATCAGAAATCTCTAATTCTACAAAAAGATTTATTTCTGATAAATATTGGGACCAATTATTTGATTCAAATGGACAACCAAAGAGATCAAACGAATATGGATCAAGAACAGTTACTTTAATACAAGATAACTTTGGTAATGGAATCTATTTAAAGTTTAAACCACAATTTCCTGGTACAGAAATAGCAGTAAATAAACTTAGTAATATTATTTTTGGAAATGGTTTAACTCCACATTGTGAATTAGCATCCATCAATGGCTTACCAGTTTTATTAATTCAGCAAGTATATGGTGAACCTCTAGTTGACATTTTTAACGACTCACCAAACATAATTAACCAAATAGAACCATTTAATATATCAAAACAATTGATCCTGTCAATGTTAATAAATAATGCAGATGGAAATTTAGGAAATTTTATTGTGTCAAAAACTTGCAGTTTCAAAGATCAAAGGTATGATTATAAACTTGTATCCATTGATAACGACCAATGTTTTATGCCATCAATTTCGAAGTCACTCGGTATGTTTGAAAAATCCTTACAAGTGGATACTGTTTTGTTTTTATTTAATCAAATGAATGATAAGGTACATAAAGATGTAATAGACCGTATTTGCAATATAGATGTGTATACTCAATTGTTTAAATGGTTAGAATATTTAAAATATAAACATCAATCATCATTGGACCATTTTTCATCCAATAGAGAAAGATTAAAAAAAGAAAAAGAGACAGTTATTGGTGTGTCTTTTAACAGAGGTATGATTTCACATATATTTTCAAAACTAAATAGGTTACAGAAGCTATTGAAAGAGAATGGCTCTGTCACTCATTTGGAAGTTTTAGAATATATTGAACCATTAGTTTCTAATAGATATAAACCGTTTTTAAATCAATATGTTTCACCAAATGATAGATACTTAAAATTAAAAAACTTTAATACCTATTCAAAAACATTAGTTTCATGCTCAAAACATTCATCAAATAAAATTTTACTATCACGAGATATACCTAATGTAAAGGATATAATGGATCAGCTATGGAGTGGAAAATATGGCCCTTCTCAATCACTTGAAGAGTTAAAATCATTAGATAATGATGTGAAAACACTAAATGATTTAATAAATCTTCTTGACAACAAAACCGTCAATTTAAAAAGTAAATTTTCAACTTATAATATTGAATGTTTATTAAAATTTGACTTTATCAATATTCCAAAAGAAAAACAAAAAGCTCTCTTCAATTTTTTGGCTAATATGGATCTATCAACAATTACTCTGAGAAATTGCAATTTTTTCGATCAATCCTATTTAAACAAATTTAAAATTGACTCTATAGTTTTTCTAGATTTATCAACATGCAAAGATCTATTTTCTATTGGCAACATTTTCACCCCCATAGATTTCAAATCTTTGGTAAAATTATCAATAAGAGATTGTTCAAATTTAACCAATTTTAGAATAAATGCACCAAATTTAAAAGCATTAACTATTATAAATTGCAGCCTAAAAAACTTCATATGCGAATCACCAGGAATTCAATTTTTAAATTTAAAAGGGTCAATTAAAAGTGTCAATATTAATATCCATGAAATAACCCAAAGTTATAAAAATTTGGAATATTTGAATATTTCAGAATCTATATACGTGACCCTGCACATTAGATCAAATTTAAAAACTCTAGATATCAGTTCAATGATATTTTTATTACAAATAACTTTAGAAGTCAATTATATAGAATCGATAAATTTTGAAGGTTGTTGTTTACTAAATGAAATCAAAGGTTCTGGAAACTATTACCAAAATTTAAATTTATGGAAATCATTAAATAATCCATATAATAAACAAATTATAGAAGAAAAAAATATGATTATAAATTTAAGAAATGACAACATTATTTTATCTTGGAACGAGGAATATATTCGTGGTGTTTCGTTTATATTTGAAAATCGTATAGTACCTCTTACAACTTTAATCCAACATCATGTAATAATTGGAGGTTCTATACACAATATTATAGTCCCCAAAGAAACAGAATTTATATCTTTGTGTGATAACTTTAATGAAAGCTTACATGCAGATTTCTTTCCAAAATATCTTAGCTGCTTGTACCTAGGAAACATAAAAAAAGAAATTAAAAAGGAAATATTACCTCCATTTTTAAAAATATTATATTTAGGTAGTGGGTACCAATATAAATTATCAAACATTATCAATTGTACAATAGAAACTCTTTATTTAGAAGATATTAAGGAGGCATTGCAAGAAAATACATTAAGACCAAGTATTGAAAACTTAATATTATGTCCTGGATTTAACCACCCAATAACTCCATCAGTTATTCCAAATACAGTAAAGCGACTCTCTATCATTTCAAAAAAAAAAGACATCGAAGTACCCACAAGTATAAAGTTTTTAGAATTCAATGATGATTCCTATAGTCCAGAAATTATCAAACCATTTAAAGTTAAAGATTTATTAATTAGTACAGTGTATTATTCAGGAGGAATAAAATTCTATAAAGGTCAAATAACATTAATTAGAAGACGCTATAAAGAAATTCCATATTTTACTAAAGAAACAAATATAAATCGTACTTTAGACATTTTTACTATCGAAAATTTCAAAAATTTTTTTGGTATCAATTCCCTTAAAAAAAGTGCTAAAGTATTAGAATATTGGGACCCACCTAATTCAAGAAATATTATTACTGAAATTAATAGTAAAATCAAAAATCTTTATATTGGTTATCTCAATTATATTATTCCTCTTGAACTTCTCCCTCCAAATATTAAAAGATTAGAACTTTTAGATGGGTTTGATCAAACATTACTTCCACACCAACTACCAAATACAATCAAGCATCTTGTTATTGGTGGTATAAAAAAACCATTAAATATTAATTCTATATCAAAAGCTACAACTCTAACATTGTTGAGGGGATTTGATAACCAATTAATTCCTGGAGTGATAGGTGAATCAGTAACTAATCTATATATTGATGAACTTAAATATCAATTAAAACCCAATGTTATCCCTTCATCTGTTGTCAAACTAAGAATTTCAGATCATCAAATTGAAACAAATACTATACCATTATCTGTGAGTGATGCCCATATTACATTTAATAACATAGTTTTGCAACCAAACTCAATCCCATCAAGTATTACAACATTAACGATTTTGATCAATAATTTTAATGATTTAAATCATTCTTTAATACCAAACTCTGTAAAAAATTTATATATAATCAATAATAGCTCAAATTCGATTCCAATTAATTTTGTAATACCAAATTCAGTTATATTATTACAGTTGAGAGGTAACTTTGATTATATTAAACCGGGTATTATACCAGATTCAGTTAGAGAACTTTATATTGACCAAATCAATATACCATTCAAAATTAAATCAATTCCATATTCAGTTACCAGTCTCGAGGTTGGTGGTAGTTTTAACAAAAGTTTACCGTTTATTATTCCAGACTCTGTTGCAGAGTCTGGTATTATTAAAGACTCTGTTACGGAGTTTTGGTTTTGATAATTTAGTTGATGATTTTGTTCCTTACTTTTATACAAAAAGAGAAAAATTATATAAAAACTATAATTATATAAATAAAAATAAAATAATAAAACATTAATAAGCTAAAGTATTTTAACTGATTATTTAGTTGATATGCTTCAAACATCACTTACTCTCACAGAGTTTCATTAAAATATTGAACATCTAATATTCTAACACTATGTGGTATTACAGATTGAATATCGATGGAATAACTTGATCATGTGGTTCTAATGGTTCGTTTATATTAATAATTACTTTTGTTGCATATCCCCTGTGTGGATGATATCAAAGTTGATCCATTGATTTATTAACAAGTATTATCTTTTTAATTTTATATAGCCCGTGATGTCTTTGTATTTCACATAATAAAAACTTATTTCTCCATATTGAAAAAAATAATTTATCATTACAATCATTATTATTATTACTATTATTATTCATTTTATTGTTATTTAGCTGAATTATTATTATAAAAAAAAAATTAACAAAGGGTAAAACCTAAAAAAAAAAAAAAAGAAAAAAGAAAAAAAATTAAATAAAAAAGGGGTAATGTTGATAAAAAGCAGTTAAAATTAATAAAAACAAATTAAATAAGGATTATATTTATATTTAAAATATCGATATATAAGATGCTCCTATTTTAAGAGTGCTATTATAAAATTTCAAATCATAGACCAAATATTGGTATAAAAATTATAAATAAAATATATTGGATGTTGGTCCATCCTACCAATAGTTTATTTTTATTTTGCATCTTTTAGATATAGAATCTGGTATTGGATGTTGATAATAATCAGGTATTTCTATAAGATTAACTGATTGTGGAATGGTAGCTGGATCTAAGAGTCGATTATAATGATAACCAAATTGTAATTTTGTGAGGGATTCTGGTAATAGACCTACTTGAAGAGGATCATTATAAAAACGAGGTAATCTTAAATCTAATACCGAATTGGGTATAATATGGAGCTGATCAGGATGATTATAGTCTGTTGCTAGTTTTAAAATTGTAACCGAGGGTGGAATTGAATTAATATTGAATGAGCTTGGACCATTATAGTCGAAACGAAGTTCTGTAATCGATGATGGTAAATCATTTTCTAATAAACAATTTCTATATTCTGATAGTGATAAAACCTTTAAAGTATTTGGAAATAAATGTTTACCAAGGTTCTGGCTATATGACATTAGTTCTAAATGTTGAACATTTGGTGGTATCACTTGTGGTTCTAATTGATTGTCATAATAGAATAATTTGAGTGTAGTTATTGATGGTGGAAGTACATTTGGTTTTAAAAGTTTTATAAAAAAAGATAGCTGTAAAGTTTCAATAGAGTTTGGTAATTCTCCAATTAACATATCTTGATTAAAAGTTAACATTTTAAGTTTTTTTAGTGACTTTAACGAGGACAAAGAATTTGATAATGGTTGATCAAATTCATGCAGTTTTATGTTTGTGAGTGATTCCGGGAGTGCGTTATGCGGTATTGGGTGATTAAATGATTTTAATTTTAATGTTTTTAATTGAGATGGAAGAACATTTGGCTCTATTGGATGGTCATAATCACCTAGTTTTATCTTTTCGCATGCTGAAGGTAAATCACCAGCTTTAAAAGGATGGTTAAAGCTTTCTAGGTTTAATTCTACAAGTGAGCCAAAATAACCAGGAATAATACTCTGGTTAAAACTAAAAAGACTTAAACTTTTTAGAGAATTTGGAATGTATTTGATACCTTTATCTGGTCTAATCTTTAAAACTGTAAGTGATGGTGGTAACATATCTGGTGTGATTACTTCATGGTAATTGGGGAGAAATAGATCTGTTACACTTGGTGGTAAAACTGATTTAAAATCGATTGGTAGAATATATTCAAAACTAAATTTTAAAACTGTCACAGTTGCTGGAATATCACCTTCTTTAATTGTTCTATTAAAACGGGATGAAAATTCTAATTTTGTTGTACCATAAGGTATAGCTTGTCCATATGGTTCCAATTCTTCGTCAACTCCGATTATAATTTCTGTTGCATATCTTCTATGTGGATGGTATCTAAGTTGATCCATTGAACAGTCGATTTCTATTATTTTATTTTCATTATATAACCTGTGATGTCTTTGTATTTCGCTTAATATATATTTATTTCTCCATATTGAAAAAAACAATTTATCATGATTATTATTATTATTTATATTATTATATATATTGTTATTATTATTATTATTATGCATTCAATAGAAGATGGCAATTAAAAATTAAAAAAAAAAAAAAAAATTTCAAAAAATTCAAAATTATTTTTTTATTTTTTTTATTTTTTTTTCTTTTAACCCAAATTTTTATGTTTATTTAGAGTACAATTTCTTTTTATAGTTATTTTAATATTTTTAACCTATTTGTTAAAGATTCAGATATTGGATGTGGATAATTTCTATTATTTAATTTTATTTGGGTAACAGATTGTGGAATAGTATTTGGGTCTAGAAGTTGATCAAAACCAAAACCAAAGGTTAATTTAGTGAGGGATTCTGGTAATACACCCACTTGAAGGGGAGAGTAACAATCCGGTAAAGTTAAATCTACTACAGAGTCTGGAATTAAACCAGCTGGAAGAGGATGCTTATAGAAGCAGGGTAGTTTTAAAATTTCAACAGATGGTGGAATTGAATCCATTTCGAATATTTCTGGACCCCTATCGCAGAACCTAAGATATTTAATTGATGATGATAGAGAGTCTTTTAAAAAAGGTTGACCAAAACATGAGATTATTAGATAATTTATAGAATTTGGGAGTAGTTTTTTACTAAGGAAGCAGTTATATGAACTTAATTCTAAATGCTCTACATTGGGCGGAATTACCTCTGGTTCCAAAGGGTGATTATAGGTGTCTAATCTGAGGATTATTGTTGAATATGGAAGTACGTTTGGTAATAGTTTTTTATTAAAAAGGAATAGATTCAATGATGTAATTGAACTTGGTAATGCTGCTTCGGAAATATCCTGATTATAACTATACATTGATAATTTTTTTAATGACGTTAAGGATGACAGTGAGTTTGATAATGAGTGTTTATAATTATCCATATTGAGTTCGGTGATTGAATCTGGTAGTGAACCGTGGGTCAATGGGCAGTTAAATCCTGGAGTTATTAGTGTTTTTAAATTAGGTGGAAGGGCATTGGGTTCTAGTGGTTGATTATAGATATTTAAATTTAAGGTTTCAAGTGTTTTAGGTAAATCACCAGCTTTTAAAAGTTGATTATACGATGTTAGATGTAGATTTACAACAGAGTTGAATAAGTTGGGTCCAGAGATTGTCTTATTGAATTTATATAGAGATAAAAATGTTAATGAATCTGGGAAAGTGCCTTCACAGATTTCTTGATCCATTCCCAATGTTAAACTCTTAATATTTGGGGGTAAAGTATTTGGTGTGAGTGGTTGATTAAAGTTACGGTATTCAAATAATGTAACTCCTGAAGGTAAAGCTGATTTAATATCAATTGGCTGGGTGTAATTATTTCCAAATTTTACACTTGTGACGGTTTCTGGGATATCACCTGCTTCAATTGGTTTATAAGATATTTTGTCTGAATCTGGTGTTTTTATTCCTTCATTATGATAAATAAACACTGATGTAATATACTCTCTATGTGAATGATGTCTAAGTTCATACATTGATTTTAAATATACTATTTCATATTCATCATACAATTTTATGTGTTTTTGTATTTCACTTAATAGATACTTGTTTCTCCATATTGAAAAAAATAAATCATCAATATTATTATTTTTATTGTCTGTGTCTAACATTTTATTTTTATCATTATAAATTCATTTTATAATTTTATTAAAAAAAAGAAAAAAAAATTAAAATTATTTTAAGAAAAATTAAAGAAAAAAAAAAAGATTTTTTTTTTTTATTAAAAAAAAAAATATAAATGTTCAAATAAAAAAGTTTGTCTTGGGTGTCTCGATAAAAAATTTAGAAATAAAAAATTTTTTTTTTTTTTATAAAAAAAAAGTGATGCATATTTTTCTTATTTTTTTTAAAAAATGCACCTTAACACCCCCTTGGGTTTGTTTGTGGAATTTTGTAAAAGAAAAATTTTTTATTTAGTAATCAAATTACTTACCAATTTGATAAAACTTAAAATTAAATTGATAGACTATTAATATTTGTGCTATAATTGTCTGTATAATTTTTTGAATTTAAAGGGTTTTATATATTTATTTTTTCACACTAGTGTGAATTGGGGTGTGATAAATGGGTGAAATTTGTTTTTATTTTTTTTTTTTTAATTTTAAATTATTTTTTAAATTTTAAAATTTTTTTTGTAAAATAAATTTATATTTTTTATAAAACCACAATTGTGTTTTTTTGGTGGTGGTGTGGAAAATTTTATTAATAGCATAAATTGAACAATAAGATTGCTTCCAAAAAAGAAGTGATCTGTTTCAATTATATTTTTTTTTTTTTTTTTTTTATCGTTTGTTTAGAGCTCGCTTATTACATTTAACAATTAAAAAAAACCCTTATGTGAATTGATTAATTATTTAATTGAAAATATTAAAATTTATTTTTTTAAAATTTTTAAATTTTTAAGGGGAAGGAAAAAAAAAAAAACTAGGGAAAAAAAAAAACATAAAAAGCGTAAAAAAATTTCTTTTATTATCATTAAACAAATATTTGTTATAATAAAATCAAATATATAATTAAATTATATAAAGAATTAAGTACATATTTTAAACAAATAAAATTAATATAATATAAAAATGGCATCACAAAGATTTTCGAGTAATTTTTTATTTTAATTTTTATTATTTATTTATTTTTATAATATATTAATATAAAATTTTTTTTTTTTTTTATTATAGGTTTTACAAGATTTTTCTCTTCAAAAAAAAATAATACTATAGCTGGTAATACTCCTATTGGTCCAAAAAGTAACAAATATGAACCTATTGTTCTTAAATGCCAGTATAATTTTGGATTATGGGGATATTAAAACTAATTTTTCTTATCACAACATAATCAATTCAAAATAGTTTTCTCGAGTAAATAGTTCCTTTTTTCAAATATCTGTACAGTTTGTTTATATTTATATAGCTTTTTAAAAAATAAAATAAAAATAAAATTCTAAAAAATAATTAAATTTTTTTATTTTTGATCATATTTTAAAAAATTTCTTTATTATTACTTATTATTATTTTTTATTATTTTATTATTATTATTACATAAATATATTTATTTGTGTAGAGTAGAAATAGTATAATTATATTTGGGTGTGGATAAGTGTGTGTGTTAAAAGGGGTGAAATTTGGGATTTGGGACGTGAAAATTTAAATTTTATTAATTTTAATTTAAAATTAAATTTTTTTTTAATTTAAAATGTAAAAAAATAAAATTTAATTAATTTTGATTTTTTTTTTATTAGATCACTTATAAAAAGTGTGGTTTTGTTCATAAAAAATTAAAATTAAGGATAAGGAAAAGAAAAAAAAAAACTAGGGAAAAAAAAATATATTTTTTTGTTTATAAAAACCAAAATTTTTAAATTAATAATTTAATCTTTATAAGCCTACAAATACATAATTTAAACAAATAAATAAATCAAATAAATATTTTCAAAATATATATAATAAAAATGGTTTCTCAAATTATCTCAAGTAATTACTAGATTTTTTTATTTTTATATTATTAATATATTATTAAAATAAATTTTTTTTTTTTTTTTTTAAATAGGAATAAGAAAGTTTTTTTCACAAAACAATAATAACTCAAATGTTGGCTATACTCAAATTGGTCCAAAAACAAAAAATACTGAACGTATTGTTCTTAAATGCCAGTATAATTTTGGAATGTGGTAAAATTCTAGTTGTTAGCTGTGATGAAAGAAGTTTAAACTAGTCTTTCTTCATTCCACAAAATCAATTCAAAAATAGTTTCCTCTTGTAAATAGTTTCTTTTTTTCGATAATCTGCGCAGTTTGTTAATATTTATATTGTTTTTTAAAATAATAAATAAAAAATAATTTTAAGATATTTTTATAATAATAAAAAAAACAAATTAAATTATATTGTAATACATATGTATTACAATATTAAATATTTATTTAAATAATTGTTCAATGTAATAATACATGTTTTAAGTTTAAATTATTTGTTTTGTTTTTATGAGGGTATCCATCCAGGTGAACATAGAATTGACATTTGAGGAGATAAGTATGCAGAGGATATTGGGTAGGAAATTGGGGGTGAATAGCTGATTGATTGGTTTGGTGATTCATTAGTCGATTGAATAGGTGAGGTATCTGTATATTTGGTTTTTTTTTTGGGTTGGTTATTTTTTAAATCTATATAATGCTTATTATTACTATTATTTATATTGCTGGGTATATTATTATCTATAATATTGTCTATTTTGTTATAGTAAGGTAAAATAATATTTTTATAATGATCGATTGAATACTGGCCCTCTTTATTTTCTTTACTAATTTTAAATCTAAAATAATCATAATGTAATCTAAAATTAAGATATCTAATATCGATTTGATTTGAATCTTGATTACTATTTTCGTAAATTTGTTTTAAACTATTATAGAAAAAACTATTATTTGGAAATATTTCTATTATTTTTTTAAATTGTTGTTTTAGATTATCATTTGGATTAAAATAAAAATTATGTTGTTTTGTTTTTTTATAAAAATGATTTTCTAATAGCTTTTTAACTTGATAGTTGAAATGTTCTATAATGTGAAATTGAATTTTATGAATTTCTTGATCGTTTTCATATGGCTCTATATTGATATCTTCGATTGTTTCTATTGAATAGTTTGGATCTTGTTCTTTTAATAATATTGCAAATTTAAAAACTAATATTCTATATTGAACCTGTCTATTTAAATCAAAGATTTCCCAATCATTTAAATTATCTGTTCCAAAACTTTCATTTGGTATCTTTTTTATTTCGGTGGTCCATCGAATTAAACTATATAGTCCAGGGTATTTGATTAAAAATAAATTCCTAATATTTATAAAATCTTTAAAACTTTCTAATAAAAAACTTCTATTATTTAGAAAATCGAATTTGTTTTTTATTAAATTTTGATTGTTAATATCTTTGCTAATAATGTTTTTACAATTGTTATTTCTACTATTATTACAACTGATATGATTATTATTACTAATGGTAGAAATGTTTAAAATTTTATTATTATTTTGAAGTTTATAAATTGTTTTTTTTATAATTTCTAATAATTCATTTTTTTGAGTATCATTAAATGATTTTAAATGATTGGATTCTATATCTTTAAGAAATGTATCCATATTGTATTTTTTATTTGTTATTTATTATTTGTTATTTGTTTTTAATATTAAACAAAATAAAGAAAAAAATTACATTTATAGTGGAATTTATTATATTAAATTTATTATAAAAAAAATTGATTTATTTTAAGAGTTTAAGAATATAAACCAAAAAAAAAAAAAAAAAACTTACCCAAGGGTGAAAGAGATTGATCAAGGGGGAAATTTTAATAAAAATAAAAATAAAAATAATTTTTATAAAAAATAAAAAAAATTTTAAAAAAATTTTTTTTTTGATCAAGAAAAATTCAAGAAATTCGAGAATCACAAAAAAATAATTTATAAAACAATGATGCTATTTTAATATAATGACCCCTATAAATAAATTTAAATGTATAATAATATAGAAAATAAAAAAAATTGTAAAGATAATAATAATAATAATAATAATAATAATAATAATAATAATAATAATAATAATAATAATAATAATAATAATAATAATAATGATAAATTATTTTTTTCAATATGGAGAAACCAATATCTATTAAGTGAAATACAAAGACATCACAGGTTATATAATGAAAATAAAATAATAAATATTGACACCACATTGGATCAACTTAGATATCATCCACATAGAAGATACACAACTACAGTAATTATTAATAGTGATGAACCATTAGAACCACACGGTCAACTTATACCTTATGGCACTACAAAATTAAAATTCAAAGAATATTTTAATAAACCAATTCAAACAGGTGATATTCCATCATCGGTCACTAGTTTAGAAATTTATAAGGGTTACAAGCAAATAATTGATATTAAATCAACTATACCACCAAGTGTTACAAAATTAGAATACTCTTTTTACAATCAATTACTCACACCAAATATGTTGCCACCATTTCTCATCCGTTTAAGAATAGGGATAAATCAAGAAATTAGTATTGGCACATTTCCACAATCATTAACCTCTTTAGATATATATAAGTTCAACAAGACAATTATACCCGGTATATTTGGTTCAGTAATAGAGTTATCTCTAGGCTCCTTTAATCAACCTTTATATGCTGGTGACTTACCAATAACATGTGAAAAACTAGCACTTGATTCATTTAACCATCCAATAAAATCAAATGTTCTTCCACCCAAATTAAAATCATTGTCTCTAAACAGCTTCAATCATCAAATATCGTATGGTGTACTTCCAGAATCAATCACAGATATTCATTTATTTAATTTTAATAAACCATTATCAAACTCTTTATCATCACTAAACTCATTAAAAAATTTAGAAATGATTTATTTTAATCAAGAGATTTCATATGGAGAATTACCAAACTCTATTGAAACTTTAAATCTAAATTGTTTTAATAGAATTTTAAAACCAAACGTGCTTCCACCATCTATAACCAAGCTTATATTAAGGGGCTTTAAAAAGCAACTAGAACCACAAGTAATACCACCAAATACACAAATTTTAGAACTATATACATATAATGGCAATCTTGGTAAACACTTATTTCCAAATACATTGGAGGTATTAATATTTGGTTTCTTAAGTTGTATATCAGAAAATGATTTACCGTCATCCATCACAAATCTTTCTTTTGGTTATCATGGTCCAAGCTCATTCGAAATTAATTCAATTCCACCATCAGTTAAAATATTGCAATTACCTCATGACTTTAACCATCCTATTCCAGTCGGGATTATACCCAATTCAGTTGTTGATTTAACATTTCCTCGTGATTATAATCATCCTCTTCAAGTTGGTGTATTACCAGAATCTCTCACTAAATTATCCTTTGGCTTTTATTTTAATCAACCCCTAGACCCAAATACTATTCCACAATCCGTTACTCAAATAGAATTACCTGATAATAATAAACATTCAATACCAGATTCTTTATTGAAAAAGATTAAATATAATACATAAAATAAATAAAGAAATAAAATTAGATTTTTTATTATTAAATTTTTGATCTAATATTTAAATATTTTAGATTGAATAGTTTTTAAAATATTTATAATCCATTCTGATAACTTTTGAGTGGGAGAGAATCTTTTCTAAATACATAAAATTAAATACAATCGAGAAAATTAAAATTAACTTAAAGGATAGACCACATCCCCCAAAAAAATAGAAGATAAAGAAGTCAGGAAAAATACCTTTTGTAAAAGGTTGAGAGAAGCCATTTGTAAATGCAAAAAGAGTTAAATGATTTGGAATTGAACCAGGTTTTAATTGATACTTGATGTTTTGTAAATACAAGCATTTTACAGTGGGTGGAATGGTTGGTGGAATGGCTGATAGAAATGATATACTTTTGAAAGGTCCAATAACAAGGTATCTAATTTTTAAATGATTAAGTTTACAAAGAACGGTGTAAATTGTATATTCTAAATTTAATAATACTTAAATTAATTTTTTTATAAAGTATTATTATAAAATTAAAATAAAAAACTTAATGTTAAAACTTACTTATTACATACAGGAATATTGTTTGGATAAGTCGATCATATTAAAGAAATATCTTGACCAGGGTGATTAAAGCATTTGGTATCATATTGTTGATTATTTGACATTATTTTTTTTTACAATTATTATTTATTTACTATTAATACTGTGTTTTAAATAAACAAAAAATGTCTGCATTATATTTCAATAAAAAAATAAAATTAAAAAAAAAGAAAAATTATCGAATGTGAAACAATTAGAAATAAAGCCATATAATTATAGGCTTTGTAAAGATTTACTCTCCAATAATTTGTGTAACAGATTGAAAAACAGTATTTAAGATATTTATCTTTTACAAGATAACTGAAATGTGTTTTTTTATTTTATATTTTATTTAATTTTAAAACTATATTTTTGGATATTTGTAGTTGGAACCATATTTAATAATTTGGTGGGGGTTTGAAATGGAGTCAGGTTCTAAAGGATAGACCACATCCCCCATACAAATAGAAGATATAGAGCCAGGGATCATACCTTTTGTAATACGTTGAGAGAAGCCATTATAAAATTCAAGATGAGCTAAATGATTTGGAATTGAACCAGGTATTAATTGATACTTGATGTTTTGTAAATACAAGCATTTTACAGTGGGTGGTATAAAATCAAGTGGTTGGTTAAAGCCATCTAGTAAATATAAATGTGTAACTGTTGTTGGAATTAATTTATACTTGATGTTTTGTAAAAGCAAGTATTTTACGGTGGGTGGTATAAAATTAAGTGGTTGATCAAAGCCATCAAGTAAAAATAAACTTTTAACTGATTCTGGAATTGAACCAGGTGTTATTAGAACCTTGATGTTATGTAAAAGAAGGTATTGTATAGTGGGTGGTATAAAACTAAGTGGTTGATTAAAGCCATCAAGTAATAATAAATTTGTAACGGTTGGTGGAATGTTTTTAGGTAAACATTTGATAGGCCCAATAGCAAGGTATCTAATATTTAAATGACTAATATCACACCCTTCTTTGTAAATTGTATATTCTAAATTTAATACTTTATAAAAAAAATTAATTTAAGTATTATTATTATAAAATATAAATAAAAAATTTAATGTTAAAACTTACATTTTATGGTTTTAGAATCATTTAAAAAAATATCATCAAATACTTCTAAATAGTTGTTTGTTAAATCTTTGATTGACTCGAGATTATTTTCTTTAATTATTAATTGAGTATCTTTATATTCTGGTAAGTTATTATTATTATTTATATTTGATAAAAGATTGTTACATTGATGATTGTGTTTTAAAAGTTCAATAAAGCCAATATTATTATTTAAATTTTCATTATCATTATTGTTATTAATGTCATTATTATAATTAATAGCATAATTTATTTTATTATTATTGTTTTCTATTGTTGTTGTTATTATATTATTTACATCTGTATTTTCGTCTAATTTAGTTAATAATAATCTTTTGATATCATTTTCTTTTGCATTGATAATATCTTTTAATTCTTTAAATATTTTAAAAGTTTTTTCAAAATTCATTGTATGATTATCTTGAATTTGTTTAAAGTGATTGTTTGATCCATCCAATATTTTTTTATTATTTTCTAAATAGTTGTTTAGTTTTGGTATTGTTTGATTTCTAAAATTATGTTCTATTTGATTTCTTAAATTTATATCATTTAATTTTTTAAAACTATGACCATCATGAATATCGACAATACAATCAATACATACAGGAATATTGTTTGGACAAGTCGAGCATATAGAAATAATATCTTGATAAGGGTGGTTAAAGCATTTGGTATTATATTGTTGATTATTTGACATTATTTATTTTTAGAATTTAAATATTAGTTTTTACAATTATTATTCATAATTTATTTACTTTAAATAAAATAACGCTTTTTTAAAAAAAATAAATTTAGACATTAGGTTAAATTAAAAAAATTTTATTTTTTTAAAAAAAATAAAAATTTTTTTTACAAACTTAATTTAAGTATTTGGTCGTCTTCGTGAACTCAACGCTTAAATTTCTAAAAATAAAATTTTTAAGTAATTAAAAAATGATTAGGTTGTACAGAAAATTATTTAGCCTTCAAATTATTCAATATCATCATAATCAAGATAGTAAATTATATGTAACTCTATTGTCATGAAAAAATTTATATTCTTTTTTATAATTTAAAAAGAATATAAAAATATTTCTTTAAAGAAAAATTTTTAAAAAGAAATATTTTATTTATTTTTTATTTAAATTGCATCACCTGGATAGTAATTTAAATACGATAATTACCAGTCATTTGTGTGGAAATTAAAATTAAACCTCATTCTAAAAAAAATTTATATCCACTATTTTTTATAAAATAAAAAAAAAATTAAAAAATAAAAAACCCAAATTATTTTTTATTTTTTTTTTCTTTTTTCCAAAAATTAAGATATTTTTAATTTTTTTAAAAATTTAAGAATCATGATTCTTAAATTAATAAAATAAAAAAAAAAAATCTTTATTATAAAATTATAAAAAAGATTAAGAAACATGGAATCAATAAATAATTATATAGAAAATGATAATAATAGTAATTCAGAAATTAAAAATAAAAATATTAATAATTTTAATAATAACAGATTGTTTTTTTTAATTTGGAGAAACAAGGTTATCCTCAATATAATTCATAGACATCTCAGGTTGTATAATATGACCAAAAAAGTCACACATGTTAATCATTCCATGAGTCAACTTAGGGATCATAAACACAGAACTTATATTACAAAAATTGTTTTTTCAATAAACAAACCTTTAACACCACATGGTGAATTGATACCTAATAGTGTATCAGCAATATATTTCGAAAAAAAATTTAATTCCCCAATATTAGAATGCGATATTCCATTATCAGTCACCAGCTTGAAACTTGGTCATAAATTCAAACTGCAAATCGATATTAAATCAATTATACCTCCAAGTGTAACAGATTTAGAGTACCATAATTACAACTTGTCACCATTTGCAACTAATACGCTACCTCCGTCACTCACCAGTTTAAATATGGCAGAACTAAATCAAAATATTGATGGGGTTTTTCCAAATTCACTGAAGCATTTAGATCTTTTTAAATTTAACCAAGAAATTATTACAGGTACTTTTAATTCGGTGGTAAATTTAATTCTAGGTTCCTTTGACCAACCTTTGAGGCCTGGTGATATACCTATAACTTGCGAAAGTTTAAAACTCGGTTCATATAATCATCCAATAGAACCAAATATTCTTCCAAGTAAATTAAAAAGCCTTACTCTATCATCATTCAACCAAGAAATCCCAAATAATGCACTACCAAATTCCATTACCTACTTGAAGATGTGCCGATTCAATAAGCCGCTATCAAAATCTCTTTCATCACTAAACTCACTAAACACCCTAAAAATGAAAACATTTAATAAAATTATATCAAGGAAATCACTCCCCAGTTCTATTGAATATTTAAATATAAAAAGTTTAGAGCAATTATTAAAACCAAATGTACTTCCGCCATCGATCACTTTACTCAAAATGAACTATTATAATTTTCCATTAGAACCACAAGTAATACCACCAAATGTGAAACAATTAGAAATAAAGTCATATAATAATAGGCTTGGTAAAGATTTACTCCCCGATAATTTGCAAGTATTAAAACTATCAAAATACAAAGAAACATTATTGGATTTACCATCATCAATTACAAATCTTAATTTGGGTAAAAACCCGAAAGAATTAAAAGCCTATTCAATTCCTCAATCTGTTAAAATTTTAAAACTTCCAAAAAAGCTACGTTCTCTTGAAGTTGGCCTAATTCCCGATTCTGTAAAAGAATTAACCCTACCTCGTGACTTTGATAAAAAATTTAAAAAAGATGTATTACCCAAATCACTCACAAAACTCAACTGTGGTATTTTTTATGACCAACCCCTAACACAAATATATATTCCATCATCAGTTACCGAAATAAAAGTATATCACCCCCAAACACATCAAATACCGAAATTTTTTTCTAAAAGGGTAAATGTTATTCTTTGTAAATGGGAAATAGAAAAATAAAATAAAACAATTAAAACTTTTTTACAATCTTTTTACTATTAATCTTTATAATTATCTACAATTAATATCTTATGGGCTAAACATTAATTTTATATTTCTTTTATTAAATAACGATTACTTTTATTTCGGTAGCTTTATTTATGTAATAATAATCTTTAAATTGATATATAAAATTTCTTTTTATTTTTTATAAGTGTGCATGTCCTAAAAGTTTCCAAAGTATTTGAGATTGTGAAAGTTTGGATATAGGGCCTTCTTTTTTTTGAATAAAAGTGGTTAAATAAATTTGAATAAAATATTTAAAAATGTATTAAAACCATATACTCTATAATAATAATTGTCTAAACGTTTTATTGTCGTCTTTTAAACAAAAAAAACTGACAATAGATTTTTATTTTAAAAAAAAATTATTTTGCAATTAAAAAAAAAAATTCGAAAATTAAAAAAAAAAAAATTAATTTTTTTTTTTTTTTTATTTAATTTAATTTTTATATTTATATTTATACAACTGCATGTTTACAATGAAATACAACCCATCAGCTAATAATAACACAATTTCAGATAATAACAATAATAATTTTGAAAAATTATTTTTTTCAGTATGGAGAAACAAGTATCTATTAAGTGAAATACAAAGACATCACAGGTTATAATGAAAATAAAATAATAGATATAAACTGTTCAATGGATCAACTTAGATATCACCCACATAGAAGATATGCAACATCAATTATAATTGGAGTTGATGAAAAATTTGAACCACATGGCCAACTTATACCCTATGGTGTAACTGAATTAGAATTAGATCTTAATCTAGATAAAGAAATTAAAGCAGGCGATATCCCAATAACAGTGACAAATCTTAGATTATGTTATTCCCTACCGATCGATTTAAAATCAATTATACCACCAAGTGTTACTTCTTTCGACTATTTAAATAATGAATACCCAGTTGAACCAAATATGCTACCACCATCAATAACCAATTTAACTCTACGTATGGATCAAGAAATTAATATCGGTACTTTTTCAAACTCTATTCAAAAATTAAACCTATCTTTTTTCAATCAAATTATTATACCGGGTTCATTTGGTTCAGTTGTAGAGTTAAGTCTAGATTCTTTTAATCATCCTTTAAAGCCTGGTGATTTACCAATAACATGCCAAGAATTGAATCTCGGTTTATATGATCATCAAATTCAACCAAATGTTCTTCCATCTCAATTAAAAAAATTAACTCTACAAAATTATAATCATCCAATCCGATATGGTGTTCTTCCAGAATCAATTACTGAACTTTATTTGAACAATTTTAATCAAAAATTATCAAACTCACTATTGTTATTAAAATCATTAAAAACTCTAAGGATGAATTTATTTGATCAAAAGATATCTATCGGGGAATTACCGCAATCTATCGAAACTTTAGGCCTTACTCATTTTAATCAACCTTTAAAACCAAATGTACTTCCACCATCAATAACCACACTCATTTTGTCCAATTATAATCATCAAATAGAACCACAGGTAATACCACCCAATGTTCAAAATTTAGAATTAGAGGCATATAGTTGCAATATTTATGAAGGTATATTTCCAAATTCATTATTAAATTTATATCTAGGAAGTTTCACAGGCAAATTATTTCCAGGTGATTTACCACCATCAATTACAGAGCTTCATTTTGATTATAATGGTCCAACTAAAATAAATGTATTTTCAATTCCATCAAAAGTAAAAGTCTTGCGACTACCCCATAATTATGCACAGCCTTTAGAAGTCGGTTTAATTCCCGATTCAGTAGAAGATTTAAGATTACCTCGTTTTTTTAATAAACCTATTCCAAAAGGTCTATTACCAGAATCACTCACAACAATATTCTTTGGTGATTACTATAACCAACCTTTAGATCCAGACACAATCCCAAAATCCGTTACCAAGATAGATATGCCCGAAACATATTCTTTTCCAATACCAGCTTCTATAATTAAAAATTTAAAAAATTAAATACAAAAAAAATAAAAAATAAACAAATTTTTTTAAACCATCTTATCACTAAGAAGACCAACTACTACTGGAAAATCAAAATCATCTGCCATTTGCAGGGAGAAATTGATCTTCCCCAATTTTTCGTTTTTTTGGAACATCTTCATCATATTTATTATCTTTAAAAGTAATGATATAATAAGATAAAAATAAAAAATAAAAAAAAATAAATAAATAAATTGTTTTTTTTAAAATTTTTCATTTTTATTTTCAAAACACATTAGCAAAACAAATAATAAAATGGAATCATAAAAAAAAAAAAAAAAAAAAAAAGAAAAATTTTATTTTATATCGCGAAAAATGTTTAATATATATATTTTTTTTTTTTTTTTTTAAATTTTTTTATTATATTTTTTTTTTTTTTTTTTTTTTTAATTTTTTTTTTGCCAATTCAAAAAAATTGAGGTTACCCCAATTGGGGTTAAAAAAAATAATAAATATAAAACATAATTTTATGCTCGATTATAAAATAGGAGACGTTTTGGAGTTGCCAATATGGATATACCCATTACCCCATTAAATTTAATTGATCACAATTTAAAAGATAGTTGTAATAATAATAATAATAATAATAATAATAATAATAATAATAATAATAATAATAGTAATAATAATAATATTAATAATGATAATAATAATAATGATAAACTATTTTTTTCAGTGTGGAGAAACCAATATTTATTAAGTGAAATACAAAGACATCACAGGTTATATATTGAAAATGAAGTTGTTTTTATTAACAATTCAATGAATGAACTTAAATATTATCCATATAGAAGATATTTAACAGAAATTATAATTAGAGCTGATGAAAAATTTGAACCACATGGTCAACTTATACCTTATGGTACAAAAGAATTGGATATAGATCTTTTAGGTAAAGAAATTAAAGCAGGCGATATCCCAACAACAGTGACAAATCTTATATTAGGTTATACCCTACCGATAGATTTAAAATCAATTATACCACCAAGTGTTACTTTTTTAGAATATTTAAATTTTGAATACCCACTTGGACCAAATATGCTACCACCATCAATAACCAGTTTAGCTCTACGTATGGATCAAGAAATTAATATCGGTACTATTTCAAACTCTATTCAAAAATTAAACCTACCTTTTTTCAAGCAAATTATTATACCTGGTTCATTTGGTTCAGTTGTAGAGTTAAGTCTAGATTCTTATACTCATCCTTTAAAGCCTGGTGATTTACCAATAACATGCCAACAATTGAATCTCGGTTTATATGATCATCAATTTCAACCAAATGTTCTTCCACCTCAATTAAAAAAATTAACTCTACAAAATTATAATCATCCAATCCACTATGGTATTCTTCCAGAATCAATTACTGAACTTTATTTGAACAATTTTAATCAAAAATTATCAAACTCACTATTGTTATTAAAATCATTAAAAACTCTAAGGATGAATTTATTTAATCAAGATTTATACGGGGAATTACCGCAATCTATCGAAACTTTAGGCCTTACTCATTTTAATCAACCTTTAAAACCAAATGTACTTCCACCATTAATAACCACACTCCTTTTTTACAATTTTAATCATCAAATAGAACCACAGGTAATACCACCCAATGTTCAAAATTTAGATTTAGGGGCATATAATTGCAATATTTATAAAGGTATATTCCCAAATTCATTATTAGATTTATATCTAGGAAGTTTCACAGGCGAATTATTTCAAGATGATTTACCATCATCAATTACAGTGCTTCATTTTGATTATAATGGTCCAACTAAATTAAATGTTAATTCAATTCCATCAAAAGTAAAAGTCTTGCGACTACCCCATAATTATGCACAGCCTTTAGAAGTCGGTTTAATTCCCAATTCAGTAGAAGAATTAAGCTTACCTCGTTTTTTTAATGAACCTATTCCAAAAGGTCTATTACCAGAATCACTCACAACAATATTCTTTGGTGATTACTATAACCAACCTTTAGATCCAGACACAATCCCAAAATCCGTTACCAAGATAGATATGCCCGAAACATATTCTTTTCCAATACCAGCTTCTATAATTAAAAATTTAAAAAATTAAATTAAATACAAAAAAAAAAAAAAAAAAAAAAAAAAATAAACAAATTTTTTTAAACCAAAATCATCATCTGTTATTTGTGGAACATCTTCATCATATTTTCTTTTATTATCTTTATAATTATAAAAATAATTATATAACAACATTTATAAAATATTTTTTTTTACCAATTAAAAAAAATTGGGGTTTAAAAAAAATAATAAATTTAAAACAGATAATTTTCTTCTAGATTATAAAATAGGAGACGTTTTGGAGTTTCCAATATGGATATATCCATTACCCCATTAATTTTAATTGATCACAATAAGAAGTTAAAAGATAGTAGTAATTTTAAAAAATAATAATAATAGAAAAAATAATCACTATAAAAAGAATGAGCTTTATTCAGTGCGGAAAAATCAATATCTATAAAGCAAAATTCAACACATCAATTGAGTAATTACCAAACTCTTCAAGTTTTAACCCCTAAAGGTACCCCCACCATTAATTAATAGATTCACTTTAAACAACAATGGAACCCACAAGTAACACCATCCAAATATATAATCTAAAACTTGTTTTTTATTTTAATATTGTGCGTTATAGTTAACTTTTAGTCTGTTACATAAACATTCTGATAATGTATAAAAATGATATTTTCAATACAATTTAAATTTTATTTTGTTTATTATTATTGTTTTCGTTTGCCGGTGGAACTACTTGGTTAAAACCAGCTCCGAATGTGAGTGTTGTGAGACTATTTGGTAATGAGTCGGGCGGAACTACTTGGTTAAAACGATCACCAAATGTGAGTGTTGTGAGATTATTTGGTAATGAGTTGGGTGGAACTACTTGGTTAAATTCATGACCGAATGTGAGCGTTGTGAGATTATTTGGTAATGAGCCGGGTGGAACTACTTGGTTAAAATTATAACCGAATGTGAGCGTTGTGAGACTATTTGGTAACGAGCCGGGTAGAACTACTTGGTTAAAACGATCACCAAATGTGAGTGTTGTGAGATTATTTGGTAATGAGTTGGGTGGAACTACTTGGTTAAAATCATAACCGAATGTGAGTGTTGTGAGATTATTTGGTAATGAGTTGGGTAGAACTACTTGGTTAAAACCAGCTCCGAATGTGAGTGTTGTGAGACTATTTGGTAACGAGCCGGGTAGAACTACTTGGTTAAAACGATTACCAAATGTGAGTGTTGTGAGACTATTTGGAAATATGTCGGGTAGAACTACTTGGTTAAAAAGACTGCCAAATGTGAGTGTTGTGAGATTATTTGGTAATATGTCGGGTAGAACTACTTGGTTAAAATCATAACCGAATGTGAGTGTTGTAAGACTATTTGGTAATGAGTTGGGTAGAACTGCTTGGTTAAAACGATTACCAAATGTGAGTGTTGTGAGATTATTTGGTAATGTGTCGGGTAGAACTACTTGGTTAAATTTATCACCAAATGTGAGGGTTTTGAGACCATTTGGTAATGTGTCGGGTAGAACTTCTTGGTTAAATTCAGAACCAAACGAGAGTGTTGTGAGACTATTTGGTAATGAACCAGGCAGAATTGCTTGGTTATAATCACTACCGAAAGTCTTAGGGGATAAAGGTTTCCCAGGTTTAAAATTGGAAAACAGTCTTAATTGTTGAACACTCGGTGGTATTACTTGAGGTTTTAGTTGGTGATCGTATCCGTATAAACAGAGGTCGGTTATTGATGGTGGAAGAATATTTGGTTTTAAAACTTGATTAAAATCGGGTAGAATCAAAGTTTCTATAGAGTTGGGTAATGTTTCGGCAGTAATGTCTTGATTAAAAGAATTCAGAGCCAATGTCTTTAATTTTTTTAGTGGTGATAGAATGTTTGATGCAATTGGTTGGTTGTATAGACCAAGATTGAGTTTTTCGCATGTTTTAGGTAAATCACCAGCTTTTAAAGGATGGTTAAAAGAGTGTAGATCTATATTTACAACTGAACCAAATGAACCTGGAATAATACTTTGGTTAAAGCTATATAAATGTATATCTCTTAATGAGTTGGGAAAAGAGCCAATACTAATCTCTTGATTTAAATCCATCATATTCAAACTGGTAAGAGATGGTGGTAGCATATTTGGTTGGAGTGTTTCGTTATAATTGCTGTACTCTAGTTTTGTAACACTTGGTGGAATAACTGTTTTAATATCGATTGGATGAGTATATTGATCGCCCAAGTTCACACTAGTGACTGTTGATGGTATGTCACCTGCTTGAATTGGTTGATTAGATTCAAATACAAATTCTAATTCTGTTGTACCATAGGGAATAAGACCGTATGGTTCTAATGGTTCATCGACATAAAATCTAATTTCTGTTGCATATCTTCTATGTGGATGATATCTAAGTTGATCCATTGAACAGTCGATTTCTATTATTTTATTTTCATTATATAACCTGTGATGTCTTTGTATTTCACTTAATAGATACTTGTTTCTCCATATTGAAAAAAATAATTTATCATTGCTATCGTTATTATAATTTATCATTATCTATATTATTATTGTTTTTTTTTTATTTCTTATATTACTATTTTTTATAGCATTACTATAAATCCCCTTTCAGGTGCCAAAAAAAAAAATTTTAAAAAAAATATTAAAAAAAAAAAAAAAAAAATTTTTACAAAACGAATTAAGCAGAAAAAAATTTTTTGTTAAAATAAATAAAAAATAATATAATTTTTAATTTATTTTTAAAAATATATTTATTTTAAAGTTTATTTTAATTTTTATTTAGAGTTAATTGATTTATAATTAAGTTTGAGCAACTTTGAATTTGGGATTATGGAACGCAACATTACACTTCATGGAGGAACACATTATGACATTTACATTGAGACTAAAATATAAATTTCTTTTATAGTTTATGCCTTGAATTGAATAACCATTACTACACATATAACAAGGACCTCTTTCTTTTTTATCTTTATCAATTGTAACATGAATGAGTTTTAGAATTTTGATTGTATTTCTTGGTAATGAATTTCCAGTACCTGATGGTTTATTTGATTATTGCATAAATGAAATTAAAAATTTCTGAAACTAAATTTCTCTTTCTTATTTTCTAAATATATGTTTGTAACCACCATGCAATTGTAATATAATGTACAGAATATCATTAAAATAACTCTTGGATAATTGGGTGAACGTTGTATATTTCTCTGTGGATTTATTAACATTTTAGTTGCATCTTCCAAGTTGTGATTATGATTATATAAATGATAAATCTTGGTGTATAGATTGGTTCAGTTGTGTATTTACCAGTACTTTTATCTTTAACTCTTGAATCTCTTTAAAGTTCTCCTTTCTTTTCTTTATATATTGGCATTGGTATATTGGTTAATGACCTTACTAAGGCTCAGACCTGCAGCGGTTGAATAAAAAATTTTAAAATTCGATTATAGTCAAACAATTAAAAAACCGACCAGAGATTCATTCAAATAATTCAATGAATAAAAAAAAAACATATAAATAAAAAAAAAAAAAAAAATTAAATACTGGGTTACATTCTTTTTTTTTTTTTTTTTTTTTAAAATTTTTTTTTTTTAGCCAAAAAAATTGGGGATTAAAAAAAATAATAAATATAAAACATAAAATTTTCTACTCGATTATAAAATAAGAAACCTTTGGAGTTGCCAATATGGATATATCCATTACCCCATTAAATTTAATTGACCACAATTTAAAAGATAGTAATAATAATAATAATAATAATAATAATAATAATAATAATAATAATAATAATAATAATAATAATAATGATGCTCTATTTTTTTCAGTCTGGAGAAATAAATATTTATTAAGTGAAATACAAAGACATCACAGGTTATATAATGAAAATGAGATAATATTCATTGAAGGGTCAATGGATCAACTTAGATATCATCCACATAGAAGATATTTAACAACAGTTTCTATTATTGTTCAAGAACCATTAGAACCACATGGTCAACTTATACCTTATGGTATTGTTGAGTTAGAATTAGAGTTCGTTGGTAAATTTAATAAACCAATTCAAGCAGGTGATATTCCTCCAACAGTGACATGTTTTTATCTTGGTGGATACACCAATCAAATCGATTTTAAATCAATAGTGCCAAATATTACAAAATTATATCTCAATACTTTCAATAAACCGCTTACACCCGAAATGTTTCCACCATCTCTTAAAATATTAAATATGGAATCATTTGATCAACCTTTAAAAACTGGTGATTTACCAATAAATTTTGAAACTCTAGATCTCTTTTCATATGACTATCCACTGAAATTAAATGTTCTTCCTTCTCAATTAAAAGTATTAACTCTTAATAGTTTTAATCATCCAATATCAAAAGGTTTAATCCCAGAATCAATCGTTGAACTGACAATGGATAGTTTCAATCAACCACTGTCAAACTCTCTATCATCGCTAAACTCATTAAAAAAACTAAACTTAGATAGTTTCGATCAAGATGTATCAATTGGGGAATTACCAAACTCTATTGAAACTTTATCAATATCCAATCAAATTTTGAAACCAAATGTACTTCCACCATCAATAACCAAACTCATTTTAAAAAACTATAGTAATCAATTAGAACCACAGGTAATACCCCCCAATGTACAACATTTACAACTAATGTCATATAAAGGTGATCTTGGTAAACATTTGTTCCCAAATTCTTTACAGATTTTAAAATTATCAAAGTACTCGAATGATTTATTTGAAGACGATTTACCATTATCAATTACAGATCTAGATTTTGTTTCATTTGGCCCAAATATTATCAAAGTTTATTCAATTCCACCATCAGTCAAAATTTTAAGCCTACCAACTTTTTATAACCAACCTCTTCAAGCTGGTATTGTTCCCAACTCAGTAGTGGATTTAACTTTATCCAACCACTATAATCACCCTATTCAAGTAGGTATATTACCAGAATCTCTCACCAGATTAAAGTTTGGCACTTTCTTTGGGCAATCCCTAGAACCAGATGCCATTCCTCAATCAGTTACTTTAATAGAGCTTTATCAAACTTATAAACATCCAATACCAGAATCTTTATCAAGCAGGTGTAATATTATAAAATATTAAAAAAAAAAAAAAGAAAAATAATAATAATTGCAAAAATAATCACTATAAAAAGAATGAACTTTATTCAGTGTGGAGAAATCAGTATCTATAAAGCAAAATTCAACGACACATCAATTGAATAGTTACCAAACTCTATTCAAGTTTTAAACCCTAACAGTACCCCGCCATTAATTAATAGATTCACTTTAAACAACAATGGAACCCACAAGTAATACCATCCAAATATATATTATCTAAAACTTGTATAGCTACAACATCGGTCTATTGTGAAGTACAATTCCGCAATCTGTTTCTAATAGAGCTATATCAATCACATCCTATACCGATTCTTTATCAAGCAGTTGTGGAAAATAATAAAGGAAAAATAAAAAAACCTTAACGCTAAACGACTGTATTTTAAATTAACTTTAATTTTTTATTTCTCACATTGCAAACTTTTACTAACTATTTTTATTAAATTTTCTATTTTTTATTTTAAATGTTGTTATAACCCCCATTTACTTTTTATAATCATTTTAGATCCATTTCTTTTTAATTTATTTTGTTTATTATTATTGTTGATGTTTTTTTCTATTACCAAATAGACTATTGTAAGTCAGGTAGAACTACTTGGTCGTAATCACGACCGAATGTGAGTGTTGTGAGACTATTTGGTAATGTGTAGGGTAGAACTGCTTGTTTAAAACCATTACCAAATGTGAGTGTTGTGAGATTATTTGGTAATGTGTAGGGTAGAACTGCTTGGTTAAAACTATAACCGAATGTGAGTGTTGTGAGACTATTTGGAAATGTGTTGGGTAGAACTACTTGATTAAAACAATCACCAAATGTGAGTGTTGTGAGACCATTTGGTAATGAGTCGGGTAGAATTGCTTGGTTAAAATTATTACCAAATGTGAGTGTTGTGAGATTATTTGGTAATGTTCCAGGTGGAACTTCTTGGTTAAAACTATAACCGAATGTGAGTATTGTAAGACTATTTGGTAATGAACCAGGCAGAAGTTTTTGGTCAAATTCATGACCGAATGTGAGTGTTGTGAGAATATTTGGTAATGATCTAAAAGCAATTACTCTGTTAAAACAATCACCGAATGTGAGTGTTGTGAGACTGTTTGGTAATGAGCCGGGTATAACTGCTTGGTTATAATAACGACCGAATGTGAGAGTTGTGAGACTATTTGGTAATGTGTCGGGTGTAATTATCTGGTCAAATTCATGACCGAATGTGAGTGTTGTAATTGTATTTGGTAATGATTTGAATTCAATTACTCTGTTAAAACAATCACCGAATGTGAGTGTTGTGAGACTATTTGGTAATGAGTCGGGTATAACTACTTGGTTATAATAACGACCGAATGTGAGTGTTGTGAGACTATTTGGTAATGTGTTGGGTGTAATTATCTGGTTAAAATTATTACCGAATGTGAGTGTTGTAATTGTATTTGGTAAAGTTGTTGGTAACATATTAAAACGGTACAAATATAAATGTGTCAAAAATGGTGGAAAATCATTTTTATCAGGTAGTGGATCACCAAACCACTTAAGTGTTGTTATATATGATTTATATTTAAACAAATAATAATAGGGTATACCAAGATCTACAACACTATGTTCAATAAACAATAAAATATGTTTATGAATTTTATTTCTTAAAAATATATTATTCCAAACTATATATAATAATCTATAATAAATAGTTAAAAAGAGAAAACACCAATTAAAATACTTTTAATTAATCTATTATTTATATTGTATAGTATTGTACTTACCTATCACTAATATTAATACTGTTTTTTAACTCTTCATTTACCCGAAACTTAATTAAAGATGATAGAAGCTCATCCATTTTTAATAAAAAAAAATTAATAAATTTACCAAAATTTATAAAAAAAATTCAAAAAAAAAAAGATATTTTCAAAATATAAAAATATCTTTTTTAGCAAAAACTATTTTTTTCATAATAAAAAGTAATAAAAATAATCAAAATAGTTATTATTAACACACAATTTGTTAAATATTTTATATAGTTGCATTAATACCTTTAAGATGGTTTCAAAATTTTAAAAAATCTTTAAAAATTAATTAAAATTAAAAAAAAAAAAAAAAAAAAAAATCTTATGCTATACTTTAAATTGGTGCCGTTTTTTTTTAAATGAGTTTTTTTTTAATAAACGTTTATTAAAAAAAAATTAATTCATTGAACACCCCAAAAACATTTGGCAGTGCTTACTTGTATTTTATAAAAAAAAAAAAAAAAAAAAAAAAATTATTATTTAAATTTTTTTATTAATATATCAAAAGAAGAAAAACATATGCAAAAAAAAAAAAGGAAAAAATAATGTGACATTTTTTTTTATATTTTTTAATTTAAAATGAAGCAACATCATTACAAAGGATCCTTATATAAATTTTTTTGTATAGATTATTTTATCTATAGATCAATATACTTTTGCAGTTTAAATAAAATTTTTTTTTTTTGGGGGGTGTGGGAAAACCACCACTATTATTGTAAATGTTTATTACAAATAAAAGAGGTATTGTAATGTTTTTAAAATTAATAGACTCATTTATTATATATATGATAAAAAAAAAAAAAAAGAAATCAAAAAGTAATTTTCAAGTAAATAAAAAAATAGTAATTTTTAATTTAAAAATTTGATAAAAATACAGGTTTGTTAATATAAATTGGTCTTTTTTATTTTAAAAATTTTCAAATTATTAATACCCCAATTGTTACCCCAACATTTTAGAAAGGTTTATCTATTAAGAACAGTTTAAAATGTATTAAATTATATTAAAAAAAATTTAAAAAATTCAATTTTTATTTTTTATTTTTTTTATTTTGTTTTAAAAAAATTGAAATTATTTATTTATTTATAATATAAATAAAATTGTTTATTTATTAAAAATGTCATCAAAATATGTTCTTCAAAATAGTGATGTTGCAGTTATTGGTATTGGTTTTAGAGCACCAAGTGGTAGTTTAGCAAAATCGATTTCAAATACAAATCAACTATGGGATAGCTTGGTAAAAGGTTTCGATGGAGTCGTCGAAACATCGGAAAGATGGTCTGATAACTATAGTGTCACTGGTGATATCGTTTGCAAATATGCTGGTCTTATTCCACTCGATGAATGGAAGTCTTTTGATCCAATTTTCTTTGGCATCAATCCAAGTGATGAACATGTCAATACAATCGATCCACAACAAAGATTACTGTTAAAGTGTACATGGGAGGCATTGGAAGATAGCGGTATTGACCCATCCACATTAAGAGGCTCAAATACAAGTACATTTATTGGTTCATCGACCACAGAATACGATACCACCAATAAATCCCCCTTTGAAGTCCAAAAAAATATTTTTGGAGGATCACCTCATTCATTATCAAATAGAATATCATACTGCTTTGATTTTCGTGGAGAATCTATGACACTTGATACTGCATGTAGTTCATCATTAAATGCAATTCATCTTGGTTACAAAACTATCAAATACGGTCAATCTGATGTATCTATTGTAGGTGGTGTTAGTTTTATACTTGGTATGTATTATAGATTTTTAAAATAATTTTATAGAAAATTTCATTTAACTAATTATTTAATTTTTTATTTTTAATATTAGACCCAAATACATCAAAATCTTTAACTCATTTATCAATGTTAAGTCCAACTGGAAAGTGTCACACATTCTCATCGGATGCAGATGGATATGTACGTTCAGAATGTGTTGGTGTTGTTGTATTGAAGAGTTTCGAACAAGCAGTCAAAGATTGTAATAACATTTATTGTGTTATCAACGGATCAAGTTCAAATGTAGATGGTAACTGTGATAAATCAAACTTTTATTCACCATCAAAATCATCGCAATATGAAAATATTAAATCTGCAATCGAATCTACCAATGGTCAAATCAATGCATCAGATATTGAATATGTCGAATGTCATGGTACTGGAACACCAACTGGTGATCCAATAGAACTAGAAGGTATTTCTAGAGTATTCAAAGATACAACCAAAAAAGTTTTAGTCGGTTCCATTAAATCAAATATCGGTCATGGTGAAGCATCATCAGGTGTAATGGCATTAATAAAATGTTGTGTAATGTATAAAAACCAAACATTCGTTCAAAACATCAACTTTAAATCACCAAACCCAGCTATCAAATTCGATGAGTGGCGTCTAAAAGTTGTAACTGAACCAACACCATTCAATACCAATAACAAAAATACTGTTATGGCTATTAGTAACTTTGGTGTAACTGGTATGTGTATTTTTAAAAATATAAAAAAAAAAAAAAATATATTAATTATTAATTTTATAAATAATAAAAGGATCAAATTGTTGTATTATTTTATCAGATTACAATCAAGATGCTATTAAAAATGAAAATAATACTAACAAAAAGTATTTAATACCATTTTCATCCAATTCATCAACATCACTTGACAAATATAAAAAAATTATTATGGATCAATCAAACTCATTAGATTTTAATGAATTTGTAAATAATCAAATTAGATATAAATCACCATCACTCATTCAAAGATCAGTTATTATTGCAAATAATTGGGAAGAGTTTAAAGATTCAAAGAATGAAATCAAATCATCCAATACAAATGCACTTTCAAATATAACAGTTAATAAAATTAATAACCCATTTACGGTATTTGTATTTTGTGGTCAAGGATCACAATATAATCGAATGGCAATAGAACTATATGAAAATGAAATAATTTTCAAACAATGGGTAGATAAATTCGATAGTGAACTATTCAAATACTATGGGTACTCTGTTTTACAAAAACTAAGATCAATCGACGATAATGATATGGAATCAGTACACGCTCATACTATTGCACAGCCATCAAACATTATGATTCAAGTATCATTATTTGAACTATATAAACACTGGGGTATCAAATCAGATTTAATCGTTGGCCATTCTCTTGGTGAAATTTCAGCATCATATTGCTCTGGTATGATTGACTTTGAAACCTTATGTTATTTAGTATACCATAGATCCATAGCTCAAAAGAAAACAACTGGTACTGGTAGAATGTTATCTGTAAACATTAGTGCTGAAGAATTTATATCTAATTATTCGGCAAAATACCCAACAGTCAATATTGCTTGCTACAACTCACCATCGTCAATTGTAGTATCGGGCAAAGAACATCTTTTAAATGAAATTGTAGATGATTTAAAATCAAAAAATATATTTTGTGTTATGTTGGGAACATTATCATCACTCCACACATCAAGTCAATTAGTTATTAAAGATGAATTATGTTCAATGAACATTAAATCAAAACAATCAACAACACCAATTTTTTCAACAGTCACAACCAACTTATTTACTCACGAAAAAACACCATTCAATTCAGAATATGTATTTGAAAATGTTTTACAACCTGTTAGATTCACTGAAACCATTTCAAACATATACAAATATATTGAAGAAAACAACCATGGTAATGAAGTAACATTTATCGAAGTTTCACCACATCCAACACTATTTTTCTATTTAAATCAAATGAAATCAACACAATCACCATACTTCAAAAATGGAGATAAAATAACTATTCATTCACCACTCCACAAAAAGAAAAATGGATACAATGAATTCTTAAACACAATCTCAACACTTTATGTAAACCACTCATTTAATATCAATTTTAAATCACAGTTAAATCAAAACCAAAACAATTTTATTCAGAAAGCATTAAACAAACTTCCATTATATCAATGGGATGATAAAATGTATTTCAAACAAAATTCAACATTTGTTAAGACCATAAATGAAGGACCACCAATTCAACATCTAGGTGTTACAAATGAATCACCTTCCAAATCATATCAAACATATATTGATTCTAAAAAACAACCATTCCAATGGCTAAAAGGACATCAAGTAAAAGGCAAATTCTACTTCCCCGGGTGTGGATATATCATGAATTTATTACAAATCTATCCAAATCAAGATATCACAATCAGTTCAATCGAATTTAAAACACCATTAGTTTTACAAGATGATGTTAATCAATGTCTACAAACAACAATTAATACTCTTTCAAAAAATGAATACAATGTCAAATCACACTTTAAAGATACCACTACAAATCAATGGGTATTGTGTTCCAATGGTAACTTTAGTTTATTCAAACATGGTAACGAAATAGACCGAGTCAATATTGATGAAATAAGAAATAGTTGCAACTTTACCAAACTATCAAAATCAGAGGTTTACGATTCAATAAAAAACCAAACTGGATTAATATACAAAGGTTTATTCCAAGGTGTCAAAGAATGCTATATTGGTGATAACTGTTCTCTATCGATTGTATCATTAAATGAAATTCAAAATCAAAATGAATTTAATCATTTACTCAATAACGATACAATGAAATCATTCTTTAATACTGCAATACTTGATACATGTTTACATGGAATGTTAAGTTTTATCAAACATCAAAGCCAAATTGTATTAGAAAAAATGGAAGGATTTAAATACTACTCTTCAAACATACCATCACTAAACAATCAGCAACATTCTGAAATATATGTATATTGTGAAATGAAATCAAGAATCAATTTAAACTCATACTATGGAACCATTAAAATAATGTTAAATGATGGAACATTATTAATTGAAATCACAAATGTTATTTGTACATCCCTTATACCAATCATTGACAATACCACTATTATTCCACCACCATCCAATGAAATCTATCTACCAATTCAACAATCAAAAGACTCTATCATTAATAAACCACAATCATTCAAACACTTGTGTCAATTAGAAGAATTGAGGGTAGATGAACATTATTTACAAAATGAATCAAAAGAACGTTTATTATCCTTATTTTACTATCGTATTAATCAAAGACGTCCATCTATCAACAGGGAAACATTATCAACAATGGATTATGATCAATTCAAACAACTCTACCATAAAAATGGGGTAAATGAAAATTATTTTTTCTTTATTTTCGAAATTTTAAAACAATATAATAGTTTAGGTATCAATAAACAATTAAATGAATACAATGATGATGATGGTGATAAAAATATCAAGTTTTTAGAAAAAACAACATCAGTTACTGCAAAACTAATATTCCCATTAGAAGATGATGATCCAAACATTGACGCCCCTCAATCATTATTTGAAGATGGATTAATGGATCACTTTTATCACAAATCAAAATTTCTTATTCCAATAAACAATTTATTAGGTGATATTGTTTCAGAATCAATTAAACCAATTATTAATGAACCAATAGTATTCAGAATCTTAGAATTTGGAGGTGGGGTCGGTTCATTATCAATTTTGGTATTAAATAAAATCAACAAACTATTAAATGATAATCCAGCATCAAGTATCGATATAGAATACACATGGAGTGATATTTCAGCATCATTTTTTATTGACATTAAAGAAAAGCTTTCAAACATCAAAGATGTAAATATAATCTATCGTACTCTGGATTTAGACAAATCATTAAAAGAGCAAGATTTAAAAGCATCTTATTACGATATGATTATTATGTCAAATGTATTACATGTCGTAAAACAGCTTAGATTCAGTTTAAATGAAATTCATAATATTTTAACACCAAATGGTCAAATTGTTTTTATCGAACCACCATACAGGTCATTATATCTTGATTCAATATTCGGTGTATTCCCACAATGGTGGCCATCACCAGAAGATATCGACCTTAGAATAGATAGAAGCTGTATGAAACAAGAAAGTTGGTTCAAATTACTAAACGAATGCAATTATAAAGATACAACAATATCTGGAAATGATAAAGCATCATTTTTAATTCAAACAAGAAAACCAAATATAAAAGAAATGGTATTATCAAATATTGAATCAATGAAACAATTTACATTACATGATAATATTGTATTATTTGGAAAGAGTAGATTTGGAACACAAATTCACCAATCATTCAAATCAAATCAACTATTAATTTCAAAAATAATCCAAATCGATAACTTTAATGAACTTAACAACTGGGTTTTTAAATCAATCGATTCCATAAGACAAAGTAAAACATTAATAATTTTTATGAAAGCAATCGATCCATTGGATATCAACAATTTTAAAGAAACTACTTTAGAATTTATTCAAATTAATCAAATGTTACTTCAACATGAAATTGAAAACTTTTTCAAACATGTTTTAATATTATTAAATTCAACAACAAACAACTATTTATCATCATCACTCAATGGATCTGCAAGATATTTCGCAGAATTCCCACAGTTAGATCTATATTCATTAGATTTCGATAATATTTCAATTCAAAATGAAAATATACTATCACTTTTCGATATATTAATAAATCCAACAACCAATATTCAAAGAGAATTCACAATTAAAAACAACATAGTATATTATGAAAGATATAAAAAACAAACAAAAATTAAACAAACATTTACATCAAACTCATTCGAAACAAATAAAGATAATTTAATGATTCAACTTGATCCAAACTTAGAATATGTATTAAAAACTAAAAAACAAGAATTAAAACCAAATGAAATCGAAATCGAAGTTAAAGCCACCGGTATCAATTATAAAGACTATCTAATGTATATTGGTCAAGTATCAAATAATTTTGATATAAAATTTGGTAAAGAAGAAGAAGTTGAAAAGGTATTAAATCAATTGCCAAATATTGGAAATGACTTTAGTGGTATCATTACTCGTTGCGGTAACGAAGTAAAGAAATTAAAAATTGGAAATGAAGTATTTGGGGTCGCTTCCAAAACTAGTGGATCACATATTATAATCGATTACAGATTTGTTTATTACAAACCAACAAATATCTCACATATACAAGCAGCCTCTATTCCATCAGTTTATGTTACATCATTACACAGTATATACAATACTGGTAATTTACAAACAGATCAAACCATTTTAATTCACTCAGCAGCAGGAGGTGTCGGTCTTTCATCATTGGAGCTATTAAAGTGTAAACAACACAAAGGTTATATATTTTTAACAGTTGGTTCAAAAGATAAAGAAGAATACTTGATCAATAAATATGGATCATTTATTACTGGTATTTATTCATCAAGAAATAAAAACTATGTCCATCAAATTAAAAACAAATTAAAACAATTACAATGTGACCAAGATCATCAAGGTGTAGATTTAATATTAAACACATTATCATCAGAATTTATGGATTCAAATTTCCAATGTTTAAATATTTCTGGAAGAATTGTAGATCTTTCAATTACACATTTAACACCAAATGATTATATGACAAACAATCACTTTAAATACAACTATGGATATAATAATGTGGAACTTATTGAATTTTCGGGATCATTATTTAAAAATTTATTTAAAAAAGTAGTCAAATTGTTTATTTCAAATAAATTAGAACTAATTCCAATCATTGAATTTTCTAATGATCAATTTAAAGATGCAATAGAATATATTAATGAAAGACAACATATTGGTAAAATCGTTGTAAATCATGATGTAGATATATTATCAAGAGTATATAGTGAACAGAAACAAAGTAATTCAATTATCATGAAGAAAAGCTATGACATATCTAGATTAGATATCGGTAAAAACATTTTAGTAACAGGTCAAACAGGTATTATATTAGAAATTGTAAAATGGCTTGTTAAATACTCAAACAAATCAATCGATAATATAATAATTTTATCAAAATCACCATTAAAATGGGAATTAGAACTATTAATCAATCAAACTAAACATCAAAAAGATAATACAATTAATTTCCACTTTAATCAAATCGATATCGAAGATAGCAATAAAGTTCATAATGTATTAAACAATCTAGAATCAAAATCAAACATTTCAAACATCGATACAGTTATACACTTTGCATTTATAAATGAGATTAATAGTGTTAAAGATATTGATATAAATGGTTTAAATACCACTCATGGTCCAAAAACAATTGGTGCAATCAATTTACACAATGAATCAATTCAACGTTCATGGAAACTAAAACAATTTATAATGGCATCATCTGCTGTTACAATTTTAGGATCAGATAGACAATGCTGTTACATTAGTGCTTGCAATACAATCGACTCGTTATCAAAATACAGAAAATCAATTGGACAACCATCACTATCAATAAATTTAGGAGCAATATCATCATCTGGTTATGTTTCGAGAAATGATGCAATAGAAACAATGTTTCATAGTTCGTATTTAATAATTATATCACCACAACTAATTTTAAGCTCATTGGATCTCTTCATTCAAGATAAAAATAACTATTCAAACTATTGTTTGTGTAATTTTAATTTTGAAAATATTATATCTCTAAAACCAAATCATAATTATTCTAAACTTGACTATCTATCAAATATGGTCAAAAAATCACATATAATATTAGAAGGTGGAAGTAGCGAAGAAAATTTAAAAATTAAAATTATAAATAAGATATCAGAATTACTTTCAATTGATGAGTCAAAAATCAACTTGGAATTCCATTTAACCCAGTATGGTCTCGATAGTTTAGTTATTGTTCAATTAAAGAACTGGATAGATAAACAAATAGGTATAAATATAATTACAATACAACAATTACAAGCCAATAGTATATACCAATCACTACATATTATTATTAAAAATTTTACTGAAAAAAATTTAAAAAAATAAAAAAATATTAATTAATGTTTAAAATATAAAAAGTTTAAAAAATGGAGTAATAAATTACAAAAAAATAAAAAAAATAGGGATAATATCAACCTTTTTATTTATAAACACTATTAATTCTTTATAAAATTTATTGGTTATTTATAACTTTCATAAAGGAAATATAGTTAATTTTAAAAAAGAATCTTTAAATAGTTGTTTCATCACCTGTATAAAGAATTAAATTGTTTAGATTTATTGTTTTTTTTTAAAGTTGTGATGTTGATTCTATATGTTATATTTAATATTTTTTCTATCTCCAAAATTTAATATTTGAAATTCTACTAGATAAAGACTCTGGTATTGGGTGTTTATATGTATCATTTAGTCTTATTTGTGTAACAGATTGTGGAATAGTATTTGTATCTAGAGGTTGATTATATCTAAATCCAAATGTTATTCTAGTGATTGATTCTGGTAATACGCCTTCTTGAAGAGGGTGATTATAGTATGAAGAAAAAGTTAAATCTGCAACTGAATCTGGAATAAAACCAGCTTGAAGAGGTTGGTTATAATAGAGTGGAAGTTCAAGTATTTTAATCGATGGTGGAATTGAAATATCTTGAAAATTTGTAACTCTTGAACGACCGAATCCTAGATGTGTAACTGAGGCTGGTATATCATTTTCTGATAAAATACCATGAGGTCCTGTTAATGATAAAGTTTTTAAAGAGTGTGGGAATATATGCTTACCAAAGCTAGATCCTCCAATTTCCAAGTGTTGTACATTTGCTGGTATTATTTGTGGCTCTAATGGATGGAAATAGTTTGATAAATTGAGTTTGGTGATTGATGATAAAAGTACATTTGGTTTCAAAACTTGGTTAAAACTACCCAAATTTATAGTTTCAATGGAGGATGGGAATGTTTCGATGGATATCTCTTGATTAAATCTATCTAGTGTTAGCGTTTTTAATGATTTTAATGGTGATAATATATTTGATAATGGTTGATCAAACCTGAACATATACAGTTCGGTGATTGATTCTGGTAGTGAACCATGTGGTATTGGGTGACTATATTTGATTAACTCTAAAGTTTCTAAATGAGGTGGAAGAATATTTGGTTGAATAGGATGATTATATAAACCGAGATTAAGTTTTTTGCATGTATTGGGTAAATCACCAGATTTTAAAGGTTGGTCAAAAGATGAAAGTTTTAAATCTACAATTGAATCGAATAAACCTGGAGTTATACTATTTTTAAATCCATACAACTTTAAGCAAGTTAATGATTTTGGAAAAGTCCCATTACTAAATTCTTGATTTGTCGCTATAGCTAAACTGGTGAGAGATGGAGGTAGTGTATCTGAAGTGGGAATTTCATCAAGATTGCAATATTTCAATTTAGTAACGCCTGGTGGTAAGACAGATTTAATATCGATTTGATTAATATAGTACCATCCAAAGCTCAAACTGGTCACAGTTGGTGGAATATCACCTGCTTTAATTAGTATATTAGAATTTTTCACGAACTCTAATTCTGTGGTACCATAGGGTATAACTTGACCATGTGGTTCTAATGCCTCATCATCTACCACAATCCTAATTTTTGTTGCATATCTTCTATGTGGATGATATCTAAGTTGGTCTATTGACTTGCTAATATACAGTATTTCATTTTCATTATATAACCTGTGATGTCTTTGTATTTCACTTAATAGATATTTGTTTCTCCACACTGAAAAAAATAACTTATCATTATAACTATTGTTATTGCTTTCATTATTATTATTAATATTGTTGCAATTTTTTTTTTTTTTTTTTGTATTATTATTATTTATATATTTATCGTTATTATCTATATTATGCATATTCACAATAATGGAAGAAATTTTAGTTGGGTAAACATTTATATTTTAATTTTTGAAATGAAAAATGGTATAAATTTAAAAAAAAGAAAAAAAAAGTATATGGGTTTTTTATAAAAAAAAAAAATAAAAAAAAATGATTTGCAAACATTCAAACATTCCAAATTTTTTTTATTTTTTTAATTTATTTTTTACCAACAAAAATAAAAAACCTTTTCATTTTTTCATAAAATTTATTTAACAAAAATAATCACTATAAAGAATGAACTTTATTCAGTATCTATAAACCAAAATTGAATAGTTACCAAACTCGGGTACCGTTAGGGTTTAAAACTTGAATGATATTTTCAATACAATTTAAATTTTATTTTGTTAATTATTATAGTTTTTTTTGAATTACCAAATAGTCTTTTAAGTCGGATGGAAGTACTTGGTTAAAATCAGCTCCGAATGTGAGGGTTGTGAGACTATTTGGTAATGAGCCAGGTAGAACTACTTGGTTAAAACGATGACCGAATGTGAGCGTTGTGAGATTATTTGGTAATGTGCCGAGTAGAACTACTTGGTTAAAATAATAACCAAATGTGAGCGTTGTGAGACTATTTGGTAATGTGCCGGGTAGAACTACTTGGTTAAAATGATTACCAAATGTGAGCGTTGTGAGACTATTTGGTAATGAATCAGACAGAAGTACTTGGTTAAAACTATAACCGAATGTGAGGGTTGTGAGACTATTTGGTAATGAGTTGGGTAGAACTACTTGGTTAAAACGATGACCGAATGTGAGTGTTGTGAGATTATTTGGTAATGTGCCGGGTAGAACTACTTGGTTAAAATGAATACCGAATTTGAGTGTTGTGAGACTATTTGGTAATGAACCAGGCAGAATTGCTTGGTTATAATCACTACCGAAAGGTTTCCAAGCTTTAAAATTGGAAAACAGTCTTAATTGTTGAACATTCGGTGGTATTACTTGAGGTTTTAGTTGGTGATCGTATCCGTATAAACAGAGGTCGGTTATTGATGGTGGAAGAATATTTGGTTTTAAAACTTGATTAAAATCGGGTAGAATCAAAGTTTCTATAGAGTTGGGTAATGTTTCGGCAGTAATGTCTTGATTAAAAGAATTCAGAGCCAATGTCTTTAATTTTTTTAGTGGTGATAGAATGTTTGATGCAATTGGTTGGTTGTATAGACCAAGATTGAGTTTTTCGCATGTTTTAGGTAAATCACCAGCTTTTAAAGGATGGTTAAAAGAGTGTAGATCTATATTTACAACTGAACCAAATGAACCTGGAATAATACTTTGGTTAAAGCTATATAAATGTATATCTCTTAATGAGTTGGGAAAAGAGCCAATACTAATCTCTTGATTTAAACACATCATATTCAAACTGGTAAGAGATGGTGGTAGCATATTTGGTTGGAGTGTTTCATTATAATTGCTGTACCCTAGTTTTGTAACACTTGGTGGAATAACTGTTTTAATATCGATTGGATGAGTATATTGGTCGCCCAAGTTCAAACTAGTGACTGTTGATGGTATGTCACCTGTTTGAATTGGTTTATTAAATTCAAATTCAAAATCTAATTTTTGTGTACCATAGGGAATAAGTTGACCGTGTGGTTCTAATGGTTCGTCGACATAAATTCTAATTTCTGTTAAATATCTTCTATTCGGATGATATCTTAGTTGATCCATTGACTCGTTAACTACTAGTTCTTTATTTTCATTATATAACCTGTGATGTCTTTGTATTTCACTTAATAGATATTTGTTTCTCCATATTGAAAAAAATAACTTATTATTATAATTATTGTTATTGCTTTCATTATTATTATTAATTTCTAAATCTGCATTATTGCAATTTTTTTTTTTTATTTTTGTATTATTACTATTTATATATTTATCGTTATTATCTATATTATGCATATTCACGATAATGGAAGAAATTTTAGATGTAAAAAAATTAAAAATTAAGTTAATTAAAATGAAAAATGGAATAAATATAAAAAAAGAAAAAAAAAATATATGGGTTTTTTATAAAATAAAATTAAAAAAAAAATGGTTTGTGAATATTCAAATAAAATTTTTTATTTTTTTAATTTTTTTATTGTGTAGATGGTTGAAAACATGCAGAAAAAAAAAAAAATAAAAATAATATGAAAAAAATAATCATTTCCCATATAAAAATTTCAAAAAAAAATGCCTTTTCGTTTTTTCATAAAATTTATTTAACAACCAACAGTGTTCTTTTTTCTTTTATTTCCGAAAGTTTTTTTTTGTCAAATTGATAGTCAAAACCATCAGAATATGTTTCTTGTAAATCAGCTAATACACTGAGTATGAGGATGATTTTGTTCAAATGTTCTAAATTTCCACGATAAGTTGTTGAAATTACTTTAAAATGATTAATTTTTAAAAAAAAAGTTTTCAAAACATGCCATTTTTAAAAATTAATAAAAAAATTTTTTTTTTTGAAATGTTAATTTTTTATTTCCCATATTAAAATTTTTTTATTTTTTTTTTTTTGTCAAAATTTTTAAATGGCACCGAAAAAAAAATTAGCAAAACCGAACGCTCCACCGCATAATATATTTTTTTTTTTTTTTTTAAATTTTTTTTTTTTAATTTTTTTTTTTATATTTTTTTTGAAAAATTTGTGTTCACATTAATTTTAGTTTCACAATAAAAAGGAATCGAAAATGACACATTTTTAATTTTTCTACAAAAAATTTTTATGTAGGAAGCAACTATTGCAGCCTCGTCATTTCGATTCCTTTTTTTCTTTCTTCAGATAACCGACCAATAATATTCCAAAGACACAGCATCAAATTTAGGCATTTTCCAAAAAGGTATCTGCCTCTGAATTTTTTTTTCTATATTCCTCAAATAAAGAAGTAATATTATCAATGGCCTTGTCTTGACTACCGGCGGCTAAATCCATAATATTTTTGGAGGAAAATTATCAAAGAAGGTTGTGTGCAGTACTTCAATCTATCGAAAATGGTGGTAAATTAAGCGAAGCAATGAAAAATTTTAATTTATCAAGAGAGTGTTTGCAATATCAAAGGAATAAAATGCGAAAGTAACCACAATAGCAGGAGGTAAAAGAGATAAACTGGTTAGATTTGATGAATTTCAAACTTTTATACTTAAATTGATTGTGGCAGAATTAATCAAACAAGATCCACTTATCAATAGAGTTGAATTGGCCCAAAAAATTAATGAAATGGAAATATTCAACCACCCAATAACCACATGTCGAGTGACTGATATATTCAATTTGCTTGGATATAGTTTTCGAAAACCAATTTATAAAAATGTAAGTTATAATTGCATTATTTAATCATGAAAAAATATTTACTAATTACAAAAATAGATAAACAAGTTTACGAATGAAAGTTTCCTTAGGTATCATGATTTTATCGTTTTCGCCTATACCGTCGATTGGAAGCTAATTTTTTTCACTGATGAATGTTCTTTTTGCTCAAAAGATTTACGTAGAAGACGTGCGCTTGAGTCAAAAAAGGAAAGAATAGTTTCCGTTAAAGAAAATTTATCTGAATCCTATATAATGGGTTGTTTACAATCGGTTATTTTGGCAAATTATCTTATAAACTTTGAAAAGAGACCAATAGTACTGAATATTTTATTCACTTTCTTGGCGAGTCTCTTCAAAATGGTTTTTTCCACCAGGTTCCATTCTCATTTTGGATAATCCATGGAGGTGTTGAAGCTATTCCCATTCTTATCAAAATGTTTAAAACATGGCTGTACCCTTGCCTACATTCCAACATATTCACCAGAGTTAAATCCAATAGAGCTATTTTTTCACATGTCAAAAGGAAGTTTTATAACAAAAGAGTATATTCTTCAATTTATAACGTCCCAAGTTTCCATTCTTTAGAATGAAATATGATCTTCGATATTCTGATATTAGCACCAACGAGATGGAACTCGATACTTGGATTTGCCCCAGCGACAGAAATCTCAAAACAAAAAAAGATTATTTTTTAATTGATGGTCCATATGATGATATTCAATTTACCCCCGAAAAAAATTTTATCAAATTTGTTTTGAAAAGAAAGGCCAAAATCTCATACGCTGATGACGAAGAGTAATAATCATCAAAACAATAAATAATTATTTAAATAACCACCCGCATCCCAATTTTTTTTTTTTAATTTTTTTTAATTTTTTTTATTTTTTTTAAAATTATTTGATTTTCTAAAAAAACTGTTTTCCATAATATTAAATAAAATTATTTTGATCATGTTTTCAATAACAATTTTTTTAAATAATCCAAATTATGCACCATAGTTTAGATTATTATAATAATAATAAAAATGAAATATTATTTTTTTCAATTTGGAGAAACAAGTATTTATTAAGCGAAATACAAAGACATCACAGGTTATATAATGAAAATAAAGAAATAGTAGTTAACGAGTCAATGGATCAACTAAGATATCATCCAAATAGAAGATATGCAACAAAGGTTATAATTCGAATTAATGAACCATTAGAACCACATGGCCAAGTTATACCTTATGGTACAACAGAGTTAAACTTTACATACAAATTTAATATGCATATTAAAGAAGGTGATATTCCAACAACAGTGACCAGTTTATACCTTCATTCAGAATATGATCAACATATGGATATTAAATCAGCAATACCATCAAGTGTTACCAATTTATATTATTCAACTTATGACCAACCAATTTTACCAAACATATTACCGCCATCTCTTTCAAGGTTAAAAATGGATGATCTAAACCAAGAAATCAATATTGGTGCATTTCCTAAATCATTAAGCTATTTAGAACTTTTTCATTTCAATAAGAATATTGTACCTGGTTCATTTAGTTCAATTGTACAACTAGATTTGCAATCTTTTGATCAACCTTTAAAAGCTGGTGACTTACCGACAACATGTGAAGTTTTAAATCTTTTCTCGTTTAATCATCCACTCCAATCAAACATTCTTCCACCTCATTTAAAAAAGTTAAATTTAACAATGTATAATCACCCAATATCACCCAAAATACTTCCAGAGTCAATCACTAACCTAACGCTGTATTCATTTGATCAACCATTATCAAACTCCTTAAAATTGCTACATTCTTTGAAAAAATTATCAATGTTTTATTTTAATCAAATCATATCGATTGGAGAATTACCAAACTCTATCAAAACTTTGAAAATATTATCTTTCAATCAAGTTTTAAAGCCAAATACACTCCCATCATCGATAAATTCTCTAAATCTATCCCGTTATAATCATCCCTTAGAACCCCAAGTAATACCACCAAATGTAAAGTTTATAGAATTAAGATCATATAATTGTAACCTTGGTAAACACTTATTCCCAAATTGTTTACAGTCTTTATTATTATCAGGTTACACAAAAGATTTAACAGAAAATGATTTACCAACATCAATTACACAACTTGATCTAGGTATCTTAGGTCCAAGTAATTTCCATCTTAACTCAATACCTCCATCTGTTAAAGTCTTAACTCTACCATCTAATTACAAAAAATCCCTTCAAATGGGTATTATACCCAATTCAGTAGAAGTTTTAACTTTACCTTTTTATAATGATCACCCTCTTCTAGTTGGTTTAATACCCAATTCGGTTATAGATTTAGCTTTACCTAATAACTATAATCATCCTCTTCAAGTGGGTATATTACCAAAATCTCTGACTAGACTAAAGTTTGGTTCCGCTTTTAATCAACCTATAGATCCAAATACCATTCCACAATCAATTACCCAAATAGAATTAAAGGGATCATATCAACATCTAATTCCAGAAGATTTATTATCTTTATCAAGAATAAAAATTTTAAAAAAACCTGTTTAATTGAAAATGCTGAATCAACAATATCAAATCTATTTCAAATTGTATGCACCCAAACGAATGGTATAAATTAAATATGAAGTTACAGATTATTTTTTATTTATATAGACCCTTTAAAAAAATTATTAAAAATAAAAATAATATAAATTATCCTAAAACCAATTTTTTTTAATTGTTTTTTAAATTGGGCTAGCTCAATTTGTTTTTTGATGATCTTAACTATAGTTTATTTAAGTAATTTCAATTGTACTTTGTTAGTGGAGTGAAGGTAAAAATTTATATGTTACTTTGTTGATATCACTATTTGGTAATGTTTCGGGTAGAAATACTTGTTTAAATGTGGGACCCAATGTGAGTGTTGTGAGATTATTTGGTAATGAGCCGGGTAGAATTTCTTGATTAAAACCATAACTAAAAGTGAGTGTTGTGAGACTGTTTGGTAATGTGTCAGGTAGAATTGCTTGGTTAAAATCATATCCGAATTTGAGTGTTGTGAGATTATTTGGTAATGCGCCGGGTGGAATTACTTGGTTGAAACTATAACCGAATGTGAGTGTTGTGAGACTATTTGGTAATGCGCCGAGTGAAACTACTTGGTTAAAACAATGAGCGAATGTGAGTGTTGTGAGACTATTTGGTAATGAGTCTGGTTGAACTACTTGGTTAAAAAAAATACCGAAATTGAGTGTTTTGAGATTATTTGGTAATGTACCAGGTGGAACTGTTTGGTTAAAATGATAACCGAATGTGAGTGTTGTGAGACTATTTGGTAGTGTGCCTGGTAGAACTACCTGGTTAAATCTATAACCGAATATGAGTGTTGTGAGACTATTTGGTAATGTGTAGGGTGGAATTTCTTGGTTAAAATCACGACCCAATGTGAGTGTAGTAATTGTATTTGGTAAAGTTGATAGAGTTAATATATTAGAAAAACGGTACAAATATAAATGTGTCAAAAATGGTGGGAAATCATTTTTATCAGGTAGTGGATCACCACACCACTTAAGTGTTGTTATATATGATTTATATTTAAACAGGCGATAACGGGATATATCAAGATCTACAACACTATTTGAAATAAAAAATAAAATATGTTTATGAATTTTATTTCTTAAAAATATATTATTCCAAACTATATATAATAATCTATAATAAATTGTTAAAAAGAAAACACCAATTGCTTTTAATAATCTATTATTTATATTCATTGTATTGTATAGTATTGTGCTTACCTATCACTAATATTACTACTGTTTTTTAACTCTTCATTTACGCGAAACTTAATTAGAGATGATAGAAGCTCATCCATTGTTATTTAAAAAAAAAATAAAAATAAAAATATTTATTAATTTAAAAAAATATATTTTTCAAAATTTAAAAAAATATCCAAAAAAATCCACCAAAAAAATTATTTTTACAAAATTTATATTTTAATAAAATAATTTATTTTAATTATTTGTTAGAGTTAGAGTTGTAAAAGAAATGTTTATTATTTTCATTTTCATTTTATTTCCAATTATAATTATTCGTATCTATTTATTATGTTTAATAAAGAGTCTGGTATAGGGTGATTATATTGTGAGGGTAATTGTATTTGGGTAACAGATTGTGGAATAGTAGCTGGGTCTAGAAGTTGATCAAATCCCATTCTAAAGGTTAGCTTAGTGAGAGATTCTGGTAATACACCTACTTGAAGAAGATGATTATATTGTTCAGGTAATGTTAAATTTATAACTGATCTAGGAATAATACCAACTTGAAGAGGGTGATTATAGTTAAGAGGGAAATCTAGTTCTACTACTGAATTGGGAATAGTGCCGACTTGAAGAGGTTGATCATAGTGTCTTGGTAATCTTAACATTTTAACTGATGGTGGTATTGAGTTGGTTTGAATATTAGATGGACCTTGGTGACCGAAATTAAGTTCTGTAATTGATGATGGTAAATCGTTTTCCAATAATTCATTTGAATATTTTAATAAATATAAAATTTGTAAAGTGTTTGGAAGTAAATGTTTACCAAGTTTATAATTATATGACCTTAAGTCTAAAAATTGCATATTTGATGGTATTACTTGTGGTTCTAATGGGTGATTATATGAACCTAAAGTGAGTTTAGTTAATAATGGTGGAAGTACATTTGGTTTTATAACTTGATTAAAGTCCGACAAAAAAATTGTTTTAATAGAGCGTGGAAATGTTTCAATCGATATCTCTTGATTAAATCTTGGTAAATGGAGTATTTCTAATGAATGTAGTCCTGATAGAGAGTTGGATAATGGATGATCAAATTGGTACATGATTAGATTTGTGATTGATTCTGGAAGTACACCGTATGATAGTGGGTGGTTAAAGGTTGTTAGGAATAATCTTTTTAAATGAGCTGGAAGAACATTTGGTTGGAGGGGTTGATCGTAAGAGCCGAGATATAGATATTTACATGTTTTAGGTAAGTCACCAACTTTTAAAGTTTGATTAAAGGAAAATAGGTATAAATCTACAATTGAAGCAAATGAACCGGGCGTAATCGTTTTATTGAAGCTTTCTAGTTCTAAGTATTCTAATGATTTTGGAAAAGTTCCCATGGTAATATCTTGATTTTTCATCAATATTAATCGGTTAAGTGATGGTGGTAATGTATTTGGTGAGATTGTTTGATTTCTACCGAGTTCTAAATTAGTAGCACTTGGTGGAACAACTGATTTAATATCGAAAGGATGAGTATAGTTTTCAGAAAATTTTAAAGAAGTGACTGTTGTTGGAATATCGCCTGCTTTAATTTGTTTATTATATCCTTCAAAGAAATGTAATTCAGATGTACCATAGGGTATTACTTGACCATATGGTTTTAATGGTTCATCGACCTCAATTTCAATTCTAGTGGCATATCTTCTATGTGGATGATATCTAAGTTGATCCATTGACTTGTTAACTACTATTTTTTTATTTTCATTATATAATCTGTGATGTCTTTGTATTTCACTTAATAGATATTGGTTTCTCCACACTGAAAAAAATAATATTTCATTTCTATCATTATTATAATTATTATCTGAATGTATCATATTATTTATTTTTGTTATTTTTTTTTATAATATCCTAAAAAAAAAAATAAAAAAAAATAATTAAAAAAAGAAAAAAAATTGAGAAATTAAAATGATTTTTTCGTTTTTTCAAGTTTTTATTTTTCCATTTTAAATTATAAAAAAATCAAACAACCAAAAAAGAAAAATAATTGTAATAATTTTTTTAAAAAAAGATAATGTATTTGGTGTGATTGTTTGATAAATTCAATTCAGTAACACTTGGTGTTACCACTGATTTAAAATCGATTTGATAAGTAAAACAGCTAAGTAAAAAGATTACAAGTGATAGTTGTGGAATATCATCTGCTTTAATCTTCATAAGAATTCCCTCTGAATTCTAAATTAGCTTACTTGTTTCTCACTGAAAATAATATTTCTTTTTATTATAGTTATACTATTCCATTAGCCTACCAAATTTGCAACAGCAATACAATTTTGTATTTACAAAATTAATATGGAGAAAAAAAAAAAGCAGGGAATACATTATTTTAATTTTATATATATATTTAATAAAATGTTTATTTTTATTTATTAATAGTTTTAAAGTTAATCAGACCGTTATTCTATAATTCCTGATCATCATTTTGATAAACTGCGTTGCAAGTGGTAAAGTATATATTTTCAGAACCTTCAATCTCGGCTAATTGGGAAAAAATTTTCGCTCTTTCCTCGAAAAAATCAACACACTTTTTGTGATGAGCTAGCTGTTTCTTACATTCGGCCAGAATTTTAGATGGTCCTTTTACTATTTTGGTTGGAGTCTTTGGCATGGGAAGGATACTAATAAGATTATTTTTGTGTATGACAATTCTTCTTTCTTGAAAATTGGAATCAGGCATTTTGTAATTGGTTTTATTATCTGTTTTTTTAATTTTTTTTAATGGTTTTTGAATTGGTTCTTCTTTGCTTTCACTCTCTATATTTTCATCACCAACATCACTTATTTTTATTTTATAAGATTTTCTTTCTTCTCTATGAAAGTCTCTATAGTGATGTGATGGACAATCATTTAAAGATTTACACAAGTTACATTTTTTGAGACATGTATGTGATATTGGATCTATTTGGTTTGGCTCTTGTATTTTATGACACAAGAAACAATATTTTACATTAGACATTGATTATATTTTTGTGAAAAATTATTAATAATAATTTGAAAAAAAAAAAAAAAAAAAAAAAAATAAAAAATAAATAAATAAAGTAAATTCAAAAAAAATTAATTTTAATTTTATTAACAACAATTTAAAAAAAAAAAATTAAAAAATAAATAAAAAAAAAAAATTAAAAAAAAATTAATTTTTTTAAAAAAAATTTATTATTATTTTAAAATAAAATTTAATTTTTAAACAGAAACAATTATGTGAAATGACAAAAACGTTTAATTATAATAATAATATAGATTATAATAATAAAAATGAGATATTGTTTTTTTCAATATGGAGAAACCAGTATCTATTAAGCGAAATACAAAGACATCACAGGTTGTATAATGAAAATAAAGTAATAAATGTGAACAACTCAATGGATCAACTTAGATATCATCCACATAGAGGATATACCACAACAATTAGAATTGATGTTGACGAGCCATTAGAACCACATGGTCAAGTTATACCCTATGGCACAACTGAATTAGAATTCAGAGGGAAATTTAAAAGTATTGAAGTAGGTGATATTCCACCAACAGTCACTAGTGTGTACTTTGATAATAAGTTTTATAGCCAAATTGATATTAAATCAGTTATACCACCAAGTGTTACAAAATTGTATTACCTCAACTATAATCAAGCAATCACACCCGATACATTACCACCATCACTTACCAGTTTAACAATAGGAATCAATCAAGGGATCAATATTGATATTGGATCTTTACCAAACTCATTAACTTATTTGTTTCTAAATAGATTTAATCATATAATTAAACCTGGTTTATTTGGTTCAATTGTAGAATTACATCTATGCTCATTTAATCAACCTTTAAAAGCTGGTGACTTGCCTGTAACATGTCAAAAACTATCTCTTTACTCTTACAACCAACCACTTCAACCAAATGTTATTCCGCCTCAATTAAAAATATTAGACATATCTAGTTTTAATCATCCAATCTCGCATGGTGTACTTCCAGAATCAATCACCGAACTACATTTGAACCATTTTAGTCACCCATTATCCAACTCTCTATCATCGATACATTCATTAAAAACACTGCATCTACAAAGCTATAATCAAAAGATATCCAACGAAACATTACCGCATTCTATCGAATCATTGACATTGAATGTCTATAATCAAGTTTTAACACCAAATGTACTTCCACCATCAATAACCAATTTATATTTAGGAGCCTATAACCATCAATTAGATCCACAAGTAATACCACCAAATGTGAAAAAATTAGTCCTTTATTCATATAATCGTAAACTTGGTAAACATTTATTCCCAAATTCTTTACATATTTTATCATTATCAAATTATCTAAACAGTTTATTAAAAAATGATCTGCCATCGTCGTTGAGGGAACTTTATTTTGATTTCAATGGTCCAGAAAGCTTTCAAGCAAACTCAATACCACCATCAGTTGAAATATTAAGACTACCAGGGTACTATAATCAACCTCTTCAAATGGGTGTATTACCAAAATCCCTCACCCAACTGGCCCTTGGCTATAGTTTTAATCAACCTCTAAACCCAGCTACTATCCCACAATCTGTTACTCGAATAGATATACCAAGCCCATATGAACACACAATACCAGATTCTTTATCAAAAATAATAAACTAAAAATATAATAATAAAACTAATAATTTCAACTGTACCTTCAAGTTTATTATTTTTTTATTATTTTTTTATTATTTTTCTTTTCAAAAAAAGTATGCTAATTAATATTGAATAAAAATTATCGTTATCTTCAATTTTTTTTTTAAATTAATCATTTTAAGTAATTTTTTTACCCTAAAAATTGGAACAAAATTATAGATATTTTTATTTATTAAACCTCAAATATTATTCTTTTTCTCTTTTATTTTGTTAATTTTTTGTTTTTCAAATTGAGATTCAAAACCATAGATCAGCCAATTCACTAAGTATGAGGACAATTTTCAGGAGGGTAAAAAAATAAATAAAAAAAATTTAAAAATTTTTTTTATTTTTACCAACTTTTAATTTTTTCTTGTAGCTTATTATATTTTATATGGCTTTTTTTAAAAGTCTTAAATTTTTTTTCATTTCAATAACTTCACAAAACCTACCATTGAGTCATCTTCTCAAAGAATGGAATCGTATATGATGTTCTTAAAAAGATAAAAGAGTTCATAACAAATTCAAAAATTTAAAAAAATAAAAAATAATAAATAGAATAGAAAAAAATTGTAAAATAATTAAAAGAAGGGAAAAAGAAAAAATTATTATATGTGTTTGTGCTGTAATTTTACACAAATTTATAAAATGGGTAAAATTGAATAACTTTATATGAAAATAGAGATAATTTTTTTATAAAAAAATTTTTGAACCGAAAATTTAAAAAAAATTTTGAATCTGGGAATATTTTGAAATTGATTTGAGATTTAAAATTTTTTTTAATTTTTTATGTAATTTTTTTTTACAAAGCTAAAATGTAATTTTTTTTTACCAAGTTAAAATTTTTTATGTAATTTTTTTTCAGAAGGTTTTTTTTCATCTATTATTTTTTAAAGAAATAATTTTTTTTTTTTATTCATTTCTAAAAAAATGGCAAATCAATTTTTTATGATCGAATTTGGTGGTAATGATACCGTCCTTTTACAAAATGGAGAAAATGGTGTAGAATATCTCCATTATAATTCTTTTCAAGATGCCCATTCAGCCCCAATGACTGAATTAATTAGTAATGTACCATTTTATATTGTTAGAATTGGCCAAGAAATTTTTGTTATTTCAGCAAAACTTTTGAACCAAACTTTAGAACCCTTGAATATATCAGTTCATCAAATTTTAAACTACGAAGAAGGAACCGGTATTCGTCCAATCAGCCTAGATCATTTTGAAGTAGTTCAGAACAATTCAATAGTATTCACTAGAGACAACCCAAATACAGGAGAAATCACTATCACTTTGAATCCACTTGCTTCAATTAATTAAAATAATAAAAATGGTTTAATTCTGGATTCATAAATTATGAACAAATCTAACACATTTATTTATTTTTTTTTGTAAAATTAATATTTATATAATATGACTTTTTATTTTTTTTTTTTTATAAATATCACTTCTCCATACACTATCTTTCTGCGATCATTTAACTATAATTTTTATTCAATTGTTGTTTTATTTCAACTATTTAAAAATAAAAAATAAAAAATATAGCATAAATTTAAAAAAAAAAAAATTAGAATTCTAATTTTATTTATTAATAATTTTAAATTCTGATAAACTATCATCTTCGTTTGGAGCTATATCTTCGAAATAATCTAATTTACTTTGTAAATCTGAAATTAATTCATCATCGTCCTGGGTGTCATTTAATTGATTTTCTAATGCCTTAATTAATTTATCTTCATCATCCCCATCAAAACTAAAACCATAACTATTCATTGCAGTTGTTTTATCTAATGAGGAACTATTATTATTTTTGTTGCTATTGGCTGTAGTGGTGTTGTTACTTGATGAGGATGAGGAAGAAGTATTTATTTGTCTAATTGCAGAGTAAGGAGAAGAAGAATCTGAATTCGTATTAATTAAAGTTATTGAATTATTACTTTCATTACTATTATTTAAACTTTTATTATTATTACTATTGTTGTTGCTATTCATACTATTTGCTCTATGATTTTCTTCTCTAGATTTTGCTAAAAAAATATAATTGGTTGATGGAGCAGAAGTAGAAACATTTGTTGATAAATTATTATTATTATTATTATTTGAAATACTATTAAAATTTAAAGAATTTGATAAACCACCATTATTAGAAATGATTTTTGAATTATCGATATTGTTATTATTATTATTTGGTGTTTGTTGATATAAACTATGATTAAATGAAACTGATTGATGAATAATTGATTTTCTATTTTCATTTGAATTAAAAGAACCTGGAGAATTTGAAAATTGATTGGGTGATTGTAAAGAACCTAAAGCATTTTCATGAAGACTTAAGTCTGATTCACAACGATAAACTGAACCAAACTTTAATGACATATTAGTTAAAAGATTAGATTTGATACGATTGAATTCTCTCCACTCGGTGTTATAACTTGACATTAATTGCTTATGATTTAAAACAAATTCGGCTGCCAATGTATCTTTAATATTTTGAACAGAAGATCGCACCCAAAGCGAGACTACAAGGTCACAAGGTTCATTATAGATTGCAAAGTCACCGGCATATTGAAAGATTGGATTGAAAAGCATGGATTTATGGGATGTAGTATCTCTTTTTTTACCTAGATGAATGGTTAAGTAGGTGATAATATCGATTGGATGATCGTTGATATCGATGATGGCGGAAGGATCAGTTAGTGATTGTAAAATAACATTTGGTTCGTATTTGGCCTCTAAAATCTCGATGAACAATCTACCAGTAGATTGAATCATTTTTATAGCAGAGTTTAAAATTTCAGTCCAATCCTCCAAGTCCTTTTCATTTTCGGCAGAGATGAGGTAACTCGCTTTGTGGGTTATAATTTCGAAACAGTAATCGTGACCTTCTTGTTGGGAAATCTCGCATTTAATTGATATATCCAAAATTTCGTTTACTGGGATCACACCAGCCGGTGTAGTATCTTTGGGCGATTTGTAGTAACTTAGAAGATTATCCTTCAAAACAAACCAACGACGTCTCCAACTCTTAAAATTGTGACCCTTCTTCAAGAGAAAACCACTGTGGACACCGAATGTACCTTGTTTTGATGCTATATCTTTTGCTTGCTTGATCTTTTCTGAATTATTTTTTGGTAAAAAGAAGACTGAGCCATTTTTGGGGTCTTTTTTAATTGCTTCGTGTCTAATCCACTTTATTTCCTTTTTAATTTCTTTTTGATACTCTAAAATTGATTGTGATGTAGAGGCTTCAATTAAAGGTGATTGACTACCATTACTATTATTATTTACAACTTCTTGAAATTCTAATTTTAAATTAAAATCATTACTAAATCGTTTATCTCCGTCGGCACCATCCAAATCTGATTTTGTTAAAATTAAAGTTGGCATTGAAAACATACCAGTGTGAAAATTTGCTCTGCATATTTGCTCTACTCTATAAAAGGGTGTGATGTGAGAGAATACCAATAAAATATCACCTCTAACGATCTTTCTAACTTCGAATATAATAGTTGCATTTCCAGATTGGTAGGTTCTAGTCTCCTTGGTATCACCTTCAATGGGAGCACTTGTAAAAATTCTAACACCTTTTTGAGTGGCACTGTAAATATTTAAAACTGGACATATACCTTGCTTCAGTGGTCCTAAAAAGAATTTGGGGATGGTAACCATAGATATCGACTTTAAAAATACTGGGCTTGGGTTAAGATCTTTTCCACCTAAATAGAGCTCTGAGAAATATTGTGTGTATCTAATTTGGGATGGACCTGTTATACCATAGTTATTATTGGATCTCTTTACTGCAAAGTATCGCATGGCATCTGATGCACTATCAAATAATCCACCATATTGCAATAAGCATGATATAACTGTACCGGTTCTACCTTTACCTGCCATACAATGAACAATTACAACATTTAAAGGATCTTTTCCTAACCAATCATAAATGGTTTTAACAATTTTAAATAATAATCCCAATGGTGGGGCATGATGATCTGGAAACCCACACCAATCTACAACCTAAATTATTATTTGTTATATTAAAAATAAATATTAATATTTACTGGAATGACGGTGGTTATAATTATTTGATATTGATTGTATAAAAACCTACACTTTTATTAAACAAACTATAGTCATATTTTCTTTCGCTGAGATTATAGATTAAATAATTATTTTTATGGTTTTCGTTTAACATTTTGGATACATCGTAGATTGAATTTCTATATGCACTTTCTACACCATCAGCTGGAAATGACATTGCAATTACACGTTCTGTAATATATGTAAGATCTAAATCGTATTCTTCATTTTCGAATCTGTTCTTATCAGCTGATATTGTTTTTCTAACTGCCTTTACAATTGAATTATACATTTATTATTATTTATATTTTATTTATTATTATTATTATTAATTTAATCTAATTTATAAAAAAATACACTGCATACACACAAAAACAAACACTAACACAAACAACTTTATCGTAATTTTATTATACAAAAAATATTATTGCTATATTATTATTACTATTATTAATATTTTATTATTATTATTTTATTATTATTTATTATTAATATATATATATATAATTTTATTTATTATTTCAAATAATCATAATATATTTTATTCAATATATATTTTAATATGCTAAAATATATATTTTATTGATTTTAAAAAACTATACTAATCTTATCGATATTGTAATATTAGTTTTTATATATCTTATTTGAAAAATATTAAAAAAAAAAAAAAAATAAAAAATAAAAAAGTAAGAAAAATAAAAAAAATTAAAAAAATTAAAAAAAAATTAAAAAAATTAAAAAAATTTTTTAAAAAAAAAAAAAAAAAAAAAAAAAATGTGTGTGAATATCCTTTTTTTATCGTTAATTTGAGTATTGAATATTTTTTTTTTTGTTTTTAAAGAATTAAAAAATTTTTTTATTCAATCTATTTATACCTTTATATTAAAACCTAATTATTTATTTATTTTATTTATTTTTAAAATTTTTTTTTTTTTTTTGTTGAAATTTTGAGTTTATTGTGGTTGGAAATCTGTTGAGGTGTACTTGTATGGGTTCTCTTTGGTTACAATTTGGATTTCCATGAAAGTGTTGATTACCAACTGGTATAGGTTCTACTCTTGGATAAAGGTATTTATTCTTATGGTATTTATGCTTATGGAATTATATTCAAATACGAGATCCTTGGGGGTAGTCATCTGGTTTGTAGTTTGGTGCAGTAAAGTAGAGAACTTTTTTGGCAATGTGCCGGGTGAAACTATCTGGTTAACATTATAACCGATCGTGAGTGTTTTGAGACTATTTGGTAATGAGTCGGGTAGAAATCCATGGTTAAAATCATGACCGAATTTGAGTGTTGTGAGACTATTTGGTAATGAGTCGGGTGGAACCACTTGGTTAAAACGATTACCAAATGTGAGGGTTGTGAGACTATTTGGTAATGAGTCGGGTAGAACTACTTGGTTAAAATCATGACCGAATGTGAGAGTTGTGAGATTATTTGGTAATGTGCTGGGTGGAACTACTTGGTTAAAACCATTACCAAATGTGAGTGTTGTGAGACTATTTGGTAATGAGTCGGGTGGAACCACTTGGTTAAAATGATTACCAAATGTGAGGGTTGTGAGACTATTTGGTAATGTTCTGGGTGGAACTACTTGGTTAAAACGATCACCAAATGTGAGTGTTGTGAGACTATTTGGTAATGAGTTGGGTGGAATTACTTGGTTAAAATGAAGACCGAATGTGAGTTTTGTGAGATTATTTGGTAATGTGTCGGGTGGAACTACTTGGTTAAAATCTTCACCGAATGTGAGTGTTATGAGACTATTTGGTAATGAGTTGGGTAGAACTACTTGGTCGTATTCACAACCGAATGTGAGTGTTGTGAGACTATTTGGTAATGTGCCGGGTAGAACTACTTGGTTAAAATCATAACCGAATGTGAGTGTTGTGAGACTATTTGGTAATGTGCTGGGTGTAACTACTTGGTTAAAATCATTACCAAATGTGAGTGTTGTAAGACTATTTGGTAATGTGCCGGGTAGAACTACTTGGTTAAAACGATTACCAATTTTGAGTGTTGTGAGATTATTTGGTAATGTGCCGGGTAGAAATACTTGGTTAAAACGATTACCAAATGTGAGTTTTGTAAGACTATTTGGTAATGCACCGGGTGGAATTTCTTGGTTAAAATCATAATTGAATCTGAGTTTGGTAATTGTATTTGATAAAGTTGTTAACCTTTCAGAAAAACCGGACAAAAATAATTTTGACAAAAATGGGGGAAATTCATTTTTATCAGGTAGTGGTCCGCTCCACTTAAGATTTGTTATATATGATTTGTTTTTAAACTCGTCATAACTTGATTTACAAAGATTTACAGCCCTGTGTTGAATAAACTTTAAAATATGATTATGGATTTCCTTTCTTATAACTTTATTTTCCCAAACTTTATAGAATAATCTATAATAAATAGTTAAAAAGAAAAAACCAATTAATATTATTTTAAATAATCTATTATTTATATTTATTATTGTACTTACCTATCACTAATATTGCTACTGTTTCTTAACTCTTCATTTATGGGAAACTTATCTAGGTCAGCTAATATCTTGCATTTAAGTAGCTTTTCCATTGTTAATATAAAAAACTTTAAAATACTTTAGAAAGATTTCTATAAAAAATATATTTAATAAAAAAACTTAAATTTAATTAACACTTGAAAATAAAAATTAAAAAAAAAAAAAAAATTTTTTTTTTTTTAACATTATTATTTTTAATTTAATAATAATTAAAATAAATTAAAAATAAATAAATTTAATTTTTGAATTATGGGGGGGGGGGGGAAATAACTTAAGTTTTTTATTTTTTATTATTACAAAAAATTAATTTATAAATTTCATTTGTTTATTTAAAAAATTGTATTGAACCTAAACTTGTGAATTTAAATCTTTTTGTGATAAAAGTTGGGCACCAAGTTCTTTGAATCTTGCATCTAAAAATGAAAATGTATCATTGGTGCCGAAATAAAGGTTGTTTGGTAGGTCATTTTGCTTGGCGTAATGATCAACTAAAATGGTAGATAGTTTTTTGACATCACCTAAAATAAAAAATAAAAATAAAAATAATATTGATTTTAATAATTAATATTGATTTATATTTATATTTATATTTATATTCATATTTAATTATATCATTACCTGGAACCATAGTTGCAAAAAGTGGTCCCATATAAGTATTCCAAAAATTTTTGGTGTCATATTCTTCAATTTGATTTTCAACATGTTGATTAGTAAAGTTTGTTTTAAAATAACCCAATACAATTGTCGAAACTTTAATGTTAAATGGTTTAACATCTAATGCTAGTGATTGAGTTGTGCTGGCTAATGCAGACTTTGCACCTGAATAAATACCATAACCTGCAATTCATTATTGTAATGTTAGTAAGTACTGTATTTTATAAGCATTCTACTTTACCATTATTACTTACGTGGAAGAGAGTTGTATGCCAAAGCCGAGCTAACATTAAAGATATAGCCTTGTTTTTGTTGACGCATCCATGGTAAAGCAGCTCTGATAACTCTTACTGGATAGAAATACAAAACTTCAAAATAAGTTTTAAAGTCATTTTCTGATGATTCCTCTAACGAACCAATATTGGAGCTACCTGCATTATTGACTATGTGTGTAAGATTACCAAAGAGTTTGATTGTCTTTTCAATTGACTCTTTGATATTATCCTCACTTAAAATATCTACTTGAATACCAAGGAAGTTTGAATTTTTTGTGATGGTGTCCGATAACTGTTCAATCTTTTTAATGTCTCTACTTGTACCAGTGACTCTATTCAAAGGATTCTTTAATAGCTCCTCTACAAGAGATAGACCAAATCCGCTTGTGCATCCTTTATGCATAAATTAAAAATAATTAAAAAAAAATAATTAAAAAAAAATTTTTAATTCAATTGGTTTTTATAAAATTTACCTGTTATATACCAAACATTAATATTTGATTCTATGGCTTCCATTTTTTTATTAATTATTTATTTGTTATCTATTTGTTTTTTAAATCATTTAATTATTAAAATTTTAATTATTTATATTTTTTTTAAAATTAGTTTTTTTGACTTATCAAATTTTATTATTATTTGAAAATTTTAAAATTGGTAAATGGAATGCATTCTATATCGTTTTTGTTCTTTAAATGATGATTAAATTTTTACCATAGCTCTTTAAAAAAGTGATTTATTTTTTATTACTCTGAATTTATCTAATTTTTTATTTTTTTTAATTATATAAAAATAAAAATAAAAAAAAAAAAAATAAAAAATTAGATTTTTTTTCAAAATTTTTTTCAAACAATTCAAAATAAAAATAAAATTTTTTTTATTTTAAATTTATTATTTTAAAATGATGAAAGAAAACAAAAATAAAAAAATTAAACTTGATCATAATAATAATAATAATAATAATACAAAAAAAAATAAATATAAAGATATTGATTATTTTATAAAAAAAACAAAATCAGATGATAGGGATAAAATATTAATTGGATTGGAAGCACTCTTTGATATAATAGTTCTAACTGATGAATGTGACCCAATCAAAAATATTATATTGTCTGGACTGGTACCAAAATTTATAGAATTTTTGTATTTAAAAGATAAAAAAATTCAGTTTGAAACATGTCGGATTTTAAATAAAATCGTATTAAGTGGTCAAAGTTGTTTAGAATCAGATACAGTACATGCTTTAGTTAGTTTATTAGACAGTGGGGACCCAGATTTATTTAATAAAGCAACAAAGTGCCTTACATCCATTTCAAAGAATAAAATATCACAAGATTTGGTTTTAGACTCTGGTGCCACAACTAAAGTTTTACAATTATTTTCAATAGATCAAGAGAATCATAGATTATCATTTATAAAAAATATAAGTTGTTTATGTAAGTTTATCATTAAAATATAAATAAAATATAATAGTAATAGCAACAATATTCACAATAATAATTTAGTTTTTAGTATATGTAGATATCATATTCCATCATTTAAAACCATTGAGGATTTCTTTCCATTCATTCACTATGTGTTTTTAAATGTCACTGATGAAATGATTTATTTAAATGTATGTAAAGTATTATCAAGAGCTATATCAGAATTTCCGGAAGAAACAGTTTCTATGTTTTTTAAATATGACTTATTTGGTAAAATAATAGAACTTTTATATTATAAAGATAATCTTGAAATCCAAAACTGGTCATTAAATGTTGTTGGAAGCCTAATTTGCACTGAGGGTGTGGGTTTTATTAAAATATTATCATTCAGAGGATTGCTTCCACATTTATTAAGACTCTTATCAAGTGAAAAGAAAAAAACTAGTGCATGGATCATCCGTAACATTGCAATAGAACCATGCACTCAACAACTATTATTCGACCACGGCATTGTTGAAAAACTCATATCGATGCTTGATAGTGAGAAAAAATTATTAAATGATATTTTGTATCCGATATACTACTGTCTTAGAGATCCTGATATTGTCAATCAAATGGTAGAGCTCGGCATTGTCAAGCTCTTATGCTCATTACTCTCTACCTTGTTTTATGATAATGATAGGGACATTCTTGTACTCAAAGCTCTACTATTGATTTTGAATGTCAATGATTTATCTTCTAATAATACTTCAATTGTATTAGAAGTTTTTATGGAAGCCCAATTCTTGCACCACTTAAACAATTTTGTCGGAAAAAACCAAAATCATTTAACTTCTAAAGAAATCTCCAAAGTTGAAAAACTAATTTGTTATTTTGATGTTTATTCAAACGAAATTTCCCAACTATATCATTTAAAGGAACATTATTATAATAAATGGGATCTAATTTAATAAAATAGTTTTTATATAATTTTTCTTGATTAACTATTTTTACTTTTTTATATCACTTGTCACTTTTTTTTTTCTAAAATAATATATAAAATTTGTTGTGATTGAAAACAAAATTTTTTTGATTAATTATGGATGTTCTTGTAATTTAAAAAAATTAACACAAATCAATAAAAGTGTCCACGTGTTAATTTTTTTATTTTTTAGATTTTTATTTTTTTTTTTTATTTTTTTTTTTTATTTTAATTCACTTCACTTTTTTTTTATTATAATAATATTGTAACATCCCCTTAAGTTTTTTTGCGGGTTTTCACGACCCGCTTTTGTTATTCATGCAGAATGTGTGTTGTTATTTTCAGCAGATATTTATTTTCATTCAAAGAACAAAAAGATATTTTGGTGAGATTTTCCCTCTTTCTTGGAGTTAAAAGCTAGAAAAGGGTGCATTATATTTTTTATTTTTTTATTTTAAAAATACAGGTAAGTGTAGTCTTAAAAAAAAATTTTTTTTGTGCATACCACAAAATAAAAAAAAATGTTAAATAGATATATCATTTTTATATTATTAATTCTTTTGTTATTTATAGTAATTATCAATGCATTTACTCTAAAACAATCACACTATTTTAATAATAAAAAATATTTATCAAAAGATAATGATTGCCAATTCAGTAGCATATTATTATGCACACCAGATAATGGTGAGGATTGTTCATCCTATTCTTTAACTTCTCCCAATAATCCTCAAACGTTAAGTAATATCCCATTAGACTCAGGAATTTATGAAATAGTTATCATTACTAAAGTTGCTGGGGAGTATATAGTAAATTTTGGTTCTGTTCCTTTACCCGTCACATTTTATTGTTTTGGTAATATTAATTTTATAAAATGCCATTAAATATTTAAAACTAACAACATTAATAATAACAAACTTATATTTATTCAATTAGATCTTGATCTTAATAAAATTACCATATCAAAATATAATGGGGATGATGGTTATTTTTTAAAACCAAATGTAGAAACTATGGGATTTGATATTGTAGAAATTTATCAAATGCTTGGAGTTGACAGCGATGTTTCGGCAGAGGCTCTTGGTACAGAGGTTTTAGGTTTAAGTAAATGCACATTCAAGTATATGTATACCAATCTTTTCAAATTATCTTGTGTCTCTTTTTTACCAGATTATAATATAGCATCAATAAAAGTTAAAATAACATCAGGCACATCAAGTAAAGAATTTGATTTAGAACCATTCTTTAAAGGTATTCTATTAATAAAACGATAATAATAATTCTATTATTATTTTTACTAATATCATTGATTTTTTATTACTAGATTATTATAGTTTGAGCGATATTAAAACCTATCCAGACTTAGCGGATTTACAAAATCTTCAAGCACTTGGCTATTCTGAAGGTGCAGTACTTTCAATAAAAGTAAACACGACTGTAGACAAAGGTTATTTTGTTGTATACCCATTGGCAGCTACAAAAGATACCCAAATGCTCCCCATTTATAGTGATAATTCAGGAACAACTTATTTGTATTCAATTTCAACATTTATACCAAAGGAATATAGTATTTTTTATCCCAGTGCTTCAAATATTAATTTAGAAGCTAAAATTCAAACATCGGTTAAACAATGTATGTATTTAATGATAGAAATAAAAATAATAAATACTTAATATATTAATATATTTTATTTTTTTATAATTTAATATTTAGATGAAAAGTCTCCAATTCCAAAAATATATGATAATTTAGGACAATACCCAGACTCAATGCTGTTTATATCTTACGGATTTTCAGAATTAAAAAGAAATGATTATGATCCAATAAGTTCCTCTTGTTTCGATTCACAAAAAACATCTACCAGATTTCCATTCGGTTATGCTTACTCTGATGGCTCCTCATACTGGTATCAAATATCAACTGTTGTAAAACCATCATTAATGATTGGAAATGGAAACTTTCCAGCAAACTTAGAATCGGATATTGATAAGATAAATGGAAATATTTATTTTCCTTTATTAAGTGAGTAATTTAAATTTAAATTAATTTTAATTCATAAAAAGGTACCTTCTACTAATTTTTTTAATTCAAATAGCACCAATTATACAAGATAATCAAAAATCACCTCGTCTAATAGGTTTTACCAAAACCCATTTAGACTATGACTCATACCTTTTCAGAATTAGCGCTAAAACACCATATCAATTTAGTTATATTAAAACTGGAGCTAATTTGGCTTCTCTTTATGGACACGAGATTTTGGTTTCAGGCTCTAGTACAGAAGGTACATATGAGTTTATAGCTCAAGAACATCCAGATTTAAAAATGATATTGTATGATAAAGTGGCAATGAGTATAGTTTTAAACTCAAAATCTTTTGGTACAGATAGTGGTTCAGTTTTCTCATTTTCTGGACCCACTATTGTTAAAAATTGTAAATATTTTTTATATTAATTATATTATAACAATCATTTCAAATGCTAATATATGTTTTAATATTATTTTTTGTATAGTTGATATTACAACGATTAAAGATGTATCATTTTTATACAATGATATTGATATTACCAATCGTAGACATTACAATATTCTCTATTTCAACTATCCAACTGATATACCAAGAGAAACATTATTTAAATTGACACCAAATGACCCAGGTGTTATTTCAAATCCGACTATAGATCCCTCTCTTCAAAACAAAGGTACCATATCATTCTTTTCAAAATGGAACGAAACAAAACAATCATTCCAAATCGAATTCTATGTAGAGTCAAATTCATTATCAAGTAATACAAACTTTCCATTTACAATTAGTTACAGTACCTATGAATTGTATAGTTCAATGTTAAATACTCAATTAAGAATTAAAAGATCGAGTAAGTAAATTGATCATTTATAGATCTAAAAATGCTATCTGTTATATTAATATTTTATTTAGAAATGGATTTACAAGGCCCAATGTTTAAAGAAATAACTAAAATTACACCACAAAACCAACTCGATAGCAATAACAATAAATTTTCAGTATTTGGATGGAATATTAAAATTGAAGATCCAATCAATGGCTTAGAAGGAGGCTATGTTATAATTAAAGGTGATGTAGATCAATCCACTTATAACTTTACAGTCAATCCAACAAAAGCAAAATCAGGAGATAAATATTTGGGCGAATATGAATTCAAAATCAATATCACATATCCATGTATAACACAAAACTATGTTATCAGTGAAGTTAAACTCTACGATACAGTTAATAGACCCTCTTATTTCGCAGTCCTTCCATCCACCAAAATTCCTTTTTATATCATAAACCCTTTTATTGGTGCTATAAATCCTTTTTTATATTATTTAAAAGATACCAATATCAACAAAATTCAGTTACAATGTGTACCATTCAATGATAATACACCACCAGAACTATTACCTGAATCCCTTGATATTGGCTCTGGTCATTTAATAGATGTTGGTAAACCCCAGCTTAGATCCTTTAGTTTTTCGGCATATGATCTTGAAAGTGGTATGAAAAAAGATGTATATCCAATCGTGTATCTCAGCAACACAGCCAATCAAATTCTTGAATGTAAAACAAATATTACAAAGTTCAAAGAATTTTCTGCTAGTTATATGTGTTCAATGGAGATACCTCTAGGTTTTGGATATCCTGGTATACTTGCTGTATCTATATATGGCTTAATAAATAACAATGGTTTATTTAGTGGCTACTCGACACAAAAACTATATGACTTTGAATCTTATCAACCTTTCGAGACATTGTATTCAGCATCACTACCACTACTTTCTGGTAGCAGTGAAATTAATGAAAAGGGTGGAGATATATGGCTATATGGTATATATTTAGATGATACAAGTGTTGCAACCATCAAATACTCAAATGGAACAACTGAAATGCTCACCCCAATAGTTAGTTATCAATCAGCAATTAAAATTACAAATATTAAAGCAACCGATCAACCATTTGAAATCTTTGTTTCAACATTATCCAGGGGTGATTCAAATATAATGATTGTAAAGCCAACTTTATATAATCTATATTACGTAAATTGTAATAACAATGGTTTATCAACTGGTCTAAATGGTAAATGTATTTGCAATAATAAATGGACAACTATAGATACCAATAAACAATGTTCAGTACCAAATCACTATATATATGGTTCAACACAAGTATCACATCTAATTGGTGGTGAAATTACATTAAATGGCTGGTTTGGTGACATCAAAAATAATCCAAAACTCTACATTGGCAATAAAGAAGTCACTATCAAATCAATAACATCAGATTCAATTATAACTACTATCGAGCCAGGCACTGCAGGTCAAGTTCAAGTTAACTATACTCAAAATTCACTCACTTGGAGCGGTAAAATCTATCCATATATATCAGATAAACAATGTCCATTAAGATGCGAAGAACATGGCACTTGTAACAAAATAACAGGGGTATGCAAATGTAATTCGGGGTACACAGGTTTCGATTGCTCATCACCAATAAACAACAATGGAGGCGGTGAAACAGAAATTGATAACAATGGTACATCTATTATTAAGAATCAAGATATAGGATATTCAATTTCAATTGATTCAGTTGTAGAATTAGATTTAGAAGGCAATTCAGTATCAAAAATAAATCTCACAAACAATTGGATATTTATAAATAAAGTCGGATCAACCACAACATTCAAGCAAAATAGAAATAACGAAGATGAAACACAGGCATTATTAACATTAATTATTGAAGAGGTCAACGATAAAGATAAAGATTTTACATTTGCAGGTAATGAATTTACAGTAACTAAAGGAGGTCTTAAAATGTCACTTTCAATTTCAAACTGGTTATACAAGAGTAATTTAAATACATTACAAGTGCAAATGTCTTCTGATGCCTCAACTGTTTCATCAAATGGTTGCAAAGAGTTTGCAATAGAGTCCCAATCAAATATCAATAATATAATTAATAATATCAACTATTTAAAAATCATTAAAAATGGCAATGTACTATATTCAAGATTCCAAGATAAAATACTATCAGACAACAGACCAACTACAGTTACAGCACAATTACTATCAAAAGATGAAACATCTGTAAAAATTGCACTAAATCTACCACATTGTGAAGATTGTTTAATCGATCCAGGTATGTATATAATTTAAATTATATATAATTCCACACATATTATTATATTTTAAAACTTTTATTAATTTATATTTTATTTTTTAAGATTTCTCATTATTAATAACATCAGGTTATCTAAACAATTGTAACACTGGGTCTAAAAAATGGGTTGTTGCCGTTGCAGTCGTTTGTAGTATAGTTGGGCTTGCTGTATTAATATCTCTATTTATATTTTTCAAAAAAAGTACATTCCTAAAAATCAAAATTTATACATTAAAAAAATATTTAAAAACAAAGCAAATTAATTAAAAATTTGTAATAAAAATTTATATATTAAATTCCAATTTGTATTTTTGTTTAATTTTTTTCTTTATTTAATAAATAACAAATCTTTATTTAATAAATTCGACTTTTTTTATTTATTTGGTTACTAGTATTACATCGTTTACTTTTTAAATTATTTTGTGTTTATACATATATTGGATATATTTTATATATTGTTTTCATTTTCTGTATTATTTTGGTCATTATTAGTATCATTATTTTCTGCTATATTATTATCATTTATTATATGATCTGTAGAAGAGTTAATATTAGAATCTGATGATGCTATTATTGATACTGGAGTTTTAGAGTTTGTACGAGCAATATTATTTGATGATTTTTTTGATGAGAAACCACTGTCATCCATTGTCATTGAATTTAGATCTATTTCGATTGCACCGCTACCATTTGATACATGTTTACCACTGGAGCTACTATCGTGAATTGAAGTTTGAGATGAATTGGATTCTTTTGCAATTTTAGAAAATTTAAAATAGTTTTTCCAATATACACCATCATCAGCTAAAGCAACCATTACTACTACACATTGGGGAAACTCTAAAAAAAATGTTACAAAAATTGCAGCGTAACGATAATTTGAACTTGTAGAAATCTTTGAAATGGCAACTATAATCTCTCTAACAATCATACCCAATACGATGAATAAACAAATTAAAGATAAACGAAGAGTTCTAGAGATTGTTTTTTGAAAGGTGTTGGATTTCTTATCTTGAGTTTTTAAATTTATTACCAATACAAAACCATTTACTAATAAAAAGGTACCTAATAATGCTACCAAAGAAATAAAACCTTTTGAACTAACTGATGCGGTTAATGTTTTAGATTTTACATTTACTAAAACCATTAATATTATATTCCATGCAAATAAAATTGCAGTGATGGCCCATGCTGAATACCAAGTTTTCTTTATATTTCCCATTGCAATTTTTTTACTAGTGAAAAAAGTATACAACAATCTAGTCCAAAAACAACCTATAAAAATCCTATATACATTTTAAAAAAAAAGAATCCTTATAATTAATTTAAATATCTCTTAATAACTTTTAACTAAATTCTATAAATTACCATTCTGTAGATAAAAATAATGTTCCCCAAATACCCTAAAAGAAATTATTTTAAAAAAAATTAATAATCTATCAAATAATTTATTTATTTTTACTTCTCATACCATATACCATGAAACCGAACCTGTTCTTGTATCTGCAAAACCAATTGAAAAAAATGATTGTAAAGTTCTGACTATAGGTGCAAAATATTGAGTAATTATTTAGAAATTTGTTTATTATTTTTAAAAAATATTTCATTACTTACAAAAAGGGAATAAAGTGATCGAAACAAATGTCATAAACCTGGGAGTTGGGCCCTTTTTTTTTTTTTTTAAGTGTAATAATTCATAGTATGTTTGAACTATATTTAAAACAAATAATACGAAAAATGAAACACCCCTAACAATGTAAAATGCTTTAACCAACTTATCATATTCTTCGTCCCCTGTAAAAGGATATTTACCATCAACATTATTTTCCATTATATAATTTGATTATATTTATTTAAAATTTGATTTTTTTTATTTAAACAAAATATATATTATTTTATTTTTTTTGCGATTTGTGGTGATTAAAAAAACAAATCATAAAAATTAAATTAAAAAAAAAAAAAAATTGTTTATATCCAACAAATAAAATTTAGTTCAATGATGATACGAATATAAAAATAAAATAAAATTAAAAAATATAAAAAAAAAAAGTTCAAACCATCCAAAGTCTCACAGATAAAAAAAAAATTTTAAAATAAAATTTTAAAATAAGGTGGTATTTTCATCGATTGATTGATGCAAAAGAATGGTTTATTTTAAAAAAAAATTATATTAATTCTCTCTTTTAAAACCGAGTATAGTTTTAAAATATTTTTTTTCAATTTTTTTTCAATTTTTTAAATTATTGATTATTTTTAATGGGCGTAAAAAAAAAAAAAGATCTCCACCGCAATCAATGAATGAGTGAACCTTTAAAAATCTAAAAGTTTTTTTTTTTTTTTTTTTCTCTTTCCTTTTCCTCTCGCACAATATTACCCTGTTGAAAATTAAAAAAAAAATATTTTTTTAAAAAATTTTTTTTATTGCACATTAACAAATTGGTGGAGTATTTTTTTAAAGTATTTTATTTTATTTTATTTTTTATTTTATTTATTGGGTATTATTTTTATGTGGTATTGCAGTTAAAATGAGTATGAGATTATAAAATATAAAAAAATAAAAATCTGAAATATTTTTGTTTCACAAAAAATTTTAAATTTTATTGGTGGTTTAATTTTTATCAATACTATCGTTATTATTATCACTGATTGTGTTGTTATCTTGATCATTAATATTTTCCCCATTATTGATTATTGTATTATTGCTGTCATTATCGTTTTTGTTATTATTTTCATTATTGCTATCTATAATTGTATCACTATTATTTTCTGTATTATTACTATTATTGCTATTATCTATATTTGTATCGTTATTACTATTATTATTATTATTATTATTACTATTATTTTCTTTTTCTTCTTTGTCTTTATTTATTTTTTTTAATGATTGGTTTTTTTCATTTAAAACTCTTTTGATTGAATTGAAAATATCCGAGGTTTTAACACCAATTTTTTTATAAAATAATAAATATGGGTCATTTGAAACTACATGGCTTAGACTACTGGGTCTAAATGTACTGTCACTAATATAAAACCATTGTTCATTATAGTCATCATAAATATATGCAACGTAATGGCCACCACCCATTCCTCCCATATGTTCAACAATACCATTTAACTGATATTTTTGATTATGAATATTTTCAATTTCTTCTTCTTTTTCTTCTTCTTTTTCTTCTTCATTTTCTTTATTCTCTACATTTTCTTCTTGTTCTTCCTTTTCTTTTTCTTCATTCTCTTCTTTTTGTTCTTCCTTTTCTTTTTCTTTTTTATTTTTAGTTTGATCAGTAAATGATGATAAATCTAAAACAATTGGAAATTCAATTCTCTTTGAATTTTTTTGGAAGCCTGTTCTAGTTTGCATAAATCTTTTTAATTGAATAGTTAAAAATGGTGGTGTTGATGATAATAGATATTGCTTACTGGCGTTTCTTCTATACTTTTCAATATCGTCTTCATCATCATTAGATTTCTTTGAGTCTTTTTTATTTGGTGTTGATCTTTTTTTGTTTTTCTTTTGGGCTGGTTTGGAGTCATGTTGTTGGATTGAATTTTCGATATTATCGATGTTTTCAATGTTTTCAATTGGGATAATGACTGGAGTACTATTAAGACTGCTATTATCATCTGAATTTTTACCTTCTAATAGACTTGATGGGGTTTCTGTATTATTTGAGTCAATTTCAATATCACCATTCTCTTTATTGATTTCTATCGATTCAAGCTTCATAGCGGCAGCAGCTCTCTCTTTTTCTAATCTTAATAACTCTTGTTGTTCCCTTTGTTTTGCTTTCTTTTCTTTATAAATCTTTTTACAGTTTGAACAAATAAAACCATTTTCACCGGATAGTAACTCTGGATTTGTAAATTGAAGCAAACATGATAACAATGTGTTTGCGCTGTAGGCATCGGATGGTATATCTTTCCTTAAATCAATTGGTTCTTTTTGTAAATCCTCTTCCTCATCTTCTTCAATTTTACCCAAGTTCTTACCACTTTCTTCGTCATCTTCAGGATTTAATTTAATGGATTCAAAGCTATTTTCTAAATCACTAATTGAACGTTGATGGTTTTTAATAGAATCTTGCTTTTCCTCAACGATATTATTTGAAACTGTTGATAAGGGTGATTCGGTAAATATATTATTATTATTGCTATTGTTATTTTTATTATCATTACTATTGTCATATAAACCAATTGTATTTACTGATTCATTTTGATAGTCATCGATGAAAGTATCACAAAGATTATTTTGAGTTGATTCTGTAACTGGAGTTGGTTCTGGTACTTTTTCTTTAATTATATAGTTATACTCGTTTAAACCATCATCGTCGACATTTTTAATCTTTGAATCATCTACGTATAACGATGATGACATGGATGACTGTTGTTGAAGGTAAAGTTGGTGTCTTTTCTTTTCTTTTTCGTCCTCATCATCCGAATCATCGATATTTATGATTCTTGAGGTTTGACTATCGAAAATTTTTTCAGCACCGTCCGGAGTATTTGATTGGTTGGTTTCAATTAATGGATGGCTGATGTCAATATCACCACCAATACTATTAGTATCTGATATATTTGAAAATAATGGTGATCCCGGTATAGAGTTGGAGTTTGATCTAATTGGAATTTGTATATGGGTATCACTTATTATGGTGTCTGCTAAAATACTATTATTTGATAATGATTGAATAGGTACATCTAATTCATTACTGTTATCTGGTAAACCTTCATTAACTTTTTCTTCTTCTTTAATAGCACTTTCACTCTGGTCTTTGAGCTCCTCTCCTTCCTCTTGTTTATTTTGACCCTCTTTTTCTTCTTTTTCCTTTTGTTTTGCTTCTTTTTTTCTTAAGTTTTTCTTTTGAGCTTTGGAAAGTTTTTTCTCTGATCTGGTTGGTGGCGAATCAGTAGACTTTAGGGTTTCTGGATCTAAAGAGTCATAAATATTTGAATTATTATCATCGCTAATTTTAATGATTTCATTTAAAACACCAATGTTTGATTTTCTTAATAAAGGTGGTGTTGAGACTCTTGGCATAACAAAATTGTGACCTTTGGCTTTGTTGGAGTGACCAGAAATGTCAGATTGTGATGGAATTGGTAAAGAAAGATCTAAAAATGGTTCGTATGTTTTCGAAACATAGCCGCAATGGAAACATGTTATTATACTAATTAACTGACCACCAAAAATCTTATCAATATAGGTTGGGTCCTTTCTTCTTTGAGTTGTGTTTTGTTCTTCAGAGATTAATCCATCTAATAAATATCTTAATAATTCGTGTGAATCTTGTTGTTTAAATCCTCTAAACCTTGGAGACCTATAAAATGAAAAAAATAAAAAGTTAATAACCCCTTTTTTTTTTTTTTATATTTTATAAAAAATGATAAAATCATACTTTTTACAAATTTCTGAAAATAATCCTGTTGGTGAAATGTGGGTGTGTTTAGTTTTATACATCTTATTAAAGAAATAGTACATCTCCATAGTAAGTGGGCTACTTGTATGAATTTTACTTCCAGGTGTTCCAGGCTCTTTTAAAAATATGTCCCTTAAAATATTTACATGTGTTAAATTTTGCATAATTGAGTTGAAAAAACATGTGTTGCCTAAATTATCTAAACCTTTGACACCATCTCCGATTGCTAAAACTTTATCAAAATTTTCATTCTCTTCATCATCATCAAGAATTCTATTCTTCTTTTTTCCGATGCTACTTGCACCATTTTGTTTAGCACTTGAACCTATATCTTTAACATGGCATGTTGAACATTCTAATGGTGGCTTTATATTGCTTGAATAGTTATTTATACCTTTTTTATTTGTACTTAAATTAAATGATTCTAAGCAGTTCTGAAAATAATTAAAATATTAGTATTAATACATTTACTGTAAATTTATTGTCTATTTGAAGATTCTTGTTTTTACATACTGTACAAATATATGAATCATTAATTCTCTTTAATGTTATTGTATCACCATCTTCGTTAATGGTGATTTTAACTTGATTATTACTATTATTATTATTATTACTATTATTACTGGTATTGCTATTGCTGCTGCTTCCTTTACTAGAACTCTGTTGCTTTTTATTATTTTCGACTAATAAGCTCTTTTTTTGATTCTTTTTCTTTTTATCTCTACCTCCTCCCATCTCTTTTTTTCTGTTATCAAAATAAATAAAAAAATTTATATAATTATTATTTTATTTGCTGTGTGTGTTTTTTTTATAAATATAAAGATATATATTATTATACTATAATAAACAAATTTTATATATAAATTTGTTTATAACTTTATCTATTAAATTACAATTTAAATTAAAATATTAAAAAAAATAAAATGAAAAAAAAAAAAAATTTCAAAAAATGAAAATTAAAAAAAAAAAACAAATAATTTTTTTTTTTTTTTTTTTTTTTTTTTTTTACCACACACTCACTTAAATTTAATTATAATAATAACAGCATAGTGTGTTAAAATTATATAGTATACTAAACCATAAATATAATAATATTAATAATTGAATAAATATTCATTTTCAATTAAATAAATATGAACATCATTCGAATAATCTAAAAACTATTACAATAATATAATTTTATTTTATTTTATTTTTTTTTATTTTATTTTATTTTTTTTATTTCGTTTTATTTTTGCTTTGTGTGTTAACTAAAGTAAACAAAGTTATCCTTTTCAATTTCTTTTTCAAAGGATTTGAATATTTTATTTTGTCAAAATATTCAAATAATAATATTTTTTGGAGCCAGTTATGGCTTTTTTATAATAAAAAAATCAAAAAAAAAAAAATTAAAAATTAAAAAAAAAAAAAAAAAAAAATTTATAGAAATTAAATATCTGAGGACAAAAAAATTGATTCAATTCCTTGGTTACTTTTGATTAAAATAATCAATTATCATTCCACATCACACACATTTTTTTATTTATTTTGTTTTATTTTATTTTAATATTTATATATTTTAAATAAACATTACCACACACATACACACATAACATTATATTTTATTATATACACACATATAAACAAAACACAATACCACACAATAACACACCACATACTACTCATTTTACACATTTTATAATTAATATTTTCATTTTTAGTAGTGTAAATAAAATTTATCATAGTTGTCATATTTAAAATAATAATAATATTAATTTTAAAGATTTAATATAAAAATAAACATAAATTAAAAATATCTCTTTTGTAAAAATTATTTTTTTAGTATTTTTTAATTATTTTTGTAGTTTTTTTTATTATTTTTTTAAAGGGATTTGTACAGTATTGGCATTTAATAATTAATATCAAAATAAATTTAATTAATATCCATATAGAAATACTATAGATATAGTACAAAATAGATTTAAAAAAAAAGAAGAAAAAAAAAAAAATAAAAAAAAGATTTATAATTATAAATCTAAAGCCACACACAAAAACACAAATAATTGTTAATTTTTATTTTTATTTTTTTATATTTATTTATTAAAATTAAAAAAAGACAATTAATTTAGGAAAAAAAAAAAAAGATCAATTAATTTTGATTATTTAAATATTGTTATAGCAGTAGTGTGTATAAATAATAATAATAATAATAATAATACTATATAATATATAATCAATAGAAAACAAAAAAAAAATTTTTTCAAAATTTTTTTTTAATAAAAATTAAATTAAAAAAATATAATGGAAAAAGAACATAGAAAGAAAAAATCAGTTGGAAATCTATTTGGGCATTCCAACAGTTCGCCCAATCTCAAATCATATTTGAAAGATGATGGGCCACAGAAAGAGGGTTTTGCTGATATACCAGAGAACGAGGAAATTTCAAGTAATCTATACAAAGTTCAATCAACACCCACTTCACCACTTTCATCAACTAATAATATATCATTAAATAGTAGTGGCAATTCAATTGGAGGCGGATCACCATCACCTTCATCATCATACCAAAACTCACCAATTATGAACAGTAAAAAGAAACCATCTAGATTAGCACAGGCATTTAAAAGAGTGAAACACAATAATAAATTAAAAAAAGAGATTGAGGAGTTGTCATCAAAGACTGGTCTTAATCAGCAATATACAAGATCGAATTTGCCATTTAATATAATACCAGATTCTTCAGTGGATGGTGGTGGTGGTGGTGGGGGTGCCCCATCGGGTCATAGTAGACAAAATAGCAAGGTTTCTAAAAAACATCAAAGAAAATCAAGATTCATCGAACCAGTAGCTCTATCGACCGAGGATTATTCAGATATACCTAGAATTATTAAAGTATCAATCGAGTTTTTGTTTGAAAAGTGTTTAAGGGTGCCTGGTTTATTTAGAGAGTCTGCAAATGCTTTAGAGCTTCAACGTTTGTCTCAAATTTTCGAAAAGGGTGAGGATATTGATTTGTCAAATTATAATGACCCACATTGTATAGGTGGTTTATTAAAGTTGTATTTTAGAGAAAGACCATCACCAATATTTCCATATGATTTGCATAAAACAATTTATAATGGTAGGTTTTAAAAAATTAATTAACTTTAATCAATATATTGATATTAATATTTTTTTTCTTTATTTTAATAGTTTTAAATGAAGAGGATTCATCAAATAAAATCAGAATGTTATTAGAGAATGGTTTATCAAAAGGTCAATATTTAATATTAAGATATTTATTTGAACTATTAAATTCGGTACATAATAACAGTGAACATAATAGAATGAATTATCAAAATCTTGCAATTTGCTTTGCACCTTCATTAATTCAATCATTCGATACTTCGTGTATCGATGTTATCGAAAGACTAATCGATCAATATGAAGCAATATTCTCAGTAGTTGTAGTTGTAGATAATGGCAGTAATGGTGGCAGCATAGATTTATCATCCTCTCCAACAATATTAACCGAGTCATTAGTGGATTCAAATAAAAGTGGTGATGATAATAGTAATAACTATCAAGTTGTATTGGACTCTTCTCAAGTGTTGGATCAGCTATATAGCAGTAATAGTGGCCATTTAAGAGCAAGCAACGGTATAAAGAAATCGCCATTACTAGGTTCAAGTAATCTTAGAAAGAGTGTAAGTCCAAAATTAAACAATAGAAAGAGTGTAAACTTTAATAAATTATCAAATGAGGTTATACCACCACCAAATATGGATATTCAAGATAATGATGAGGAGGTCGAAGAAGATGCCGAAGTAGTATCAAGACCAAGAAAGAATTCTACAGCATTGTATTTATCAAGAGTAGGACGTAATAGACCCAACTCTTGGAATACTAATAAAAAACAAGCACCAAAAAATCAACTTGGATCAACTCCAACTAAAAGATTGCACAGTGTTAACTCAATCGATTATAACAAACCAGCTGAACCATTCGATAGATCTGCAATTAATATTAATAAAGGATCACTAAATAAACAAATGACTATTATAAACCCATCGCCATCAACACCAGAAAGTGACTGTACTTCAATAGGCAGTGATGAAGATGAAGAATTAAAGATTATTAAACCTCTCAGTAGATCCCCAAGTGTTAACAATTTAGTAGAGGAGGTAAACAAGTTAAATATGGACATCGAGTCAACCAATGTCAATTGTGGTGGTACAGTAGATAACAGCACCTATTATAGAGGAGATGATTCAACTGACACAAACAATAATACCACTTCAACTACCACAGCACAGGGCACCCCAGTTCTTGCTACTCATTATTCAAATATTGAAAAACCAGTATATAACTATAATAGATTTTTACAACCTGCAAATAGATCATTATCAAATCCAAATATTAAAAACTTTTCAGTTCCAGCAAGTTCTACAGCAATTAGCAATCATTCAAAATATAATAAAAGAAGTTTATTTTCGCCAGTTAGAAAGCAATCGATTGTTTCATCCAAAAAAAATACATTTTCTGGTACAGCCTCACCAACATTTAATAGTAGCAACAGCGGCATCAGTGATAGTGGCACCAATACTCCTTCACTTTCGACTCAATCATCAAAAACTGATTTAACATCTTCAGTTAGCAGTATAAGTAGCAACATCAGTACAAGCAGCAACAGTAGTACAAGTAGTAATATTAGCACAAGTAGTAGTGTAGGCAAAGGTACCACAGGTAATAGCATTAGTACAAGCAGTAATATTGGAAAAAATGCTACTACCACTACCACTACCACCACCGTTAGTCATAATAAAACGCCATCTACATCATCAGCATCCTCAATTTCTTCAGGTGCAGCAACTACAATAAGTCCAATTAAAAAAGTTTCACATCAACACACAAACTCTTTATCATCAATACCACCATCAATAGTCGGTGGCAGTGGAAGTGCAGCATCATCTTCAACAAACAGTAACAGCAGTTCACCAAACCTTACATCATCAACACCCTCACCAGTTAGACCATCTTTGAACCACACAGTTTCAGCATCAACATTAATATCCAAATTTAATCAGTTTGAAAATAACAATAATCAATCACCCTCAACTGCGAATTGGAAAAGTGGAGTCGAAAAAAATAAACAAGCCCCTGTAAAAAAATCGGTTTCTATATTTGAAAAGAAATCATAACCCAATATAACAAATTAAACAAATAAATGGCCTTTCTACTACATACACCCATTAACTGTTTTTAATAATAAAATTATTAATGTATTTTTATAAAACCTTGAAAAAAAATGTATTTTTAAAAATAAATAAATAAAAAATAAACAATAAAAATAAATTTTTTTTTTTTATTTAATTAAATATTTTCTATGTTTCAACAGTTTCTAAAAAGTTTTGAAAATTATGATTTTAATCTTTTAGGTAGAGAGTCTGTTATTGGATTTTCATATGACTTAGGAAGCTTTATATGGGCTACTGATTTGGTATTTTTGCTTTTTCATCAGCCGATCAATTAGAAGTTTAGGTTCATCGGCCGAGATTTCTTTCTGTGATGGTAAAGACACGGCATTTAGAACCTAGGACTTATTTCAAAACTATTTCATCAGATAACAATGAGCAAAGATCACTCTCAATCACACCATGTGATAATAATTCATTCAAACTCATTTGTCTCAAACAAATCAAAAATGTTATTGTGAAATTTAAATTAACTCAAATTATAATACCTAAATTAATATTATAATTATTATTTATCTTTTTTTTTTTATTTTTTATTTTTTATTTTTTATTTTTTATTTTTATTTTTTATTTTTTATTAATTATTTTTTATTAATTATTTTTTATTTTTTAAAAATTTATATTTGAAAAAAAAAAATTTTATTTGTTTCAAATTCTAAAACAATTAAAAAAAAAAAAAAATAAATTGATAAATATTAAAAAAATAAAAAAGAATTTTTTTTTTTTTAATTTATTATTTTATTCACATACAAATAATCATATACTTTTATTTTTTTTATAATAATATTTCTCACATTTAATAAATTTATATAATAACAATAATTTTTTATATATATAAAATAATTTACCTAATAACATAACTATTTATTAATAACCATTTAAAAATGAATAATTTAATAATTGTTTTTCTATTTGTTACTATTAGTTTTTCAATAATTTATTTTATAAATAAATACTTTGCTTACAACAACAATAACAATAACAATAACAATAACAATAACAATAACAATAATAGCAACAATAACAGTAACATCAACTATATTCAACATGCTACCCCAACTAGCAATAATAGCAGTGTTTCTTACACACAACGTTCTGGCCCAATCAATAATGGTTACATCAGCTGCACACAAGAGTCTACCCCAATCAACAATAATAGTAGTATTGCCTACACACAACGTTCTGGCCCAACCAATAATGGCGACATCACCTGCTCAATCAATAATGGTTACACCACCTGCACTCAACAGTCTACCCCAACTAGCAATAATAGCAGTGTTTCTTACACACAACGTTCTGGCCCAATCAATAATGGTTACATCAGCTGCACACAAGAGCCTACCCCAATCAACAATAATAGTAGTATTGCCTACACACAACGTTCTGGCCCAACCAATAATGGCGACATCACCTGCACACAGGAGTCTACCCCAATTAACAATAATAGCAGTATTGCCCATACACAACGTTCTAGCCCAATCAATAATGGTGACATCGCCTGCACACAAGAGTCTAACCCAGTCAACAATAACAACATCAACTACACACAAATTTCTACCCCAACCAATAATAATTTAACTCTAAATCATTGTGACCAATCCCCACAACAACACTCACAAAATACAACAGAAAACCATCAATCACCAGCACACCAATTTATCTGCTCAAGTGTCTCATCGCTCAATCTCCCACAATCTCAATTTCATTCAAATTCTTCTCAAAAACGTAAAACCTCAAATTCACAAACATATTCATCGGTTCCATCAACAATTGCATCAACTGGAAATCATTCAACCAAGAAAAGATCATTAGAATATGATAACGAAATAATTAAATGTGACAAAGTATTTTCCAAAAAACAAAAACTCGAAGATGAAGAGAGTTTAAAAAGAGATAAGCAAATAGTTGAAATGGAAAGATTAAGAATTGAAAAAGAAAGAGAAGAGAGACAAAAATTACAAAGACTCAGAGAAATAGAAAGAGTTCAAAAAGAATATAGAGAAAGGGAGGAAATAGAAAGAATTAAAATAATGGAAATAGAAAGACAAATAAAAGAAGGTCTTGAAAGAAAAAAATTGGAAATTATTCAAAGGGAAAGAGAACAAATGGAAAAAGAAGAAAGATCAAGACTTCAAAGAATCCAAAAAGATAGAGAAAGAGCAGAAAAGATAAGACAAAGACAGGAAACAGAAAGAGTAAGAGAACAAAGACAAAGAGAAATAGAGGAAAGACAAAGGGTAGAAAGAGAAAGAGAAGAAAGGGAAAGATTAGAAAGAATTCAAAGGGACAATGAAGAAAGAGAGAGGGACGAAAGAGAAGCATCAGAAAGAGAAAATTTGGGAAGTGAACGTTTAGAAAGCGAGGACAAATGCACAATTTGTCTTAACTTTATCGATAGAAATGAAATGGCTACAATCGATTGCCTTCATAAATTTTGTTTTACATGTATCGAACAATGGTCTAGACGTATCAACACCTGCCCAAACTGTAGAGAAGAATTTTATAACATCACAGTAAGTAATTTACACATTCATTTTTATACTTAATAAATATATACTAATTAATTTCATTAATATTTTATGCAGAAAGTAACTAATGATGAAAGTTTATAAAGTGATAAGATGAAGATTAATATTATGATGATGAGCTTTAGATAATGGAAATTTATTAATATTGAAATCGGAGGTGATTAAATTAATAGTTTTGATAATTCATTCAATGTTTCTTTTTAAGAAATAGGTGAAGACCAAATTATTAATTAAATCTTTTCATTCAATTATTAAATCGATGAAATTAAAAAAAGTAAACTTCGTCAATCCAAGAAACAATCCATCTTCACCAACATTAATAATAGAAATTAAGCATCACATTAATTCAACTTTACAGAAACAATTCTAGATGTTCCAAGTCAGCTTTATAGCAAAATAACTCTTAAGGTAACTATACTTATAATATTTAAACAATTATTTTTATACTTGAATTTAAAAGAAACTAATATTTAATTTTTATAATTTTAGTTAAAGTTTTTCTTTTCGGGATCAATACGTTTCATTCACAATTCAAACATTGGGTTCTTGTCTATTCTTTCTTTTTTAGTGCCAACATAATTTAAGTCGCATATCAAACATTGGGTTATTGTCTATTCTTTCTTATTAAGTGCCAACATAATTTAAGTCGCAAATCAAATATTGGGTTCTTGTTTATTCTTTCTTTTTAAGTGCCAACATAATTTAAGTCGCAAATCAAAAATTGGGCTCTTGTTTATTCTTTCTATATCGGTATCGTCGCAGCTAAGTCACAAATTAAATACACCTCGAACCACTTTTTTTTTTTTATATGTAATTTTTTATTTTTTTCCATATAAAAAAAAAAAAAGTGGTTCGAGGTGTATTGGGTTCTTGTCTATTCTTTCTTTTAAGTGCCAACATAATTAAGTCGCAAATCTAACATTGGGTTCATGTTTATTCTTTCTATATCGGTATCATCGCAGCTAAGTCACAAATTAAATATTGGGGTTATTGTTATTCTTTCTTTTAAGTGCCATCGCAGCTAAGTCACACGTCAAATATTGGGGTTTTTATTCTTTATTTTTCAATGTCAACTCTAATATTATAATAATTACTATATAGTAACATTATAAGAAATAATGAATAATAGTGATATTGTAAAAGGTGCATTAACAACCGGTAATGAACCACCAACAACCATTTCAATCGAATCTAATGGCAATAAAATTTCAGATGAATATTTAGAAAAAGAGTTTCAAGAAAATACTAAAGATGGTCCAATTTACGACTTATTAAAAAATATTATTTCAATGCAACAAAAAACCAATGTCATTATAACCGAATTTGTAAATAAAGAAAAAATAGAAAAACAACAATCACAACCACAACCACAATCTAAAAAATCAAAAGGTTCAAATAAAGGAAACAATAAACAAAATAATAAACAAAACGATAATAGCAATAATAAAAGGATTGATGAAAATAAAGACGACAACGATAAAATAATAAAACAACCTAAATTAGATAATTAATAAAATACCTCTTTTGTATATAAAACCTATCTCAATATGTCTTTTTCTTTTTCTTTTTTTTAATTAAATTGAATAATGATAGTTTCTTAAGGAATTACTATAAAAAAATACAGTTATTATATTTTCAACAACAACAAAATACAGAATTTGATAATTTAAAAAACCAACAGGAACAAATTCAAAATATTATTTCACAATACCACCCACTAAGTCCCTCAAAAGCAAATCTTCTTAATAAAATTCAAGAAAATGAAAACCAATCGACTGGTGGTGCTTCTGATTAATTAATAAAATTTAAGATAATTTAATAAAAAAAACTTTTTTATATTATAATATATTACATAATATTTATTTTATTTTATTTTATTTTTTGATTACATTTTTCCATTCTCAAAAAATCATTAAATTCATGATTTTGTATGATTTTCTTTACAAAGTTTAAAAGAGTAGACAAACAATAATAATCATTTCATGAAGAGCTATTTTTAATAAAAAGGAAAACGGTAAAAAATAAACATATTTATAAAAAAAAAAATTTATTATATTTTATTTAAAAATTTAATGATGTTTCAGTTAAAATCATTTGATGTTCCAATATATTTTCCTGGCCAGGGAAAATGTATTTCTTCCATCAAATAGATTGAACAATGATATTTTCTGTTACTTTTTTTTTTTTTTTTTTTTTTATAAAATTATTAATTATTATTAACTAAAAGTTCTTTTTCTAAAGCTTTAGGGTTGATGATGAAGAATCCTGATAATGATGGTGAGGGGAAAACTTTGATGATGCTGCTGATGATGATGATGAATGCTGACGATGATGCCGATGATTATGAGGACCAAGATGAATGCTGATGATGATGCTGATGATGAGGACCAAGATGAATGCTGATGATGATGCTGGTGATGGTGATGGTGATGATGATGAGGACCAAGATGAATGCTGATGGTGAGGACCAAGATGAATGCTGATGATGATAATGCTGATGGTGATAATGCTGATGGTGATGAATGCTGATGATGATGATAATGATGGTGAAGACCAAGATGAATGCTGATGGTGATGAGGACCAAGATGAATGATGATGATGCTGATGATGATGAGGACCAAGATGAATGCTGATGATGAGGGACCAAGATGAATGCTGATGATGAATGCTGATGATGGTGATGGTGATGGTGATGATAATGATAATGAGGACCAATATGAATGTTGATGAAGATGCTGATGAGGACCAAGATGAATGCTGATGATGATGAGGACAAAGATGAATTCTAATGATGATGATAATGCTGAGGACCAAGACGAATGATGATGATGATGAGGACCAAGATGAATGCTGATGGTGATAATGCTTAGGAACAAGACGAATGCCGGTGAGGATGCTAATGATGATGAGGACCAAGATGAATGCTGATAATGATGATGAGGACAAAGATGAATGCTGATAATGATGATGATGCTGATGATGATGATAATGCTGATGATGATGAGGACCAAGATGAATGCTGATAATGATGATGAATGCTGAATGATGATGATGAGGGACAGGATGAATGATGATGAATGCTGAATGCTGATGATGAATGCTGAAAGCTGATGAAGGGTAAACAATGCTGAGCTGATTATTATGATGAGGGCAAACAATAATGATGCTGATGATGATGTAGGTGAAAACAATGATGATGGAGGAATTTAATTACTTATTATGAATTTTAACTTATAATTGATAATAATTAAATTGAACTATTTATACTATTGAATTGTTAAATATAATTTAATTATTATGATTGGTAATTATGATTATTGACTAGTGTAAATTGATATTATATTAATGACGATGATGATTAAACTGAACTATTTATACTTTTAAATTGATATTATTATTAATGATGATAATAATTAAATTGAACTATTTATACTTTGAATTGTTAAATATTAATTTAATTATTATAAATGGTGTATATTGATATTATTATTAATGATGATAATTAAATTGAACTATTTATACTTTTAAATTGTTAAATATTAATTTAATTATTATATGGTCATTATAATTATTGACTAGTGTAAATTGATATTAATATTAGACTACTATAATTTTAATTGCTATTATTGATAATTGATTAATTAATTGAAAAGGTGATTGCCAATTACATATTGTGATGTAAAGGTGATTATGTAGTTTATGAGATGGGTAATAAGAGATAAGATGGAAAATAGGTGACCATAAATATTAATATCCCCGACTGGGGCAGAACTGGAATCAAAGAGGTTACGGAATACAATTTGAGCATAGCTTGAAATTGAACTATTTATACTTTTGAATTGTTTAATATTAATTTAATTACTATAATTGGTGTATATTGATATTATTATTAATGATGATAATTAAATTGAACTATTTATACTTTTAAATTGTTAAATATTAATTTAATTATTATAAATGGTGTATATTGATATTATTATTAATGATGATGATAATTAAATTGAACAATTTATACTTTTAAATTGTTAAATATTAATTTAATTACTATAATTGGTCATTATAACTATTGACTAGTGTAAATTGATATTATTAATGATGATGATAATTAAATTGAACTATTTATACTTTTAAATTGTTAAATATTAATTTAATTACTATAGTTGGTCATTATGATTATTGACTAATGTATATTGATATTATTATTAATGATGATAATTAAATTGAACTATTTATACTTTTAAATTGTTATTATTATTAATGATAATAATTAAATTGAACTATTTATACTTTTGAATTGTTAAATATTAATTTAATTATTATAAATGGTGTATATTGATATTATTATTAATGATGATAATTAAATTGAAATATTTATACTTTTAAATTGTTAAATATTAATTTAATTACTATAATTGGTCATTATAACTATTGACTAGTGTAAATTGACATTATTATTAATTAGACTATGATAGTTTTAATTGATATTATCTTGATTGATTATTGATTAATAATTTGAAAAGGTGATTGCCATTTACATATTGTGATTTAAAGGTGATTATGTAGTTTATGAGATGGGTAATAAGAGATAAGATGGGTAATAGGTGACCATAAATACTATTAATATCGTTGTCTGGAGCAGAATAGGAATCAAAGAGGTTACAGAATACAATTTGAGATTAGCTTGAATGATTTCCAAAGAGAACGGTTATGGATGGTTCAACAAAAAAGATTGAGACTAGATGAAGGTGGACATTAATTTTTGGTGCATCGGTGTTAATATTGACAATCGGGTCTTGATGATGATGGCGATGATGAGGAGCAAACAATGATGCTGAAAAAAAAAAAAATTTTAATAAAAAAATTTTAATAAAAAAATTTTAATAAAAAAATTTTAATAAAAAAAAGAAAAAAATAAAATTTTAATAAAAAATTTTTAATAAAAAAAAGAAAAAAATAAAATTTAATTAAAAAAAAATAAAATTTAATTAAAAAATGAAATTTACCACACTCACTAAATTTCTACCAAGGAATAAGAGATTGCGAACATCATTTTTAAAAATTAAAATAATAATAATTTTTAACTAATATTGCCACTATAGATTTTATAATAGTTTTTATTATTAAATTTAAAAACTCCACTTAAGGAAAGTATAATAACTATATTTTTTTATTTTAATATTCATTCCTTGAGAAACTATAATTGTTCAATTTTATTATTCAAATAATATTATAAGAAATATTAGATAATGGTTTCATTATGGGGCAGAGGCAACAAAAAATTTCTTATCATCAATAATTTATAATAATTAAAAAAAATTTAAAAAAAAAAAAAAAAAAAATTTTCTATTTTTTATTTTTTAAACAAAAATTTATTTAAAAACTATTTTTAAAAATAATAAATAAATTGGAACATATGAAGAAGTAGAACTGTTCAATAAACCTCAATGCATTATCAAAAGGAACAATCAATCTAATTATTTAGATATGGAAATAAGAGATAATAAAATGGGAAATAAATTATTCATAATTCGTGAATAAATCTTTCTTAATAAATAAAAAATAAACAAATACACTAGCGTACATTTATATTTATAATTATATTAACTCTTTACTCATTTATTTATTTATTTATTTATTTTAAAACCAAAATTTTATTATTTTATTTATTTATTATTTTTTTTTATTTTTTTTAAGTGAAGATTTTTAAAGCAAATGCTTTAAATTAACCGGTTATGTTCATAATACAAAACCACCAGATAACTTTATAATTTTACAATTCGAGAGAATTATTCTCTTATTTTTTTTTTAATTCCACATAAAAACTTTTTTTTAAAAAATTTTAAAATTTCCTCTAAAAATAAAATTTAAAATTATTTCTTAAAAAAATTTTTTAATAAAAAAAACTATAAAATGATGGATTCTCAATGCTGTTATTTCATTAATTAACAAACTAAAAAATAAACAAAATAAATATATACTTAATATTAATAATATTTTAAATTTATAAAATAAATAAAAAAAACTATATTAAATCAAAAATGGTTAGAATTATTACTAGAAGATCAAGTCACTTACAAAAAAGAAATAGAGTTCAATTATGCAATTTAAATCAAGTTCTTTATGGTTCATCAAATTGTAGAAAAACATCAAATAATATGAATATTAGAAAAAAGGTTTTAAAATCCAAAGATATTCCAAAAATTAAAAAAGAGCCAAATGTAACCACAACATTAATTCCTACTAAAATTGCTATCATTACACGTTCAAGTAAAATAAATCCAATTTTAAACAACTTTAATTACAATGTCAAAGAAGAACCACAAACAAATAACTGCGGTGATAATAATAAATCATCGGTATCCTCACAAAAGCCAAAACCAAAATCAAAGCCAATCATCACCAAAATCTCTATTGTAACACGTTCAAATATTAAAAAAAATAGAGAATTTATTAAAAACTATAATAAATTATTTAAAATATAATACATAATAATATAATAATATAATAATATAATAATAATAATAAATAAAATGTAAATAAATATCTTTGTAAATAGAAATTATATATAATAATTAGTTTTAAGACACAAATCAAGCATTGGGGTATTAGTTTATTCTTTGTAATAAGGTTTTTAAATAGGTCCATTTAAACCCAAATTCAACCACCTACAAGCAATCAATACATTTCATTAAAAAAAAATCAAACAATTTATATAAATAAAAAAAACATATAAACAAATATAGATATAACTATTCAATTTACTTTTTATTAAAAATTAAAATTCAGTGTCTTTTTTTTATAATTTTTTTTGATTTTAAGTAAATATATAAATATAAATAAATTTACTAAAAAATTATAAATTTTAGAGTTCTTAATCTTTATTATCCTCCAATTATCTTTAGCGAATTAATTTAAAATATTTTAAAAAAAAAATATTATCATTTTTAACATTTTATATAATTTGCCAATAGTTTTAAAAATAACAGTACAATCACATATCCTTATTTGTTCCATTTACAATATAATATTCATTTATAAAGAATAATTATAACCTCTACCAATACTCTTAAATTTACCTATTTAAAATCTTTCTTAATTTTTATTAGTATTCAAGTTTTAATTGGTGTTAGAATAAAAAAGAGAAATAAATATTAATATTTCAAAAAATTATAGAAAAAAATCAAAAAATTATTAAAAAAAAATTGAAAAAATTATTTATTTCCATTTTATCTTTGGTTTCCTATTTTTTTTCAATTATTTTTTCCTCTTTTTTTTATTTTTTTATTTTTTTTAAAAGTATAAAATGGAGTAAATTTTTAAAATATTCATTCCAACTATTTCAATTAAACAAATATAAATAATTATTTAAAATGCCATTATCATTAACCTCAAGAAAATCATTAAAAGATAATGAAGAAACCTTCAAAACTCATTTAGCTACCATTGAAAAAGCTTTAGGTGAGCCATTTGAAATTGTATTTGATTTTGAAGATATCATTACCAAATGCAACGATAACTGGGTAACCAATAGCTGTGGCTCAATCTTTTACAAAGATGTTGTTGGTAATTTAGCTAAAAATATCGATACTAAAGTAAGCAAGAATGAAATGGTAAAAGAAGCTTTCTTAGCTGCTGTTCCAAATAAGAAAATTGTTTTTGTAGCTGCTGATGAAAAATTACCATCATACTGGCAATATTCATTCGCTGATGGAAACTGTGTCGTCTCATTCCGTCCAAAAATCTGCAACACCAATGATGTATTTACTGCTAAATTAGAAACTCTTCTTCCATCACAAGGCACCTACTCTTTAATGACTCGTTTGAACATTAAAGAAAACCAAGCTAAAATGGATGCCAATTTAGCAGCTGTTAAAAAAGCAATGAAATCAGATGCTGATTGGACCATTGATCAATCATCATTAGAAGCCGTTTACCCACATGTTGCTGATGATTTAAAAAATAGTTTTGGTCATATTTTTGCAGGTGTTGTCGAAAAAGTTGCAGCCAATCTCGCTAAACGTTGTGCTGATGAAATGGTATTAGAAGCTGTACAAGAAGCCACCTCAAATCGTACTATTGTTATTAAACACAATGCTACTCAAAATGGATATTGGTTATGGTCATTTGAATCCGGTAATTTAGTTATTTCATTCAAATCAATTACTAATACCAATGATGTTCAAACTTTCGATTTCATTAAATTATTATAATAATAAAATATTAATTATAGTGTTTGAACTTTTTTTGGCTTTAGTAAACCAAAAATAAACATGTAAATAAATTAAAACAAATAGCTAAATAATATTTTTTCTTTTTTTTATGAGGTTCTAGTATGATATTAAAATAGATTGATTATTTTGGAATATACTTTTTAATTTCTATTTCTTTTTTTTCATTATACAAATGTGATGTTTTGTATTTCGTTTAATAGATATTTGAAAAATAATATTTTCAGAATTTCATCTTTTTTCTAAATATTACCAGTTTTTTCTTAATTTATTAATATTTCTGTTTTATTTTTAAAAAAAATTATTGCTTCAAACCAAATATTTTTTAATTTTTTTTAATTTTTTTTAATTTTTTCATTTTTTAAAACTTGCCAATAAATGAATAATAATACAAATCTAAATATTAGTAATAACACAAATAATAATATAGAAAATAATAATAACATATATAATATAAATATTATAAATAATATACTATTTTATAAAATATGGAGAAATATTATTTTAAAAAAAAAGATATTTAATCATATTAAAAAATTTAATAGCAACTATTCAGTCAGTTTTAGTTCAAGAGATCAATTATTAAACTATAAAGAAAGAGAATATATACAATGCTTAGAAATCCTAATTGATATACCATTAGAGGCAGGTGATATACCTTACGGTGTTCATACATTATCTTTTGGGGACGCCTATGACTTTCCATTATCAAATGTTATTCCTCATTCAGTAACCTCATTAAAACTAGGATACTTATTCCAACATAGCATAAAAGATGGAGAACTCCCCGATTCTTTAAAGGATATAACATTTGGTGAAAATTTCAACCAACAATTAATTCCACTACCTAAAAATTGCGAAAATGTAACATTTGGATGGTCATTCAACAAGCCATTATCGATAAATGGTGAAACATGTATTTCATCCTCGGTTAAAAAGATTCATTTTGGAAACTTATTCAATCAAAAAATATGCCCTGGTGATTTGCAAAATGTAGAAGTTTTAGAGTTTGAAAAGAACTATAATCAGCCATTGGTAAGCGGATGCTTACCCCCAACTTTAGTGTCATTATCTTTTTATGGGCATTTTAATCAAGCTTTAACTCTTGGTTCTTTGCCAACTGGTTTTTTAACAAAAATAATATTTTCAAATTCATTCAATCAACCAATTGAAAGTGGTGTAATTCCTCAAACAGTTAAACATATTACATTCGGAAAAGATTTCAATCAAACCATTGCAAACTCAGGTATACCAAAATCAATTGTGACATTGAATCTAGGTTCAAATTTTAATAACGTTTTAGATATAGGTGAATTTTCTTCATTAACTGAGTTAAAAATTAGTGATAGATATGATCAGCCCCTGTTGGATAATTGGTGGAAATCAAAGACCAGTGGTTCTGTCTGTTTATTAAAAAAATTAGAATTTGGGTATGACTTTAACCAGTATCTTAGACCTTTCAAGAGCATTCCACCTACAGTAGAGACATTAATATTTGGTCATAGTTTCAATGAACCATTGGATTATGGAAGCATCCCACCATCAGTAACTTGTTTATCTCTAAAAGAATCTATTGATTATAATATTATTTTTGAACCAGACATATCCTTGCCAAACTCTATACTCTCTCTCCAATTAGGTTATTATTATAATCAACCTTTTCAACCCAAGTCTTTGCCAGATTCACTCACTAGTCTCACTCTCGGTAGCTCCTTTAACCATTCATTGGGTGTTGGTTGCTTGCCCCCATCTTTGACCAGTATATCCTTTGGCTTAATTTACAACAAACCATTTTTTCCCAATAGTTTACCATCATCTTTGAAAACTCTTCATCTGGGATATTCTTTTAATCAGCCTCTAGAAAACCTACCAATATCATTAACAAAACTTATTTTAGGAGCAGAATTTAATCAACCTTTACGAATTCAATCACTTACTGCACTTAAGACACTTTTATTGGGTAGAGATTATAATTTACCTTTTGATCAAGAATCACTTCCACAATCTTTAGAAACTATAGAGTTTGGATTCTTTTTTAATCAAAAACTATCAAATCTTCCTCTTTCAATCAAAAAAATTGTTTTTTCAAGAGATTTCAATATACCAATCGATCAAAGCTTAGCACATTTACCCTTATTAGAAGTATTAGAATTTGGTAGAAAATTTAATCAAAATATCTTTCCTGATACTTTTCCAAAGAGTTTAAAAACCCTCATTTTTGGAACTGAATTTAATAAACCAATAGAAAACTGTATACCAACATCGGTTACATCTATTACATTTGGTTTAGAATTCAAACAACCAATCGAATCAATTCCAAAATCAACAAATATAATCTCTGCTTCGAAAAAATAAATTTAAACCTATTGTTGTCAAACAATTTTTTTTATTTATGGTACTAAAATTTTTATTTTCCACTGAATTATTAAATTTACAAGGTGATCTTGTAGTTGTTTATTCAAAAATATAAATATCAAATAAAATTAAACTATCCCAATTTAATAAAAATAAAAAGTAATAAATTAATGCACTTTCACTTTCACTATTTTATATTTTTTTGTTATTTAAAAGATTTTATTTATTTGATTTTATCAAATTTGATTTTGTTTAATTTGATTTTGTTTAATTTGATTTGAATTTTAATTTACTCTAATCCATGAGCTTTCTTTAAATCATCTAAACTAAAACTGGCATAAGTTGAAACCCATTCTCTAGCTTTGTTATTATATGTTTCTAAACTATCTCTATATACACCAGCCTTAACAACATCTAATGGATCACTGTTTAATAATTTAAAAAAAAAATATTAATTAGCAATAAATAAAAAAATTTAAATCTGAACTACCATAAGCCAACTTACTTTGGATTTGGATTTACCATTAGTGCTTGAAGTGATAATAAAATTTTACCAACTGTTAACGATGGAGACCAACTATCTTTTAAAATATCTAAACATATACTGCCATCATTATTAATATTGCAATGATAGATTTTGGTTAAGAAACGAACCTTTGGTGGCTTCATTGGATAATCATCTGGGAAATTGAAAGAGATGACAAAAGAACCATTTTCATATAGAGAGTCGACTGGGCCTTTGAGGATGAATTTCCAAGTAGAAAGATTATTTTCACCAACATAGACTGAATATGGATATTGTGTTGGATCACTTGAGATGTCATTGACCAAATTATTGTACTCTTTGACTAAACGTTTACCAGAAGGACCTCTAGACAAACCAGAGCTTTCCATAGTATTGGTATCTACAACTGATTTACATGTAACTGTTGATTGAGAATCAGCTTTTCTTTCAATAGACTTTTGGAAAATACCACCCAACTTTTTTAATTCATTTATATCTGGAACATCAACACCATCATGATTAAAGTTTTCTCTGCATCCCAATGAAAGTAAAGCTTCACGTTCGAATAACCCTATACCCTCTTGGGCTGTATCTGCAACAAAACAACTACCGCCAGTTCCAGTTGAGAGGGCTAATAAAAGTTGAGAGATCTCACCGATTGGGATACTATCTAAAACAATTCTATTTTTTTTAAGGTAACTATATGCGTCATATAATGGATAGTTTGATGTGTCTTGGCCATCGGTAAGACAGAATACCCTGCAAAAAAGTTTTTCTGGTTCTGCTAATTTGATATCTGATGGTGGGTTATTTCTAAAATCTACAATAGTTTTTGCAGCCAAAACAATAGCTTCCCAAAGACTTGTGCCACCCATATTTGCTTGAATTTCTCCTAATTCAGTTGAAAATGAATCAAAATTCTTGGTAATACCAAATGTAAGTTTTGCGACTGAGCCAAAACAAACCAAACCACATACTGCTGGTAATTCATATGATACCATTTTATCGATAAATGTTTGGAACAATGCTTGGGCAAACTCTATTCTTTTCATTTCTAGTTCTCCTGGTTTATATGAACCCATAAATGCTGGAGCACTCATCGATCCACTAAAAAAAAAAAAAAGTTAATATTTATTTTTATTAATTAATAATTATTTATTATCATAATGAATATTACCTTAAATCAATGACAATAACATCAATACAGCTAATAACTTGACTAGTACCAATAGCTACAGTATTTGTTGCTGTGGTTGTAGTTGTGGTTGTTGGGATCACAGTATTGTTGTTGTCTGAAATTGAAGTTACTTGAACCATATTATTTAATGATTTTAAAAGCAATACAGTATTGTCTTGAATACCTAATTGCTCTAATGTATCATCTTCAAAAAGCTCTGCATTATTATATTCTAATGTAAAGGTATCATTTTGTGATAAACCTGCTCTTTTTACAGCAGATTCCATTAACTCTTTAATTGTCATAGAGTTTTTAAATGGAATCATAATTTTTTTATTTTTATTATCTAATTCTATTGAAAGTGGCATTTTATTATTTATATATTTATATTTATATATTTATATATAACTTATTTATTTACTATATTAATGTTTTATTACTACATTATTTAAAAAAAAAAAAAGTATTTATACTTTTAATTTTTAAAATTAAAAAAAGATATTTTTATTTTTTTTGTAAACAGTCAGTGATGAGTGGCATTGATTGTATATGAGGAAACAAAAATTAAATTAAAAAATTGAAATAAAAAAGAAATTAATTTTTTTTTTTTAATTTTTTTTTTAATTTTTTTTTCTTTTTTTATTATTATTTTTTTCTTTTTTTTTTTTTAAATGAAAAAGAGGAAATAAAAAACAAATAAAAAAAAACAATTATAATTGTGATTAAAAATAAATCAAAAACCAAAGGTTGTATCTTATTTATAAATTTTGTTATTAATAAATATTTTATAAATTTATTTAATTTCTATTTTTATCCCCCTATTGATTTGTTTTATTATTTTCATCTTCAGATAATGAATGTTTTTTTAAATAAATGAATGAATTTAAAAATTTTTATATTTATTTACATTGGTTTAAACTTTTTAGATTTAAAAAGAAATAAAAAAAATTTTATGGAAAAAAAAAAAAAAAAAAAAAAAAAATAAATATTGTAGTGTTAAACCTGAAAGCCAGGAACTTGAATAAAAGATCTCTTAGAAGTGTTGTCATAATAAAAACTAACATCATAACAACCTCTTTGAAGAATACAGCCAAATTCGATGACATAGGAATATGGGAAATAGATAATGGTTTCTGCAAGATTACCATTACTACAGTTTGTAATTTCGTCGATTGGAAGAATAGTGTTACTTAATAGAGATGATGGATATCTCCAATGATCAGAAGCTGTAGCTTTGGTGATGTTTTGTGGAATGATAACAACTTCACCTGTATCACGGTTTTTAAATTGAATTAAAAGAGGCTTACCAGTTTTAACAATCTTTTCTTTGGGACAACTACCAGAAGAGCCTGTTAATGATGGTGATGATGATGGAGAATCAGTTGGAGAACCAGGATCAGTTGTATTAGAAGTGGCAGTGGTGGTAGTGGTGGTAGTGGTGGTAGTGGTAGTGGTGGTAGTGGTAGTAGTAGGGCTGGCAGCAGTGGAAGGAGTAGTATTTTGTGGAATTAAACCCTTTTTAAATAAATTTGCAATGGCAACAAATTTAAATGCACCTTGGTTTTTATCTTTAACGTTAGCATCAACAAATTCGGCTTTGGATAATAAAACTTTCTTTGGTGGTTCGAATTCGGATGGGGTATTTCTAAAACGAATTGGTGGAGTTGCGACTGAATCAATCTCTTCATCGTTATTGAAAGCTTTAAAGAGGATACAAACATTCTTAAAGTTTTTATTGGTTCTTTGAATTGAAAAAATGACATTGAAGATACCTGGCTCGATATTTTCTACCTTGTGGGACTTAAATTTGAAAACTTCAGTTTCATTAGCTTCGATATTTCTAACAGCATTATCTGTAAATTGTGTTGGAATAAACAAAGAGGGTACAATTGTTAAATTACTATATTTAGCATAGTCCTTTATTACTAAAACAACACCATTTTTACTTCTTCTACCAGTACTAACTTCGCTGGCGATTGGTGTGAGCATAGTATTAACTAAAACTATCTTTCTATTTAAACTGTAGATATAAGAATCACCTTTTTGATTTGATTTCGATTCTAAATCATTGGTATCAAATATTTTAAAAAGAGATAGACGAGTTGGAACCGAGGCAATGCCATTTGGGAATGAACCTTTTCTCTTCCTGGTATATGGGGTTTCAGATTTAGGTATTGGTATCATTGAGTTTGGAAGAGTGTGGGCAAATGAATCCTGGTTACTTTGAAGAGAGGCTAATCTTGGAGCATTAGGTGAACGGTTTGTATAACCAGATGGACCACCTTCTTTAAATTTATTATAGGTTTCTGCAGACACTTGAACTGGTTGAATATTAACTTCGTTAAAATTGATTCTATTATTAATATTGTATGCGGCATTTGAAATAAAAAACTTGGATTTGAATTGCACAAGGAAGTCATAGTTGAGTGTGATAATATTGAACAATAATCTGGACTCTTTTTCATTTAAGCTTTGAAAGATGGATAATTGGCTTTTGGTATTTGTCGATAATGTAGTGGCACCACTGGCATCGAAAAGTTTAATTTGCATTTCGTCAAATGTTTTAAATAATTTGAATGTTTTTGATAAATTGTGTAATAGTTGACTGTCTAAATCGCATATTATTATAACCAAAAGATAAAAAACCCCAACAAAATGCTCCTCATCATTGATATCGCACTTTGTAGAAACCAATTCAATGATGGTCTTTTCATGACATGTCAACTGTTGATACAGTTGAAAAGAACTATCTCTTAATATAAAACTTTTCGTTTCACCATTAAATTTATTTATGATACCCCTATGTAAAGAAACAAAATCATTAAATATTTGAAAATTAAATGACCCATATAAATGAGATTGTTGGTGGTGGTGGTTTTGTTGTTGTGGTGGTGGTTGTTGCTGTTGTTGGTATTGATATTGATTATGTTGGTTATTAATTATCTGTTGAACTTGTGCGTGAATTTGTTGTGGAACATTTGGATTTTGTACCTCATTATTATTGTTATAGTTATTATTACCATTACCATTTTGTTGTGGTTGTATTTGTTGGATCTGTTGATAGTGTTGATGTTGTTGTTGTTGTGGAGTTATTAATAGTTGTTCTAAATAATATTGGGGTTGTGGTTGTTGGGAAAGACTGATGTGATAGTTACTATTTGAGCCTGTATTATGTAAACTATTATTTTGAAGAAGATTGTTATAAAAAAATTGTGGTGGAATAGTTGAACTACTGGTGTTTGCAGATTGACCCTGAAACAAATGACTACTCTCCTCTCCTCCCCTATTTATAAGATTATTTTGGATATCCATATTAATATTAATACCAAAATTGGGCATATCAATTAAGTTATCAATATGTTGGTTTGGTTCTATAAATTATAAAAATAAAATTATTAAAAAACTATTTATAAATTTTGTTATAAAAATTTAATTTAAAAAAAAAAAAGCTGTGCTAAATTGATTTAAAAAAAAAAAAAAAAAAAAAAAAATATACACACAACACAAATCGATTAAAAAAAAAAAAATCTTACACAACAATGAAACTCCTTTTCTATTTTTTTAAACTTAATTCTTTTTCTTTTTTTATTTCTATGAAGTTTATTTTTTTTATTTTTTTTTTCAAAATTAAGTTTTAAAAAACTTAAAAAAAATAAAAAAATAAAAAAAAAAATAAAAAAAATAAAAATTTTTATAAAGTTTGAAAAATCTTTTCCCAACAGTGATTGCAATGCACAAAATAAAATAAAATAAAAAAAATATACACCGCAAAAACAATATATAAATAATCTATTTATAAATTGAACATACCCATATTGATTTCTTTTATTTGTGTATTTTTTTGGTTTGTTTTATGAATGAATAGATTTTTTTTTTTTTTGTTTTTATATGTGATTCTTTTTATGTTTGGTATTTAAAAAAAATATAAAATAAAGGGTACCCTTTAAAAAAAATTAAAAAAATTAAAAAAAATAAAAAGCTAAAAAATAAAATAAAAAATAATAAAAAATAAAATAAAAAAAATAAAAAACAAGTTTTTTGCACTTATTTTTCAAGCTTAAGAAAAAAAAAGATATTTACCCAATGAGTGATGCAACCGAATTTTTTTTACTTTTTTTTTTTTTTGTCATCATAATCTTTTTTGATCATTTTTTTTTTTTGGCATAATATTAATTTTATCGTTTTTTTTTCTTTTTTTTTTTTTTTTTAAAACAATTTTTTTTTTCTTTTTTTTTTTTCTCTTTCATATAATATTTTTTTTAATCTAGCATATATAAAATTTAAACCTATTAAATAGTTCTTGAAGTATTAGGATAGAAAAAAAAAAAAAACATATATAATATTAAATTTAATTTTTTATATTCAAAAAAATAAAAAAATTCAATCTAATTGGTGTTCCAGGGGCCACTCAATCCTGACAGGGGGGTGACAGGTTGGTGGATACACGAAATCAGTGCCTTTTCATATGTCAAGACGTATTGGCAATAAAAAAAAAATAAAAAAAAAATAAAAAGAAATATTTAAACCATGGATGTTAACACATCACAAATTTTATTTTTTTATGAAATTGAATATTTTCGTCTATTGAATAAGCAAAAAAAACTTATTTTTTTTTTTTGTTATCCAAAATTCAATTTTGAAATTTTTTATGCCATTAAATATTTTATATTTTTTAAATTTCAATAATAAGATTTTCATGATTTGCCCCCTGTCTTTCTATTGCCAGAAACCATCTTTCTTTTTTAAATACTTGGTAATGTCCTAGGCCCTCAGGGGACTAAAAAAATGAATGTTGATTTTTTTTTTTTTTTCAGTTTTTTAAAAATTATTATTTTTGAATAGCATAATGAAGATGATCATATCATTTCATATAAAAAAAAAAAACATTTCTAAAATAACCAAGATTAAATGAAAACATTTCACTGAATGTTAAAAGTGAAAGTTGAATTTTTTTTTTTTAATTATTTGTTTTTTTTTTTTATTTTTTTTTTTATTTTTATTTTTTTTAATGTTGAATTCTTTATATGTAGAGAAAATGAATATTATTCATATAAATATATTTAAATTAAAAAATGTGTGTGTTTGAGTGTTTTTAAAATAGGGGTAATATTAAAAGTTATGAGTGTGTTAACTTTTTTTTTTTTTTGTATTTTTTTTTATTTTTATTTTTATTTATTTACAAATATTTTTTTTTTTTAAATACAAAAATGAGATGTAAACTTTTTATTTTTTATTTAGGGCATAAATGATATATCATATGAGTTATTGTTTTGTTGTTTTAAAATTTAACTATAATATAATAAACTTAAAAAAAATATAATTTATATATACATATTTTAAATAAATTTATTCAATGGATCCAGTTTTAGATGTATTGTTACATGTAGAAACATTGATTGTAAAAGAGCAATGGAGAGAAAGTGGTTTTATCAAAGAGTTAGTTACAAAAAAGAAAAAAGGACAGTTTAATATTTATGATACAAATAATAATTGTAAGTACATTTAAAATAAAAACTTAAATAATTTTTTTAAGTTTTTTTTTCCTAATTTTTTTTTTTTTTTTTTTCTCTCTCTTTTTCTTCGGTAATCTAGTAATATTAATAGGTAAAGAATATTATAAAAATAGCTGTGATGATTTATTTAGTTTTCAGAAATACAGGCCATACAAAATAAGCATCAGGACATTGGATAATAACGAAGTTATTAAAATAAAAAGAGAAAAACAGTGTGGTCGACAGGGATGTTATTGCTGTATATTTTGTTGTTGTGCTTTGGAGTCATGTCATCAGGATATACTTATTTTTGCTGGTGATGATACATTGTCTCCTGGAAGGTTTTTAGGTAGAGTGAAAGAAAAGTTTAGTTGGTTTACTCCATCTTTTAAAGTGTATGATGATGATAATAACCAACAATTTAAAATAATAGGCCATAAAATAAAAAATAATAATAATTTTTTAAATAATAGTTGGATCACATCATCATCCTTTTCTCACTACCAGATGAAAATATATCAAGAGAATGAAGAGCAATCTTATTTAAATTTTATTTCATCACCAGAAGAAGACCAGGAGATTGGTGAAATCTCAAAGTTGTATTCAGGTATAAAGCAAAATCTCTTTAACGATAAAGATAACGTATATATAGTAATGCCTCCAAAATCCACTGTATATCAAAAATCTGTTCTTATAGGTGCTCTATTTTTAATCAACTCTCTTTATTTCGGTTTGCAATCTAATACAATTTCAGATACAATAGATTTAAATAATTTAAACGAATCAAATAATAATAATAATAATAGTAATAATAATAACAATGACAATAATGATAATAGTGACAATAATAGTAGCAGTATTAAATATAATATTGGTTTAAATAATAAAGTTTAGATAAATAAATTTTTTTATTTTATTTTTATTTTTATTTTTTTTAAAAATCATATATATCTACATTTAGATCAATATATTCAGATCCTGATGAGTGACCATCATTGTCTATAAATTGTAACCTCACATACATCCCCATTTTTCTATGTAAAAATTTATATTAATATATTTTTTTTTTTTTTTATCATTATTATTAACTTACCCATTTTTTCCATTGGCACCATATCCGACCTGGAGTGGCATGTCAAAGCCTAGTATGTTAAATTCTAAACTATCAACATGATTGCATCCTGTAGCAGTCCAAGAGTTGATTTGCTTGGCTGGTGTATAGTATTTCCATGCTCTGGGATCGATGGGACCCTTTGGAACATAGGCATTTGGCGAAAGCTCTTCGTGGGTCGATAATGGAGCTTGAGTGGTTTTAAACATAAAATTAACATACCATGTGTGGCATGATGAGGGATCCCTAGGTACGATTGGTCCACTAATTACAATATTTCCATTTGTTAAAACCTGTAGAATACCTCTATCTTGTTGAAATACCCAAGAGTTGTACCCACCTAGCATCCAGCTTGGATCTTTAGAATTACTCGAAAAAGCATGACCACCAGCACTACCACCTAAAGAGGCATCAGCAAATGCAGGTCTAAGATGGTACATTCCTTCGACAATCTGGGCCATTTGTGTTTCTAATGCTATCTTTTGGACATATATTGGCACACTCTTATTGGTTGAACTTAAAAAGCTAACTGCATCAAAATGAGATTCTTGTGGAATCTCTACTGTAATTTTATTCCATGTGTTTACTGAAAGTTGACTCTTTCTTGATACCGATTTTGAGGGGTGGGTAGAACTAACCAATGGTGTTTTTTTAGTATCTATATTGTTTGAGTGGAACTGCAGTTCGATTGGAGGCTGGTTAACAGGTGAATTTATCCAAAATGATAGATAATTATACTATTTTTATATAAAAAATAAATTTAAATAAATTAATATTTTAATTTTTTTATAAATATTCTGTTTTGTCAATATTTTTTTTTTTTTTCCTTTTAATATATATATCTTTTAAAAAACTAAGTTTAGTTTTATAATGTTATTTTTTAAAAAAAAAATAATCATTAACACAATCTTTATTTTTTTATTTTTTTATTTTTAAATTTTTAAATTTTTTTAACCGAAAAAAATCAAATAAAAATAGATAAAAGAGGAATTGTTATTATTTTATATTTATATAGATATAAATAATTACCTTTAAAGGATCAAAAAAAAAATTATTTTTTGCTTTTAATTTAAAACAATTAAAATTTTCGTTATCAATTTCCAAAGTATTTTTATTTGTAGCAATAGCATCTGTACTTTTGTAATCCACTCCATCTTCTTTGTTAAATTGTATTACATCAAATATTTCTGAATTTATTTCATCTTTATATAAAACTAATGATGGTTTAATTCTAAATATAAATAAATTTATAAATATTAGTAAAATTAAAATTTTCATTTTTTTAATAATTACAACTAAAATAAAATAATAATTTATTTTATTTATTCCTTTTATATAAATAATATTTTTATATATAGTTATTTTTGAATTTATTTTTGAATTTATTGGGTATATATAAATACAATGAGCTATACTTGTATATTTAACACACTTAAAAAATTTTCTAAATAAATTATTTATAATCACACACAAACACACAAACACCCATACACACACTTTAAAAATTCACGTTATATTTTTACATTAAATATTCATTTTTTTGAACTATTATAATTAATATAATTAAAATAAAATGTAATATTTTTTATTATTTTTAATATATTAAAAAACATTAAATAAATATTAATAAATATATCACTACTAAATTTTATAATCTATAAATGATCATTAAAAAATTAAAAAGTTTAATATTCAAAAAAAATAAAATAAAAATATTTAATAAAAAAAATTTATATTCTAAAAATAAAATAATATTTTTTTTAATTTTTTTATTTTTTATAATTAATTTAATTTTTTTATATTTTTTAAATAATGTTTATAATAATAATGATAATAATAGCAGTAATAAAACCAGCTTTGAAGATAGTAGTATAGATCTCAGTATATTCAGTAAATTAGAAATTCAAAAGGTAGATAACGATATTAATCAAACACTTACCAACAATAATAGCACCTCAGAAATTGCAATAGTTGTACCATTTTATAACCATATAGATTATTTAGATTTTACAATAAGGTCATTAATAGATCAAACATTTACCGACTATAATGTAATAATAGTGGACGATGCTTCAAGTGATTGGGGAATAAAAAAAAAATTAAAAAAACTATTTTATGATTATAATAATTATTTGGTAAATAAAAATAAAAAATTTAAATTTTTGATATTGTTATTAATTAGTTTTTTAAATAATTTAGAACTTAACAATAATATTTAATAATAATAATTATGGACTGCCAAAATGTAGAAATATAGCAATAGAATATACAAATTCAAATTGGATTTTACCATTGGATGCAGATGATATTTTAGATGAAAGATTTTTAGAAAAAGCTTTTAATCAAATCCATTCAATTAAAGATACATCTCAATATCCAAATATTATAGTGACATCAAATGTATATCGATTTAACAATGACAAGGAAGATGATAAAATAGGGTATATAAATAAAGTTGGTACTTGGAAAATTCCAAAATGGGATTCAAATAAACTAACCCAAAACAATTTATTACATTGCAGTACAATGTTTAAGAAATCTTTATGGAGTGCTATTGGGGGCTATGATACCTCTTTGTGGTTTGGATGGGAGGATTGGGACTTTTGGATTAGAGCAGATCATTATTTTAAAAATAATAAATTAATAATCAGGCACGATAATAATACAATAAACAATAAAATAATGGTAAATGGATTAAATCCAATAATAATCGATGAATATTTATTTTATTATAGGGTAAAAAAAGAAGGATTACATTCATTTTGTAAAGTTAATTTCAAACTATGCTACTCTTTATTCCAAACACTACATCCATATATCTTTTCCATAGAGGATATCCTCATATCCCACAAATATATTGGTAGAAACGGTGACGTACTCAAAAACTCTCTGGCAACACAAATTAAGAAATACCCTAATAACCCAGTAAACTATTTTTGGCTATCATTAATAAAACAATATGGAAATAACAATAAAAATTACAACAATAACAATCCAAATAAAAATATATATGAAATCAAAGAGTTATATACAAAATCAATTAATTTAGAAAAAAGTAATCAAATCAATAATCGTAACAATCAATATGACATTATCAACAATAGTTTAATGTGGCAATTCGAATTGCACAGGTTGCTCAACGAATTAGAGACCATCCATTACATCCAAGCAAAAAAAGATCTATTATTATTTTTTAAAAGATATAATAGTTTAAATTTAAACAATAAAATAAACAGATTATACCATTTAAATATTTAATTAAAAAAAAAACAATTTTGTATATTATACTTTTTTTTTTTGGAGGTTTAAAATCTATTTCTTTTTTATTTTTTTTTTTATTTGTTTTTATTTATTTTTATTTGTTTTTATTTTTAAAAATTATTTATTATTTTATTAATTATTTATTTATGTTTAAATAATTTTAAACAATTATGAAGATCATTTTTATCATAAATTGAAATCGCTAAAAAGAAATTTGAAAGGTTTTGGATAGATATTGCTAAATCCTCCATTTGTGAAGTTGATAAAATATTAAATATTGATTTTAATGAGGATTGTTGCTTGTGTAGTAATTGTTTTTGTTTCTGTAGTTGTTGCTCTTGTGATTGTAAACAAAGTTCTAGTTCTGTTTGTTTTTGATTAAATAGTTGAATTTTTTGTTGGTATTGTTCCAAAGTAATTTCATTTTGTAATTGCTTTTGCTTTAAAATAGTTAAATTCTTTTTAGATTTAATATTTTTAGCTACAGTTTCATAAAGTTGGTTAATCATTTGAGTATTGATTGAAAAGTTGCTATTTAAATTATTAATATTATATAGTTTGCTAATTTGTTGCTGCTGTTGCTGTGATTGTTGATTATTACTATTGGATTGTTGTAAACAATTATTAAATGTTGAATTATTAAAATGAATTAAAAGAGTGATGAATGATAAAGCGAATGCTATAACACCGTTTAATGGACCGACCAAATACATTCTTTTCATTGTATCATTCAATAAAAGTAAAAACTTTTTAAATGACTTTCTAATTGAATAATCTGTTTCAATATAATAGATAGCATTTGAATGAATGATAATGTTGAAGCAGAAAAATGCCATCAATTGTCCTTGATATGATGATTGAATATGTTCAGACCAGGAGGGTATTATTGAATTTAAAATGATTGGTAATGATTCCACCCCAACTAATGAGCCTAAAATATAACCACCTAATTCGATTGCACGGACTGAATAAAGAGATTCGACTTGATTCGATTGTAATATTATATCAAAAATTTCTTTGGCTACTAAATTTACAATTTGATAAATATTTGATGAGGATCTCATAAGAATATATTTGATTTCACACTCGAGGCTAAGGAAGTCTGGTGAGGGTTTGTTCAAGAACTGTTCAATTACTTGATGAATTGCAACGGTTGCTGACATTGTATAAAGTTGAGCGGGTGGAGATAAAAAGGTATGATAGGTTGGGTTAAATAGAGTTGAATGATATGAATAGTATCTAAATTCGCTGAATTTTCTTGTTTTTGGGAATAGAGTTAAACTTGTGGTTTCGAAAATCTTTAAAAAAAATAATAATATTAGTATAATATAAGTTGTTGATTGTGTATTATTATTTTACTTACTGGTTCAAATAATTTGTATAAATCATTTATATTTTCTTCAGATACTATTGATTTATGATAATCTGATAAACGGAATAATAAACGATTTTCATTTAAATTCCAAAAACAAGCTTCAATTGAACTAATGGCTTTATCTCTTTTTGATAAATTATTATTTGTACCTGTGGTTGATGGTCTACCGTTTTGTTGCGATGCTGATTGATTAGGCTTATTATTAGCATTATTAGCACTATTGGTTGTATTACCTTTATTTAATTGGTTTGAGGTGGTGGTTGTTGAAGTTGTAGTGGTGGTAGTGGTTGTGGTGGTGGAATTTGGTGACTTTGTGGTCGAGGTGGTGGTGGTTGTAGGTGAGGATGTAAATAATGTTGATTTGGTTTTTGATAAATAATCAAAAATTACAATTGGTGAGAATGGAACATACTGGAATAGTAAGGAAATGGTTTTTGTAACTTTTTCATCTGGAATAATGTTTCTATCATAACAGTCGAAAATATTGTGTAATATATTTGGTAATCCTGAAACAACATCCCACGATGAATAGTCTTTTTGTGATAAGGTTTGGAACTTTTCAATACCGTCATCTGTAAAACTTGATTCTAGTAAATTCTTTAAAAATTGGTATTCAAATGATGACTCTTTATTGGCACTGTTGGTATTGCTGTTATTTATATTTGAATCCCTAATTGTATAATAAAGCCAATTTGTAAATTTATTGCACTTTAAATTTGATTCCAATAATTTCGATTTAATTAAATCTAAATTGTATTTGTTATTTTTGACCTTTATAAAAAAAAAATTAGTATCTCTTTAATTTTAAATGATATTAAACTATAATAATTATAAGAGGTTTACTTACATCATATAAAACAAATAATAAAACATAAAGTAAATTAAATGGAATTGTAAAATAAAAATATAAATGTTTTTGGTTATGATTATGTTCTGTTTCATACATTGGATTATCTTGAAGTAATTGTTGGTAGGTTGTTGAGCCATAGGTTTCACATATGTTGATTAAAATCATAATTAATCTAAGTGTATAACCATGGACATCTAAACAATCAATAACTAAAGGATCTGAAAAAATATACATTGCAACCATTACTAATAACTTGTTTGAATCATAATCGATATTTTCTAAAATCTAAATATAAATAAAAAAGTTAATATTTTAATATTTTAATTTTTGTTGATTTTGTAAAATAATTAAGAAAATCTTACATTAAAAATGACACCTAATAATTTGTCTTGATAATCAAATGGTGTAACTAAATATTGTTTAATAAAATCAAATAACTTTTTCATAATTGAGGTATTGTTTGGATCTGTACTATTTAATAATGATTCGATTAATTCTTTAATTTTCAAAACATCCTATAATAATAAAAATATATTAATATTTATTATTTATTATTAGTTATTTATATAATTAATGATACTTACTGCTAATGAATGAAGTTCTAACATATGAATATTATCAAATGATAACTCAGATGATGGTGGGGCTTGAATTTCTGAATCCAATGAATCAATGTCGGTTAAATAGTTGCTAAAGAGTTTTTTTAATAGTTTAATATCTACTAAATGTTTTTTAATTAAAATTTGTATTAAAGAAAATACAATGTTGTCTTCGACTTGAGCTAATGTTGGGAATTGGTTAATTTGGTATAACACTGTTTCAATTACATTATAGCTATCGATTGAGGCTTTCTTTCTATTCATTCCTTTGCTGTTTGATCCAATTGATTTACCAATACCATTTGAATTTGTGCTGCTATTGATTGAACCATCGTTGGGTGCATCACCATTTTCATTTATATTGTTGCTATCGAGATTCTCATTACTATTGGTATTATCAGTGCTATCCATGATACCATCGTTAATGCTGTCATCTGGATTGTTCAATTTATTTGATTTGTTGGAGTCTTTCTTATTGATGCTGTTGTCACTATGGCCATTATTTGCCTTCATAATTGAATAGAGCTGTGGCACTTTGAATAATAAAAATAACTTTGTCTTTTTAAATTTATTGGAGTTTGGTTCGCAATTGACGAGCTTTTGGAATAAAATCTTTACAATCTCCAAGAGGAATTCTATATCAGTCATTGATTTGATTGTTTTTAAAGCTAATAGCTTTGTAAAGCAATCAGATACATTTTCAACCTCTTTAGACTGCTTTATTCGTTGTAATTGTTGTTGAAGTTTTTGTTGGCTTTCTAGAGATGAGTGTTGTTGACCGATATTATTTATTGAGGCATCATCCTGAATAGTAACATCTGATGAGCCACCACTGTTTAAGTCATTGCTGTCCTTTGAATCTGCGACCAAATTACCATTGCTGATGCTTGGATTTAATAGGCTGTTATTATTACTGTGACTGATATCTCTTGTTTTAAAGCTTTTAAAGCTGTTACCTGTAATTTCTTGTTCAATAATAAATTCGAATGATAGGACCAATGGCTTATCTGAATGGATCTGGTTGTGGGCTAATGGGATAATATCACCAGTTGGTAAAATATCGGCTTTATTTACAAGTATCATTCTAAATTCTAAAAATAGCTTTTGATATTTTTGTTTAATTAGTTGAGAAAGCGGATTACTATTTGGTGTGGCGGCGGTTTGTGATTGGCTTGATGATATTGGTTGTTGTTGCTGATTATTTTTTAAATAGTCTCTAAGATAATTTTGTGTAGATACAAATGTTGAAACTAAATCTTTAAAGCAAGTTAAAGTATATTGGTATTTTGATAAATAAATAAATGATTTAAATGTAGAGTTATTTTGGATTATTGATAAAATTTCTAATGATTTTGATGAGTTTTTAAAAAGTATATTTGTATTTAAATTAGCTATTGTCGATGGCTCGTTTGAATTTGTTTGTTGATATTGTTGTTGTAATTTAATCTGCTCTTCTTCTTGATAATAAAAATCAATAGCTTTAAATAAAAGGGTTGCTAATTTTGTAAATGATAAGAGTTGTTTATTATAAAAAGATAGTGACGATGATAATAAAGAGGAAGGGGTTTGTTGCTTTGGTTGTGATTTATCGTAAATATTTGTTGTTGTAAAGTTTAAATTTCCCTCATCTAATGTTGTGGTGGTTGTAGTGGTTGTAGTTGTAGTGGTGGTTGTAGTGGTGGTGGTTGTAATTTGTGGTTGTTCATTATCATGCTTAATCTTTTTAAGATGGTGCACATTTTGGTCATCATTTTCATCGGTATCCATTTCTTTTCTTTTATTGCCAATGTGGTTATGATCGGTAATTCCATTCATTTGAACTGTTCCATTTTCACCTCTATGTGAGTTATTGTCGCTAGAAACTCCATTTTCTTCATTTGAAGTACTACTGTTTTCAAAATTATGTTCATTAGTTGCACCTGCCATTGCTGAAACTGGAGTTGATAATGATGATGATGATAAAGTTCCATTTGAATCATTGTTATTACTACTTGTACCCTTATTATTATTGTTATTGCTATTGCTATTATTTTCGTTTATATTATTATTTGATGGTTGTTCATTTTCAATACTACTTAATTTACTACTGCTATTGATAATGCTAGAGCTGTTGCTATTATGGTTTGTTTGTTTTTTATTACTATTAAATGTTGGAGATGATAAAACTTTAGAATAAATTAATTTCGATACAGTATTATTATTATTGGTTGGGGTGCTAACGTTATTACTAACTAAACTATTATTTTGATGTGTAAAATTTATAATATTAACTACATCTAGTAAAATATCTAAAATAACACTAAAATGATGTGGTCTTGATATACTGGAATATTTATAAACACTTTCAAATAAATCTGTATATTCAATTAACTTTATAGAAATTGCATATCTTAAATATGATGCTAATAATGGACTTGGGCTTTGACCTATATTCATTTGATCCAATAATATTTCTAAAATTTAAGAAAATAGGTTTATTAGAAAAAAAATAATGAAACTCCACTTTAGCCTTTAAATATTTATTAAACTTACCACATAATTCCACTGGGTCAATCTTAAAATCATTTTCGGTATCTTCTTTACAACTAAATCCATTATATAACTTTATTGACCATTCTATTGGTGATAATCTTTGTCTCCACGACTCAACTATAATAGATTTAAGTAGGTTTTTGATGAACCTTTTTTAGGTCTCACTATGCTATTATTTTTTATTATTATTTCTTTTGCAGTGATTATAGATTAGATTTGTTTTTATTGTATTATTAATTTCTGTTTCCGTTATTGTTGTAATCATCACCTATAAATTCCTCCATGCAATTATTTTTTATATATACCTTATTATTTTATTATTATTATTATTTTTTTATTTGTTAATAATTAAATTTATTATTAATTATTTTCTGTAAAGTGGATTTTTTTTTTAATGGGTGTTTTTTTTTTAACAACTAAATAAGACAGCATATAATATGATTAATAATATGTATATGTTTGTTTGTGCGAGTATTTTGTTATATAAGGTTGGTTTATGTTAAATAGTGTATATCACTTTTGGATGGTGCAGAAAATAGAAAATAAAAAAAAAATTTAAAAATTTAAATAAAATTTAATAAAATAAATATAAATCTTTTTTATATGTTTTATATTTGTGTGTGTATTGTTTGTTTGTGTGTGTGTATATAAAACAAAAAAATATAAAACATTAAAAAAAAAAAAAAAAAAAAAAAAAAACCTATTTAATTAATTTTTTATGATGAAGAAGAATTTTTGAATATGATGATTATGTCGGTGTAAACAACCCAACAACTTTCTCTTTTGAAGTGAAAGATGAAGAAACAAAATGAAAAAAAATAAATAAAAATAAAATAAAAAAATAAAAAATAAAAAAAAAAAAATTTAAAAAAAAAAAAAATTTAAAAAAAAATTTTAAAAAAAAAAAAAAAATTAATTTAAAAAAATGTATTTTTTTTTTTTAAATTAAATTAAAAAATTTTTATCTTAATTTATATATTGATATATTTATTAAAATACGCATTTATATGAGTGTGTGTGTTTATTGAAAACTATATTTTATAGAAATGAATATGACCCAAATTAAACCTCAAACTTTCTATGTAATAAAGGGAAAATATTTATAATATAATTTTTCAAATGAAATAATCAAAAACAAGAGTTTCCCACAATCATTAGAAATCAAAATCTTTATTTAGCCTCATTATTCATATTTAAAATAATACCGAATAGAAAATATATTTAAAAAGTATGTAAAATAATATTTAAAATAAAAATGAATGTTTAAAATTTTAAATCATAAATAGTTAGGGTAATAACTAGATAGAAATTTTCAAAATTTTATAATAATAAAATAAAACAAATAATTTTTTTTTTAAATAAATTATTTTTTTTTTTTTTCAAAAAAATTAAAAATAAAATTTTAAAATATTTTTTTATTTTTTATTTTGTATAATTTTTCAAAATAATTTTTTTTAATAATTTCATTGTAATTTAATAAATATCTATTATATATAATAATAACATTGTTTTGTGTTAAATAATTTACAATTTTATTAAATAAATATTAATATTGATATTTGTTAATAATAAAATGTCATTCTTTAATAAATTAAAAAAAATTATTAGCGGAGGTGAAGATTCAAATAACCCATCCACCTCTGGTAATAGTAACACCACCTCTACCACCACCACAACTACAACAACAGATAGCAAACATAATGAATATGAAAAAAATGTATATTTTATAAACCCCTATCAATCAATATCCAAATTAATTATTAAACTTTATATTTATATTTTTTTTTTAATATTTAGATTTTCGTCAATGGTATAAGTGGCAATAAAAATGTAACCTCAGTTGCCTTTGACAATGTATTATTTTTATGTGCTGTAGGTTTTAATGATGGCACCTTTAAAATGTAATTATAAAACATAATAATAAATAATAATAAATATTCCCATTTAAACCCCCAATTAACTTTTTAAATTTATTATTATAGATTTGGTAAAAATGGATATGAAATAGTAATTAAAGGACATACAAATAATCCAATCAAAAAATTAATATTTATTACAAACTCACCATATATTATTGCATTAACACATTCAGTCATTGAAAAATGGGACTATAGCACACAAACTTTAAACAATGTTTTAATTTATAAAACTAGAATTACTGCAGTTTATTTTGCCACAGGACTAAAACATTTATTTTTTTCAACTGAAGACTCTATTATTCAAATCTACAATGTACAGAACAACCATTTATCAAACTATCAAATTTATTTACCACCATCACAAGACAATCCAAATGAACCTGTATTAGATCAAAAAACTAGCTCAATATTTCCATCATGCATCAAAATCTGCCCATATAATCCTGTTTTAATGTTGATCGGTTATTCAAATGGTCTAGTTATAGTGATGAATATCGAAATTAAAAGAATTGAAAAACGTTACGACTCTTTCACTCAGAATGGTTATTGCACCTCATTATCATGGTCCAGAAAAGGTACAAAGTTTGTATGTGGCTTTTTAAATGGTGAGATCTATTATGTTAACTATCCAAAGGGCACTCCCGTATGTATTTATAAAACTCCATCGACCAGCAATGAAAAAATGCCATATGTTAAACCAATTGATGGTTTGGAAATAATCTATACTATTTCTGCCGCAGCTGCCTCCACACACTCTTCATCGACCTCATCAAACAATCTTCTGCCATCTAGAAAATTTATTCTTTTTAGAGGAACTTTTAATGATGATCAGAAATCATTAATGATGATCAAAGGTGATAAATTAAACGATCCTGACCATCTTTCAACTATTCAAATTGCTTCAAATGTCACATCTTTCCATGCAGTTACCTCCTCACCATACTATGATAACAATGGTAATTTACTATCAATTTTAGCAGTTCAGCACGATAATCTTATTGAATATGTGTGGGATCCAAAGTCTTTCCTTTTCACTGGTGCTCCAATACCCTCAATTTATTTTAAATCATTCAAAAACATTCCAGATGTATCAATTATGAAGAGCTATCCATGTAGTGCGGAAACAATTAACTTGATCTCTCAATTAGCCCAATATGCTCCAAACTATTCGTCTTGTATCAATGGTGGCTCTCAAATTTTAGACTTTTCAAAACAAACCGCTGTTCCTCCAAAAAGTTGCCAATTGCTAATTACAGCTGAAAAAAATAATCAAATTAAATTTTGGAACTCGACAGACCCAAAGAATACTGTGTATTTAGGTGGCTTTAATATCAAAGATACATCAGATGGACTAAACACTAGTGGAGGTGATAATTCATTAAATTGTGAAATTACAACACTCTCTTTTAATGCATCAACTTTATTATTAACTATATCTATCAATAACCTATCAACTAATGATAGCTCTTTGTTAATATACCATATCTCCGACTACCCAAAAAAAATTAAAACTGCATTTTATTTAGCAAGTAAAACATCACAACAGCAACAACAAGATGAAAAACAAGGTGAAAAACAACAAGATGAAAAACAACAAGATGAAAAGCAACAAGATGAAAAACAAGAGCCATCATCACATGCCAAAATATATAATCCAGTAATTAAATTTATGGGTGAAATTAAATTTAATGGTGAAACTGTAACCTCAATTGCAATGAACTCATATAAAACAAGCTATTCAACTAGAATCTTACTTGGAACAAGCAGCTCAGTAGTCTATCACTTTATTGTTTCTATAACGAATAATATGGACCACAGTGAAAATTCTGCCCCATCGAACTATGTGCTTTATTCTTTATCAATTGTTGACCTTGGCTCAACAGAACAACTATCACCAAATATGTTTACCTTATCATCTCCACAAAAACCATCCCCATCACAACAATTACCAGAAGAAACACCATCATCAATCACATCGATTTCATTTTGTTTTTACCCAATTCGTGAAAATGATATAGATTCAAGTATTGTTTATCTAGGAAATAGCGATGGTTATATTTTCGTTTTAGATTTACAAACTATGAAGATCAACACCCTTTTTAAACAAAACGTAACATGTCCAGTAGAATCCATTCAATTCCTAAACAAAAAAGGTGAACCAATTTCATATCTTTTCTTTGGCTCGATCTATCATGACGATGCTGAGGACCACGAATTGCTCTCAAGTCTATCAAATCTTTCTTTAAGTGGGAATAGTACCGGAGATGAATTTAAACCAAACATTGATGACATTTTAGTACTCATCTCAAGCCGTAAAGAAATTTCATTGTACAGTATTGCCTTTGGGCCACAAAAATCAATTCAAAATAAAAGAATTTCAAAACATGAATACAAAAATCATCCATTAATCGGTGATGGTGCCTATTTAACAACCTTCCCATCTGATAATAATAATCCAGCTATTATGACATTAGACAATAGAGGCCACATCGAAATTTATAACCCAGCCAATTTAGAAAAAATTTCAAACTTTTCAATTTCATCAATCATTAATACCAATAATATCCTATCATCCCAGTCATTAAATATCAAATTTTCAGTTTCAAAATTTAATTGTAATTCCTTTATTTATTTATATGATAATAATCAAAAGCCAATACTATATTGTTTATGTTTAAATAAGAATGAATTAAACCAATTCCCATCATTATTTGTTGATAATGTGCCAATGCCACCACAAGTTAAAAAACAAAGTGTATTAAGAAAGCTATTCTCCTCAACAATGTCACCAGAGGACCAAATTCAAGTTTTAGATGATAAATGTAAGTTTTAATTTATAATAATCTTATTAATAATTAATAATTAATAATTAATTATTAATTATTTTTTTTTTAATTATAGTCCAAGAAGGAGTTGAAATTCCAAATCCAAACTACAGAAAAGCCAATAGTGCAGGAAATAGACAAGTTATGGAGGTTGCACATATATTACAAGAGACTAAAGAAAAACTCGAACGTCGTGGCCAAGTTATTTCCGATATTGCTGTAAAAAGCGAGGAGATGGAAAACAATGCTAAAAATTTTGCTGCTCTTACTCGTCAATTAGCAAAAAAATAATTTTTAAATTAAAAACATATAATTTTATAAATAAAATCAAAAAATGTAAATTCTACACCAAAATAAACAAATTTCTACTAAGAAAAAATCTTTTTTTAAAAAAAATAAAATACAAAGAAAAAAAAAAAAATTATTGAAAAAAAATTAAAAAAAAATTTTAATATCCAATTTTTTTTTTTTATATTTTCACATTATATTTAGAATCATAAACATAAAATGAGCCACACTCACACACACGGATGGTATTGGTTAGACGATAATGCATGGATACCTTACGACAAAAAACTTATTGACAATTTTGAAAAGTCATTTAATTCAACAAACTTTTTACCTGGTAATAAAAAAATTTCAGTAGATCAACAAAGATTTATAGAAATTATGCCACTTAAAGATGTATGTAGTATCAATATTAAACTGAATAGTTTATGCTATTAAATTAACATATAAAATCAACAATTAAATAATCAAATAACTAAATAATTAATCAATAAATAAATAAATAATAAATAATAAATAAATAAATAAACAGCTATAGCAAATACTGTGTATTTTTTTCTTTTGAAGCCACTATTTTACTTTAAAAATTCACAAAAAAAAAAAAAGATCACCATTATTAATATTTTTTAAATATATTCAAATCATTTAGGTAATTTCAAATTTTGTAAATGTTGCACACGATCCAGATATTGTAGGCATGCAAAGAAGATATGACGATCCAATGAAAAGAAGAGTTGTTAAAAGATCAAGTCTTCAAACCATTACATTTTTTGATAATTTAGAATTTTCCTTTTATTCGACAGCCCAAAAAACAAAAACACAAGAAATTAAAGATATAGTTAAGATGTGTGGAGGTAAATTTGTTGATGACTTTACAAAAAAGACCGACTATTTAATTGTTAAACCAAATGATTTAAAAGATGCTGTCACAACATTCAATACAATCATTGCCAAAGCTGAAAATTTAAAAGTTGTACCAGTAGAATCAACATGGATAGACTCATGTGTCAAAGCTAAAAAGCTAGTCGATCATACAACATATGTTGTAGCTCAAAGTAGGTCTATATATAACTATAATTTCTTTTTTTATTTTACTTTTATATACTAATTAAATATTTTAATAAAGAACCAGTTCCTGTAGTAGCTGCAGCAACAGCAACATCAACATCAAGCGCAAGTGCAGCATCAACATCACCATCAAATACCAAAAATACAAAATCAAAATCAACTACAGGTGCTACCACTAGCAACACATTAAAACCATATGTCGAAAATTTAATTAAAGGTAGCGAATGGACAGGTGTATGTTCAACAGATGATGATCACTACCCATTCATTATGACTGTCGATAATGTTGATGGTAACGATGAGGTTTCAGGTACAATTACATGGATTAATTTAGGTTCTGCAAAAACAAAATATAAAGGAAAATTAAATAGGGCTACTGGTGAATTCAATTTTGAGGAATATGAAGTTATCACTGGCGAAGATGAAGTCGAGGTTCCAAATAGTTATACCTCTGTAGTATATGGTGACGAAATTATCGGAAAGATAACAGACAGCACCTTCAAATTAAAATTAACCAAATCACCACCTGTAACACATATGCAACCCGATTCAAAATGGAATGGAACCAGTCGTCAACCTGAAAACTTTAAATTAGAAATCACCAAAAGAGAAAATGCAGATATAATGGGTAAAATCACATGGAGTAGCTATGATGCTTTTGGCACATTCAAAGGAACTGTCACCCCAACCCATATTGATGTTTCCGAATATAAAGAAACCTCAAAAAATCCGGGACCAGAATTAACACATCCTTTTAAACTTGTACCAATTATCACCCAAAATAAACAATCATCAAATGGCACAACCATAACAACAACAAAAACCTCATTTAAAATTGAAAAAAATTAATAAAATCATGCACAATCCAAATCGAGTAATTGTGTATCAAATAAAAAAAAATAAAAAAATAAAAAAATAAAATAAAATAAAATAATCTGTTTTACAAAAAAAAAAAAAAACAAAAAAAAACAAAAAAAAACAAAGGAATAATAGAGTTAAAAATAGAAACACATGCACCATACACAAATTTTGTTAAAAAATTTAAATTTTAATTGTATAATTTAATTCAATTTAAAATTATTTTAATTTAATTAAAAGAAAAAATAGGGAAAAAAACAGGTTTCCTATTTAACATTCACAATTTGTAAATAGCAAGGATTAAAAAAAACAAAAATTAATATGTATAACCAACAATAACACCAATTAGGTTGAAATTGTATTTAAATTATATTAAATTATTAAAGTTATTTATTTTAAAATAAAAATAAATTTTTAAAAATATTTTTTTATTATTTTTTATTTTATTTTTATTTTTTTTTAAATTTTTTTTTAAATTTTTTTTTAATTTTTTTTCTCTTTAAATTTTTTTTTTTTTTAAAAATTTTTCCTTCACATTTATTTTTTTGGATAACCTAAAACTTATATATATTTTTTTATATTTATAAATCTTTTTTAACAAAAAAAAAGTAAAGCTATATTAAAACTTTATAGTACTTCCAGTTTCTTACGTATGACCTCTATTCAAAATTTTGCTACCACTGGTATGTATAACACAATTAAATAAAAACAAATAAAATATTTTTAGGAGCAGAAAAAAAAAAATTTAATGGTGTAATTTTTTATATCGATGGTTTTTTTTTATGACTATTTTTTTTTGCGACTATTTTTTTATTTTTCCTATAATTTAAATATAACACAACAATAATAATACATATAAATAAACACACCCCTAATCTTAGCAAAATATTAATAATACTTTTTCTTTTATTTATTTTAAAAAAAAAATAGATCCATTTGCTGATGAACCAAATTTCGGTGGAGACAACGGCATCAGTTATATTCACATTCGTATTTTTCAAAGAAGTGGCCGTAAAGCAGTAACAACAGTAGAAAAACTCCCAAGAGATATTGACTTTAAAAGAGTTTTAAAGTATTTCAAAAAAACATTAAATTGCAATGGAAACTTGTTAGAAGACGAAAATCTTGGAACTGTCATTCAACTCCAAGGTGACCATAGAAAAGAAGTCTCTACCTTCATTATTGAAGAGAAAATCGCCAAAAAAGAATTTGTCAAGATGCACGGTTTCTAAATTTATTCAAAGAGAACCTATTAACCCATCACCAACATTTCTTTCTTCTTTTTTTCCATCACCACCAATCACCACAATTATTCATCATCACACATTTTATTTTATTTCTTTTAAAGAAATGAATATTAATGTTGTATATATTAAAATAATAATAATAATAATAATAATAATATTAAAAAAAAAATACAGTTTTAAAATATATAACCAATTTTATATATCTCACTCTTCTTATTTCCTTTTTTAAAAAAAAACAAATTTATATAAAAAAAATATGTTGATCAAAAACTATTTTTGGTTATATAATTTAAAAAAAAATAAAAAAAAGATACAAAAAAAAATAAAAAATTTTCTATTTTTATTATTATTTATTTTATTTCTATTTTTATTTATTATTTTTATTTTATTTTTTTGTTTTATTCTATTTTCGTTATTTATCATATGAGGCAACTGTATTAATTAATTAATAAGTAAATATCGATAAAATAATAGTTATGTGTATGGAATGAAGTTGACATTTATACACAATACTATCTTTTTTATGCGTTTTTTTTTCTTTTTTTAAATTTTTTTTTTTTTTTTTAAATTTTTTTTTTTTTTAAATTTTTTTTTTTTTTTTTTTAATTTTTTTAATTTTTTTTCATTTTTTTTTTTATTATCGATAATAAAAAATCAATAAAACTTTATTTATTTATTTCATAGTAATATTTATTTTTTTTATTCTATTTTTTTTTTTTTATTTGTAAATATATTTTTTTATACTATTAGTTTGTTTTTAGTTGTTGGAAAAATAAAAGTTTTATCACAATTTTTTTTTGTATTTTTTAAAATTTTTTTAAAATTTTTTAAAATTTTTTTTTTATTTTTGTTAAAAGTATAACTTTCATTCATTTGGGTTTTGTTCCTCATTTATTCTATATATTTTATTGTTTTAATATCAATAACTCACAAACTCACTCACTCTCACATTACATTAGTATGTTATCGAAACAACAACATTAACAATAACAGCATTATTATTAAATAAATATTCATATAAATAATAGTGGTTTGGGAATAACTAGAAGCTTTTCGTGTAAAAGAGGAGAGTAATAAAATAATAAATATATATATATATCAACAGTTTAGTAAAGTGTAAGTGTAATTAAATCATTATATATTGCATAGTAATAATAACAATATAATATTTATTAAAATATACAATAAACATTATATTTTCATATAAATTATAGGTGTATAATAACAATACAAACATAAAATAAAAAATATAGTATACTTTTGGTAATAGTGTTGTGTATATCTTTTTATACACATACTATTAAAATATATATGCGTAATAGTATATCATATAACAAACAACCAACAAAAAAACAAATAACGAAAAAAAAAAAAAAAAAAAACATATCATAAAACATTATAGTGTGTGTATAAAGAATTTTCAGTGTATACATTATATTATAGTGGTTTAAAAAAAAAAGTAATCATATTGTTCTATACATTTTATATTAAATAAACAAAATATATAATAAATTTGCATATAATGCTCTATAATTGTTTTACCATACATCCAACCATTATTATTGTTATTTTTAATATTAAAACTTATTATACACTATCATACATATATTCATCCATTCATTCATTTATTTATTCATTTATTTATTCATTGTCTAAATAAAACATTTTACTAATATCGATTTTTTTTTAATAATAATTTATATAGTTTAAAATATATTACATATATATATATAATAAATAATAGGAATTAATAATAATAAAAATAGTAATATAATGGATCAACAACAGGACCTTAAAAGAACTAGGGATCCACCAAATGATCAAGATGGTCAAAGACCAAGTAAAAAGATGTCATTATCAAATTCCGAGGCATCTTTACCTACAGGACAAGTGGATCAAAATTTAATTCTTTTCCAAAACAGGGCTATGAAAGTTCGGGTTGAAGAGCAAAAATTAGAAATCAACGATAGAGAGCAAAAAATTAAAGAATTAAACCAAAAAATGCATCAATATCAAGAAAATATTAGTGGTTTATGCCGAGTTTGGGATCAGGTAAGTTTAAAATAATTTTGGATAGTAATCAACATCAATGGATACATACTAATATACATCTTTTTTTTTTTTTACCATAGTTAAATAATGGTCTTGATCTTTTATTTAGTAGAGTAGATTTTGAAAATTCACTAGATTCTATTTTACCAAAAGGTATGATTATTTTTTAAATACACTCTTACATTCATTCTCTTCCAAGTTGCACATATTAATAATAATATTTTTATAATTTTAGAAACTTTAGGAGAATCATTTCAATTTTTAAGTACATTTATTTCAGAACCAGCCCCATTAGATGATGGATATTCAATCGAACAAGCCTTACAAAAAAAAGTACAAAAAACTCAAAATACATTTTGTAGAATTTCAAAAGCTTTAGAAAAAGAACACACATTATCTAAATTTATTTTTAAATTACTAAAATCTAAAGGTAACCACTTAGTTTAAATAATCATAATAATAATAATAAATAATATTTATAATGACCAAAAATATTAATAAAAATATTTTATATTTTATTTTAGATGGTTTGAAATCAAACGAAATTGAAAAATTATTAAAAGAGGAAAATGATAAATTATCGAAACAAAACCAATATATTCAAAATATTTATGATAAATTTCAAGTTCAATATAAACAATTAATTGACCAATCATCGAAACTTGCAGACCAAGCAGCTCTCTATCAACAAACTAATAAAGAATTAAAACAAGAGTTGGAAAAATCACAAGATGAATTAAATATCGAACGAAAAAGAGTCATCAAGTTACAAGATGAAACTTTAAGAACACCACAAATTAAATCCCAATCACCATCCTTAGGCGGTACCAGTAATAATGGCAATGGTGGCTCATTAAATTCATCAAGTAATGGTATACCAAATAATAAACAAACTGAAGTTAATGGTAAAGAATTATCACAAGAAGAAATGATTACCGAGCTCCAAAGACAATCAGATAACAGATTATTAGAAGCTAGAAAATTAAGAGAAGAAAAAGCAATTTTATTAAAAGAATTAAATCAACTCCAAATAGATGTAGGTTCATAATATAGCTAAATAATAACCCTTTATCGTATATTCTAATTGTGTCTTTTTAATTATTACAGCACCGTATTATACCTGAAGATAGAGTTACCAATTCGATGCCATATCAAGTTTTAAGACAAAGATATCAATTAGTAGCCGATGAATTGGATATTCATCGTAATCAATGCACTAAATTACAAAATGATCTTCAACAAGCAACTATTGGTCGTAGATTAGAAAGAGAGGCAGTCGAAAGTTTTGAAGCACATAGACGACAGCAATTAGATAGAAGAGTACAACAATTAGAGGGCGAGGCTATTGAATTAAAAGCAGAAAAAGAGAAATTGGTTTCACTAATTGAACAAAAGAACCCAAATATTCCATCTATTCAATATATTCAAGAATCTAGATTATTATTGGAAAAGAAGGATGAAGAAATAAA